AAATCATCAGGCAGTTCATCAAAACGACTAGATGGCTGGAAAGGAACAACCAAGAATAAGATTCATATATCTTTATGGCAAAAAAGCAAAAACAGATAAAATGTAATAGAAGCCCAAGATATGCTACATGAAAAAGAATGAAAATACTCAGATTACACATAAACCCCTGCACATCTAAGTGCAAGAAAAGGATAAAAAGGGAAAGATACATAAAATATTGATGGAAATAGACCCTGCTATTGAATAATAATTTAATCCAACATAAACACTTACAGCTGAACTGTCACTATGACGCCCATCATGCCAATGTTCACGCTCCTGGTTTCTCCTCTCCCTCATCTCTTGTTCATGCTTCAGCTCCTCCATAAAATGATCAATGTTCCGGGACTTTCCCTTCTCTTTCTCTTTCATCCTCTCCTCCTCCTTCTACAAACAGCATGGAAAAGTTTAAAACTAAATGTGCATAACAAATTGGAAAACTCAGTTGAGAATAATATAAAGACAAACATGTGCCATAATTTCAATCTCGAAATTCACCTTCTTCTCAGATTCCTTTCCCTTGGTTGCCAAAGGAGGAGGTATGAAAGATGGAACATACCTGCAGAAATATTAGGAGAGATAAACTTCCATTTTACAGAAAGATTTGCTTTCACAGTTCCACCCATTCTTTAACAAAACTTCTTCACTTTTCCTTATCAATGAACTTTAAAGGAGACTTTCTTGGGGAACCATTATTAAAACGTTCTATGTGAAGTTGACACATACTAAACTAGTTCTTAGATTTCATAAGACTTAATTTTTAACAAATTTTTTGTTGTTTGTAAAGAAGCATGCTGGAACAGCCTCCTTCAAAGAATCCAACTAAAAGCATTTTAAAAACATTTGGTAGCAGACAGATGAAAATTTGTGTTATGCTTCACTCTTCTATGATCACAAACTGAAATTACTACAAAATCGTAGAATATTTAACCTTTCCAAAATGTTATTAAAATAAAATGTTGGAAGAAAAGTGACATATTTAAAAAATGGAAAGCCAACCAGCTAGAAAAAAAACAGCAGGTTGGCCACTTTCATTCAAAATTCAATATCACAAGAGACAAGGTTATCTAACCAGCTTATAAATCCCACAAGTAAAGAAAATCATTCATGAAAATTTAATTGACTTGAGGGCTTTCCTGATCTGAAGTCAAGGAGACAACGTCCATTTGTTTTCCATCTAACAAACTGACATTTTAACTGTAAATTTAATCTAAAATTTTATATTTTGCAACTATCCTTCCCATAAAGTTCAAGCATAACAGCAGGACTGACCTGATGGCATGAAGGTATAACTTGATGACCATTCATTTGAATTAATCTTAATGAATAAATGGTTTCTTTAATACTTTTCCCTTGCTATCTCTAATTACTCCAATGCAGTTTGTTGACTGGAAGTGAAACTTTTCAAATTTCTTCTAAATTATGCCAGAGGTAACTAACATCAACACATCATTAACTTCCCACAGTTTTCGTTCAAAATGCAGATTAGTACTAATAAATATGTTAGAAAAGGTAACAAGTCCATAATGGAGTGGCAATTAATAGTTTAGATTCAGGAGATCATAAATAACAAGTGTTTCTTTTTCTAAAGTAGAAAAGGACCCCACTAATTGAATCTTCTCAAATTTAATGACATGCAAGCTGCAACAAACTATGAAATTTTTTTTCATGATATTATAGAAGCCTTTACAAAAACAAGGCTAGAATGAAAATATCACTATCAACACCATGTAACTTTTTTATCTATGATGCCTCACCAAAAGTGGAATAGCATTGCATTATGGTTAATCAAAAGCAATTATTTACCTACTTCCCTTCTTTGGAACAGACACCTCATCTTTGGACTTTTCACCTGCCATCCGGGAATGAATAAAAAAGGCCCATATTCTTATTAATGTGTCCCCATGATATAATAGAAAAATCATTCTACTAATCCATAGTTAAAAACCAAAAAAAAAAAAATCAACAATTAAAAACTGAGACAAATATATTAAAATTGCTGCTGAAAACACAAACGTTGAGTCTCTGAATCAAACTAACCTTCTGAATTGGATTTCAATCTCTCATTGGGATTGATTGTTCCACCTCGAACAAATGCCTTTGACCCAGGCGTATGATCTCCTTGAAATGATGCCACAAACTCCTCATACAATCGAGCTGTTTCATCCTCTGCCCTCTGATAGCGAAAAACAAAAACCCAAAATTAAAATTAATTATTTAGCTCAAATGAGTAAATAAAACTAAATCCAAAAGCTGGAAATCCTAACATGAAACCAAATTAATCAGAAGTTTCGAACTTTGTAGTTTAGGGAACTCGTTGTACCTTCTTCTTGGCTTCTTCCTCTTCTCTGTGCTTCTGGAAAGGCGTTTTCTTGCGCGTGATTGAAAACGAACTCATCTTCAAATGATTTAATCAATCATTCAAAACCCTAACAATTTAACCGTATAAATATCAACTTAAACCCCCAAATTGATTCAATCCCCACCATATAGTAAACCTAACAAATTACCCTCCCAGCATGAAGGATAAAGAATAAGGCGTGAAACCATACCTGACCAAATCGAAGGTTTCGTGCTATTGAGAGAAACGTCGCCAAAATAGGGGAAAACAGATAAAATAGAGCTCTTTTAGTATAGGGATTTATGAAATTTTTTAATTTCAGATTTTATCCCCCGAGTGAATAAAAAGTTTCGAGCTTTGGACGTTCAAAGCACGTACGAGTGAGAAAAAAAAAATTGGAGAAATTCGGAAATTGATTTAAAGTTTTCAGTTTAGTTCGATCGTTTTTACTATTTGGTTTTCATTAAATTTAAATATGAAATGTATAAATATTAAATTAAATTAAATTTTTTAATAAAAATTAAAAAATATTAAAAAAATAAAGTCAATAAAATTTTATATTTTTATTAATTTATATATATATTTTTAAACTTTTATAAAATAAAAATAAATATTTTATACTTAAATTTATTTAAATATATTAAACTTTAAATTTAAAAAACAAATAAACTAAAATAAACTAATAAAATTTAATTCAAATTATATTAAATTATACAAAATTTAACTTATTCGAATTGAATTTTTAAATTTTATAATTTTTTTATTATTTAAAAAATAATAAAAATCAATCCAAATTATTGTTACTCTTAAAAATAAATTATAGGTGACTTAGAAAGCAAGTACCTAAACATCTACATTTCAAACTCTAGACCAAACCCTAATGAGTAATGACTAAAAAAAAAGGGTTACTACCATTTTTTTTATTGAATTCTATAACATTTTTTGCTAGCTAATTGGATTCTATAATGTTTTTATCAAATTTTACTTTTAAGCTGCTTGATTTACATATTTTAAATTTTAAGATAAAAAGTTATTAAGGAAAAAAGTGATATTAAAAAAAAAATGTAATTCTTAAATTTTGTTGACTTAAAAAAGTAAAATTTTTGTATTTAATTAACAAAAATATAAGATTATATAATAAAATTTTTTATTATATTATTATTGATAATACGTAAATAACACATAATATTTATAATATTGATATATAAATAACATATTATTTTCATTGAAATTGAATAGTTTTAAAAAATAAATTTTTTTATATTTGTAACAAATATAATCTTACAATTTTAATTGTTATTATAATGTTATTGTCTCTTAAGTACGTTGATCAATTTTAGAAAAATTGTTTATGTAATAAGATTAAATAAAAATATTTATATTTTATTTTTTTATATTTTAAACAAATACTATATTTTTTATCTTAAAAAGTCATATTTTCAATAAAAATTATATTTTTTTTAGAAACAACATTTTTATTAAATTTTAAAAAATATATTTTTCATACTTTCAACAAAAATTATGTTTTTATCTTAAAAACATTATCTTTTCAACCAAAAATTATATTTTTATCTTTAAAAAGTCATTTTTATATAATTTTAAAAATTATATTTTTTTCAAGTTTTCAACAAATATTATATTTTATATTTTAAAAATGTTATCGCTATTGAATTTAAAATATATATTTATCATATTTTGAATAAAAGCTACATATTTATCTAAAAACTACATTTTTTATCTTAAAAATATCATTTTGATTCAATTCTGAAAATTATTTTTTTCATATTTACAATAAAAACTGTATTTTTATTTTAAAAATATCATATTTTCAATATAAACTATGTTTTTATCTTTTAAAAGTCATTTTTGTTAAATATTAAAAATTAATTTTTTCATATTTAAAAAAAACCAAGTTTTTTATTTTTGAAACTATCATATTTATTGAATTATGAAAAATATATTTTTTATTTTTAAAAAAATATTTTTAATCATAAATTTTGTGACGATTTTATTTATAATATATTTATAACATTTTACAAAAATTATTATATTTTAAAATAAACAATTTATCTATATAATCTAAAAATATAATTAAATGAGAGCAAAAGAACAAAAAAAATTACTTTTTCCTGAAAATCTCGTAGGACTTAAAAAACTCAGAAAGAGGAGAATTTGCTATTCCCTCCAACTTTTTCACTTCTTATCACTATTTAAAATCTTGAAAAAAAAACAAACCCAATTTTCCCATTTTCGTTAACCAAATCAAAAAACCGAATACCCCATTGTTGTTTTTATTGATTTAGAAACTTAGTTTTGACAATTATAAGCACACCAATGAAACCGAAGAGGACCACCCCAACCGATATAATTATTGGCACATCATTTTTTTTCTTTCAGAATGGATTAAAATTGGCTTCCAAAGTTCAAGAAAAACAAACAGAGGAGGCAGAGAATGAAACCCGTAGCATGGCAACCTCTGGTAGAAAATATGGAGCTACGGCACCTTTCTTATCAACATTAAAAGGCAACACCGAACATGTAAAACAATTATAAATAGAATTGGCACACCCCTCAAACCAACCCTAAAAATCATCAAAATACTATGTTAGATGAGATGCCGTTGAGTTTTCACTTGAGGACCATTCCATATCAACCAAACATTAAATGATTATACAAGGTCAAGCTACCTAAACAAAAACATAATTTTTGCTTGAAGTACAACATTGACCACAAAACACCTTTGCTATCATCTGAAACTCTGGAGAAAGCTGCAATGGTTCTGAAAAATACGTGCAAAATGAGGGAAACAAGAGCACAATTATCAGATGAGGTATTCTGCACTTGATACACATTCTCTTTCTATAAATTCAATTTCTACGAAGAGGATTTAATGTGCCAACTTCTTAAGGTGTTGAAATACTTTCTGTTTAATCCATTGCCTGTCATAAGGCAAAAAAGCTTGAATAGTGTGATCATAGCTGCAAGCAAGAAATAAACAATAAAATCAGTTATCCCACCAAAGGATTAATAACATGGGTGCATGCAATATACCTGAGTAAAGGGACTTGGTAAAACCATTGGTTGGAAACTTTTCAGCTTCCCATGGGACACAATGGAACCATAATGTTCCACCTATTCAAACAGTCCAGAACCGCACAGACCAACAATCACATGCAAGCCATTGTCTGCCATTTATGTAAAGCCACACTCATCTTTTAATGCATGATGATTGGACCACTCTCAGTATCTAAGCAATACTCAGACTGCCCATCAGCAACATTCATTCCTTGGGCCTTGCATGGTCCAAGGCCAAAAATATTGTTATAAGTTGGAAAAAACTCATTCACAAACACATTTGAGTTTCAGCAAAACGGAAATCTTCTATGGTGACTCATGGACTCAAGACACACACATCACATGACTCATTAAACATGCAATATAACATAAATTACATGGGAATGATCCGAGAAAAAAAGTAGAGGAAGAGAGAGAAAGCGAGACATACACAAGGGCGCTCATATCCGCAAGGCCATCAATAAAATTGTAAAGATCAGCAATGTCATAAGTGATGTTTCGTGTTGCTGGATTTAGCTCCTTAAGTTTCCTTTCATATAGTCCACATATACCTGCAAATAGCAAACCACGTAATAAATTGTTAAACTTGTCAAATCATTTAAACCATGAAAGAAACAAGAGAAGGGATTCCATCTGGAGCATCATGTTGGAACCGCCCTGATTCATTCAACCAAATCATCTTCTTAATGCAACTCAGAAATATAAATTATTTTCGACATACATGTTAGAGAAAGAAAAACATAAGTACAATCAAATCTAAGAATCATTTTAAACTCCACAAGCCGACTTCCAAAACATACAGTCCACTGCCTGGAGTACAAGCTGTTTTCAAGATCACCAACGCAGCAGGAACTTAAATCAGAATCCAACAGGCAATCCGGTCAGTAAGATTAACAGTTACTCACAATAATCGCCGTCAAAAACTAAAATTTAAGATGACGAACAACAAAAAAAATAAAAATAAAAAGACAATATAAACAAAAATAAACAAAGCATACCATCCATAGCTTGACTTATGGAATCATAATCCATAAATGTTCTCGTTGCTCTGCTCTGCGAAGTCTGCATCAAAACAATGGTGTGCTTGTTTGCCTAAATTCACACAGAAAATTTATAAAAAAAAAAGGAGATTAAAAAAATATACTGACCATATTAATCAAATAAAAAAAATTACTTTTAAAATACGTTTGAGTGTCACTAACACGCTGGAAAGAATCAAAATCAACAAACAATTTCAACAAATAAAACCATAAATCGTGCAGTAATAATACTAAATAATAAGAAAATAGCTGCGATTTAGTAGGCTTGTGTGCCCTAATTTTATATCAAAAAGGAAACTTTTGAAGAAACCCTAGTTTCTGGAGGAAAGAAGAAGAGATAGACAAACAAGAAAGGGAGATTTTACAACCAAAATTGTTCAATAAGGAAAACAATTCAATGAAAAATAAAACGAGAAAGCCGAATTACCATGAGCTTCGATGTTGAAGAGGAACCGAAAGAGAATCTGCTACCAACGTTAAAAGATGAAGCCTCGAAAAAGCAACGGAAAGGAAGACGACAGACAAAATAAATAAAAGAAGAGAGTAATTGATGTGCTGCCACGTAATCGGAATGGTTGACGAAGACTTTGAAATATGTTGCCATTGCATTTACACGTTAAAGAGTTTTTTTTTTTTTTTTTGTAAAATGTTAAAGATCGCTTATTAATTAATTTTTGCTTCCTTTTTTTGACTTTTTCCCCTTCTTTTTATTGCCTAATATGTTCCCTTTTGTTTGGCACTAAACTTTTTCTTGGAAGAATGGCTAAAAAAGAAAAGAAATTCTCTTTGAAGGAATTCAGCAAGTGAGAAATGTTTAGTGAAATTTCACATTAAAAATATTAAATTAAAATTAAAATTGAAAATGAAATTTTTTGTTATGAGATTAAGTGTGTAAATTTTGAAAAAGTTTTTAATAAATTATGATATATTTTTAAATTAAAAAAATTTAATAAAATTTTACAATTGATTCCAATATGAAATTTAAATTATAAATAATTTTTAATTATTTTTTATATATTATTATTTTTATATTAAATTATATCAATTTATCATTTTAAAATTTTTATTAAAATTTTTGTTAAAATCATTTTTTAAAAACTTCACAAATTTTAGAGATGTGTTGAAAAGAAAAACATTAAAGAACCCAAAATTAATTTATACAACTAATTATGACCCGTGCAATGCATTAATTAATTAAATTTATTTAATATAATTATAAAATTATATTAATTTTAAAATAAATATATTAACAAAATATAAAAATATTATTCAAAAATATTAAATTCCTTATTTTTTTGAAAATTTTTAAGTGAAAATCGATGATCAGTCTCTTCATAAATTATTTTTTAATTTTGCATCATTATCAAATTTAAACTTAAAAATAATGCATTTAAATTTACAATATTATAAAAAAGTTTTGAAAAATAAACACTTTTCTAGGCTTAATGATATAAATTGGATAATGCTTAAAAATATAATGAAATACAAATTAATTAAATTATCATTCATAATTAAAAATATATAATTTCATTTTCACATAATTATTTATCATTTATATTTAATAAAAATATTCTTATATTACAAAATTTTAAAAATAATATTTTTTTATTATTTGAACAATTTGATTCAAAAAGTAAAAAAGTTATAGATACTATAGATAATTGTCTTCAAAAGTCTTAAAAAAAAATTTTCATCTCCATCTCAATGTTAAGTTATTAATATAAGATGATAAAGTTTAATAGCAAAGTAGATATACTTATCATCTTATAAAGATTAATATTTTTAATAAATAAAAGCAAATGATATTATATCATTTTCATAGTTTACTTTTTTACTTGTACCACAATGGAGTACTCCAACTTAATATTTTCACTCATGCAAATCATAAATACAACATTTAGCAATAAAAAAAAAATCACATATAGGATTATATTTACTATTACATTGTAAAGATTAAAGGCGTCTTAAGTTTTAATATAAAAGTAAACATATCTCAATTCCTACTTTATGCAATAATCTAGTTAAACAAAATATAGTATTTAAATATTATCATTATAATTTTTATTGATTTTTATTTGATAAAACTATTATTCTATTTGATGGGATGCTCGATTTTGAAGTTTCAATTCCCTTACTTAATATATGACCTATCATTTCTGAAAGCAAGTTTTATAAGAAGGTCATTGTAGAGCAAAAATCCCACAAATTAATGGCAAAACTAGAATTATTGATAAAGTAAAACATAATTAATAAGAGAACTTTTGTCGTATTGGTATTTTTTAGAGAAAATATCAATTACTGATGAAAACCCTCAAAACTTTAGATTGGGTGTTTTGTAATTAACATATTTTTCAACCATTAACCAGCTACTAAAAATCAAAATAATAGTTTTTCAAAATCAAAAAATAATATATACAATTAATAATGAATGAAATATATGAAAATGATATTTTATTTGATACAAATACGATTAATATCATTGGTATGTGCAATTAAAGTAATAAATGAGTAATAGGAAAACTTTAGCACAAGAATATTCCATTGAGGTGGAAGATGACATTCATTAAATAGTGAAATAAATGATTTTTGGTCTCTTAAAATTTATTAGAAATTTTATAAAAATAAATTTATATTTAAAAATTTAAAATTTAAAATAGATATATTTAGATTGTTAAAAATATATTTAAATTATATATATATATTTAAAAAAGATTATATATATAGATTGTTAGAGATAAATTTAAATTATATATTTTTAAAAATTTAAAAAAGATATATAGATGGTTTAATAGTTTATTTTAAAAAATAAATAACAAAATTATTGATTTTATTCTAAATGTATTTAAAAAAGTGAGTTTGGGATAAATTTTATTTGATTTAAATTAAAATAAAACTCTTGAAATATTAAAATTAATATAATTTTTAAACTTTCAAAATTATTTTTAAATAAAATAATTATTGGATGGGATTATTTGGTTAAAAATTTAACTTAAATTATTATCTTACATATTAAAAATATAAGTTACCCATGTGGCATACCTTATTAGGTATCCATGTATTCTATAAGATAATATATATATATATATATATATATATATATATTAGATTTAACATGAAAATTTTTTGAATTTTCAAAATCTTATGTAAAGTTGTTTAAATTTTTAATATCTTTTGTAAATTTTTTAAAAATATAATTTTTTTAAATCAAGATAAAAAAGATTGGTGAAAATTTTAAATAAATTTAATCTTTGTAATTTTTAAATATGTTTAAAATATTTTGATAATTAAATAATTTTTTAAATAAGGTTATTTGATAAACAACTAAAATTATTTATTAAAAAATAAAATTCATATTTTATTTTTTTAATTTTTAAAAATATATCTTTAAATTGATTTGATTTTCAATTATAATTTGAATAATTTTGATATTTGAATAAATTTAAAATTGTCTAATTTGTAATTAAAAGAAACTATCTTATTATTTAAAAAAATATCTTATGTGTCATTTAAGAGAGTTATCTACATAAGCACTCATGTGACAAATTTATTTATGTATATTGTTATATAATTTATATATATATATATATATTAAATTTAAGATGAAATTTTTTGAATTTTCAAAATCTTACATAAAATTGCTTGAATTTTTAATGTCTTATATAAATTTTTTTAAAAATATAATTTTTTTAAATTAAGATAAAAAAGATTAGTGAGAATTTTGGATAAACTTAATCTTTGTAATTTTTAAATATGTTTAAAAAATTTTTATAATTAAATAATTGTTTAAATAAGATTATTTGGTAAATAACTAAAATTATTTATTAAAAAAATAAAATCAATATTTTATATTTTTAATTTAAAAAAAATCTCTAAATTGATTTGATTTTCAATTATAATTTGAATAATTTTGATATTTAAATAAATATAAAATTATCTAATTTGTAATTAAAAGAAATTATTTTTTAAAAAAACTATGTTAAGAGAGTTATCCACGTAAGCATCCATGTGAGAAATTTGTTTATGTATGTTGTTATATATATATATATATATATTAGATTATAACCCATGCAATGCATTAAATAATTTTACTTATTTAATATAAATATATATAAATATACAAATTAGTTTATTTTCAAATTATATTTAAAATTTTTAAAACTCATAGCATATATAAAATTTATATATATTGACTTATCATTAAGAAATAAACTTTATAGAAATAGTAAGAAAAAATTATGTCTTTCTTTTTGATATTTTTGTTTACAATAATATTTGTACACAAAGATTATATCAAATAAAAATAAATTATGCCTTTCTTAAAAAATAAAAATATATATTATTAAATGATAAATTAAGTAATAAAAGAAGTATTAACATACTTTTACTTTAGTAATCTTTACTGAATTATTATGAAAAAAATGAAAAATGTTAGAAAATATGTGAAAAAAGAAAAAAAATTGAAAAAAATTTATTTTTCATAATAATTAAATTATAATAACAATAAAATATATCTTAGAAAAAAGTTATAAACAAAAAAAATTGCAATAGTAATATAATATACATTGAAAAAAAGTTACTGAAAAAATAAAAAAATTGATGTATAACATATTACATTTATAGTCTTAAATTTGTAGAAAAATTATTTAGTGTTAATTATGATTAAATAGATAATTTTTAAAATAAATTTTAAAATTTTAAAATGAAAATAATGAGTGATAAAGATAATATTAAATTTTTTACATTTATTTGAACTATAAATTTGATAATTAGAGTTTAAATTGATATAATAGTTTTGATGATCTTATTATTTTAAAATTTAAGATGAAATTTTTTTGAATTTTCAAAATCTTACATAAAGTTGCCTAAAATTTTAATGTCTTATGTAAATTTTTTAAAAAGATAAATTTTAAATCAAGATAAAAAAGATTATTAAAAAATTTAGATAAACTTAATCTATATAATTTTTAAACATGTTTGAAAGATTGTGATAATTAAATAATTTTTTAAATAAGGTTATTTAGTAAACAACTAAAATTATTTACTAAAAAAATAAAATACATATTTCATATTTTTTATTTTAAAAAATATATCTCTAAATTGATTTGATTTTCAATTAAAATTTAAATAATTTTGATATTTAAATAAATTTAAAATGATCTAATTTGTAATTAAAAAAATTATCTTATTTAAAAAAAAAAACTATCCTATATATCATTTAAGATAATTATCCATATAAATGCTCATATGACAAATTTATTTATGTATGTTGTTATATATATATATATATATATATATATATGACATTCATTAAATTTAAATTTAAAACTCAACACTTACTATTTATTTTTCTATCCTTAAATCTACTTTGTGAAAAAAAGAAAGTCGATGAGAATGGAGGCCATGGATTCAGCAGTGAACTCGGGAATTGAAAATTCTCAAATGATCCTTCTCTTGACTTAACAGTATGATGTATGATGCAATCTTCGGTTGAACTTGAAATCTGGAGATGCCATCCAGTTTCATTCTTTGCCGGTCGAGGTTCTATTTCATAATGGTTTCATATAATACATAAACAACTAGACTTCATCTTTCTCATTCTTGGGAACAAGTTCCAAGCCCTCATCATCTGGGGTTACAGCTGGTTTCTTTGTCAAAATATCTGGCGGAATCAAAGCATCTGACTGGTCAGCTTTAGGGACAAGAAAAATTAAGCCCAGAGTCCCAAATCTCAGAATGTTTCTAATGAGAATAACCAACCATAGGTTCGTGAAATCAGTTCTAGTGACATGCAATGTATGAAGAACAATTCCTCCACCCCATTTGGAGGTCAGGGAACCAAGGCTGTCAATGCACATTAACAGTGCAAAAAATGTGCCTTCAATGCCTAAAGGGCAAAGCCTCGTGCTTAATACAATCATAGGAATCCACCTTATTCTGCTTATAATTCGTGAGACGCATTCTTCCAGGATAACAAAGAAGTAATCTGGAATTCCAAGGACTAAATTCCATCTAAGGATGAAGATCAGATCGAGCATTCCGGATATGCCATAAAGGAGTTGTGCAAACAAGAGTATGTTTCTAAATGGGATGTCTTTTAGTGTCTTGTGATAGATCAGGACCCCCACCATTGAAGCCAATGCACCAATCGCGTATATGAACCCAATGAATTCCTGCAGTTAAGAAAGCATGAGTTAAAGAAATACGAAAGGCATATGTTAGAGCACTCTATTTTTAACTCGGATAATGAGAAACCTGAGAAAATGCAGGACCAGCTTTAGGATCTGTGTACCAATAAAACTGCCCTTCATGAGTACTGATACTGAGAGCCAAAGAGAGGTACATGTATAGTGATGGCTTCCACACCTGAGGGAACTTTATTGTCTGATACATGCCCCTTATGGCCACTCCTAAGGTTTCCATTGCCTGTGTAAGCATCCATACAACATAGATGCATCAAGAACTGAGAAAAAATTATTAGCATAGAAATGCTGTCTAAATACTAAAAGCATCCATTGCTTCTCAATCTGATGAAATAATGGATAGAATATTTAGGTTAAACTTTGTTTAAGGTGTTTTGACAGAGTTTTTGTTTGAGTAGAAACAGAAATTTTAAAAGTCTAATGGCTGGAGTATGCGATCGGAAATAACCCTCCTGTCCTCATGGTCTGACATTATTATAGCGTTATACAAGAGATGCATGCAAATTCTAGGGACCGAAGAAGACATCTATTGATCAAAATAGAGAACATGATGTTTTGGCAATGGAATAGGATGATAAGACAGGGAATTTGATGTTGATATCATGATATCTGAACTTTTAAGAACTGCTAATTCCTGAATGGTAACATACCTTGAATAGATTTGAGTTAGATTTTCAAACATGATTATAAGAAGTTCTTGGATTATAGTCTAGCACCTATTATAAGGTAATGCGGAGTGGTTAGCTGTTCAATCACCAGTCCTTATGTGTTTAAAACTACATAGAAAGCCTAATCCCCAGAAAACCTCCCCCTCTTCCCCACCAATACCTATTTTCTTGCAAGGAAAATTAAGAAATACTTTCATTAGAAAATTGAAAGCTGTAGTACGTTCTACTATAGTTTTCAAAACCTTGCAGGATAATAGTGAGTTTCATATTCTAGGCTAACCTTTCATTTCTACCCTTTTGGCCACCTGAGGATAAATTTTAAAAATCTTACATCTGCATTGAGATAATCCATTTGCTCTGGTCTATGAAAAGTAGTTGTAGTTGAATGATGTGAGAAGGTACATTACCACCTGCCATGATCTAGATTGGTTTGACTGTTTGGTGTATTAGTTGTAAAACAACAATTGTATCTTTACTAATTCTTAGGATCCAAACTTGGAGCCTGAGGCAGGCAGTTTCATGTCATGATTTACAAGAAATGGCTCTAATGTTCTACCAAACTGCAACAACATAATATTTACAGAAGAATTTATCTGGAAAATTAAAAATCTAACCTTCTGCTTCTCAGAGTGAAGGCTGGAAGATCTCGTTTCATAAATCACAAAGCCCAATACAGTGATAAAAACTGGTGGGATTGCCAAAAGAATTAAAGCTCCCTGCAACAAGCATACATGTTAAGAAAGAGGGACAGAGAACTTAGAAACCAAGCTAGGAGGTAATACGGAAGAATTTTTACATGGTTATAACTTTTGGTTTCACTAAAGAACATAATCAAAGGTCAAATGATCAGTGCTTGAAATTTTGAGAATTTGAGATGTTGAACACAAGCGAAAACTAACAATTTCCAAGCTCAAAAGCCAGTGCTTCTGGCCATTTTCTAAATTTTTAGCCACCTATATTCAGTCCCAAATAATAACTTCTAATTTATCAAATTGCAATGGTACAGATAAGTTGAAAAAAAAAAGAAAACGAGCTAACCTGAGCTCCGAGATGGTGAACAAAAAATCCACTGGTGGAATAGCCAATTAAAGCCCCAGCAGAGGAGCAAAATCCACAAAGGCTCTGCATATCCGGAGCCAAAGATCGGACCTCAATGCTATTTCTCGCAATACACGCATCAATTGTCACATCTGCTATTGCCATGCCTGCTGCAACCCCTACCAGGCAACTTAATGCCAAAGCAACAGGCAAGTTACCAATAAGAGCAACCATCAAAGCAGAGATACCACCAAGAACACCAGCAACCACAAAGTATGGTCTTCTTCTGTAGCCTTTTATTGAAAAAACATCAGTGAATAAACCCCAGACAGGTTTCATAATCCATGGAATATAATATAGGCCTATGTATAGTTGAACCGCCGAGGGTTGGACTTTCTGAACATCTTTCCAATAGTAGTCTGAGACTACTCTGAAGAAAGAGCCAGAGAAGCCTAGGTTGAGGCCATAGACAAGAACTATGCCAAAGATGAAAGTTGGATTGAGATGGGAAGATAGCATTTGTAGCCATTGAAATGGCTCAAGAAAGACTGAGAAAAGATTGTTTTTCTTGCAGGTTTCTATTGAATGAAGGCTGCTTTGGTTTGAAATGCAGCCAGGTTGCTGGGATAAACTCGATACAGATTCTTCAACGAGTCCCTCTTTTTCAGAGGAATCCATTTTTGAAATTGAAGGAGCATGGATCTGCAAATGGCGCTATGGATTAGAAGAGAGGAAACGTTGAGCGCGGGATCTTAGTCATCCTTAACCTACCCCAGTTATGCCATACCAGAATATATTATATATTACTATATGCTAAGTCATGCTATGGTGTCCTATTCAAAAAAATGAAAAGTTATGGCGAAATAATCAAGTGATTCGCTCATTCGTCAACTCCTACATTCTCGGTCTCGGAGTTGTTAGCTCACGGGAAAACCTCTTTTTTACGTTCAAAGTCCAACCAGGAATTGTAAAAATACTGAGCAAAACAATAAAATAGAATATTTGTCTCGGAACTTAACATGGCTAACATCACAGCTTGGAATTTTTTGAAGTCATTCCGCATGAAAGTTGACTTTCTTGAGTTCATCCAGACAAACTGATGCAAGTTGATTAAACTAAATTATTAAAATCTTCAAGTTGATTTAACTAAATAATTATTAAAATCGTCAAGTTGATTTAAACTGAAGTGCAGAACAGGTTAAGCTTGTTTGTTCTGTCATTTTTAACTAGAGACAAAATGGAAAACAGCAAAAGTTATATAGCAAAAACTTTACAAAGTGATAGCTTTTGAATTAAGGTTTTAGAATTATTCACATCCAAACTTCACAGAAACCTTTTCTGCAACTCTATTCCTGAAGGAAATTACGAAGAAAAATGAAGTCACGCAAAAAAGAGAAGGTATTGGAAAAGGCGGAAAAAAGAAAACAACTTTCACAACCGTTAAGGAGAAATTTTAACAAATAATGCAAAAAAAACGCATACCATGTCTAACCATGGAAAAGAAAAACAAAAGTACATATGGATGTATCAGACCTATAGCAGAAAACACCATTCCATCTTTCTTTCCTGACTGAGAAATGTACATGAATCTGCTTATTTTTGTCACTAGCAGAAGGGATGCATGTTATTTTGGCTCAAGATTCATGCCGTGAGGAGCTTCTGAATGTCTTTCTGCACCACATCATGCGAAAAATAAAATTAGTTAGTTGATTTTTTTTTTAAATTCATTGATTAGTTGAATCCTGTTCTAGATAAAAGTACATCTTTCTTAAGGTACTACTAAGGATTAGTGCCGTGCTTCCGTTAAAATTAGGACCAGATCACAACATAAAGTGTTTTTATCCTGTACCATTTAACAACTATGTGCACATATCTATTGCACTGAGTATGAACAAGTGTCAGCATGGGGGTGCAAAAAGGCCAGTTCAGAACAAACTACTTCCAATATGAGGCCATGAAATGAAAAAAATCAATGGGGAAAAGCAATAAGTCCCACCCACCAGATAACTTAGTGCTATCACTCAGTAGTGATAGAACTACTGAATTTGTCATCCAATTCAGGAAATTCAAAGGAATTGGCTTCCATTATCTTATAGCAGCTTTTAAGTTGACTGTAACACAAATTCTGATACCAGCCGAAGCCGGTAAGATATAATTGTTCTGACCTTTCTATCAGACAAGAAAGTTGTCTACAGCATTGGCATTCCAATGCCCCAGAAAGAAAAAAAGTACTGAATGTTGCAGAATATGTTTTACTTTTATATCAATCAAATATCCCAGCCACCAGTATTTCTCAACATATCTACCACAGAACAAGTGGGAAGAGTAATAATGTCAAACTGCAAAAACTAGTAAAAATGTTACATGTGTTAACATCGATCTTTCATTACAAGCCATAACATATACCATCTTAAAGAATACTTATTATAATGTTATGAACACGTTAGTCCTCAATTGCTATGAGATTAACCTGATTGGACAAGAGAAGGAGAATAGCTGTAAACACATACCTCAATTTGGAAAGGCGATGTTGTTGGTGGATACCTCTCGGCAACTTTGCCATTCTTGTCCACCAAGAACTTCTCAAAATTCCACTTGACCAGGTCACCCAAAAATCCACCTGCACTTGACTTCAGAAATTGGTAAACAGGAGCTGTATTCGGTCCATTCACATCAACCTGTTTCATTAACCTTTCCTTTAGTCCTTTAAGTATAATCTATCTATATCATAAATGCTACAATCAATAGCAAAGCAGCTAGACATACCTTATCAAATATTGGAAATTCTGCTTTAAACCTGGTACATGCAAATTGTTTAATCTCCGGATTTGATCCAGGCTCTTGTCCGCCGAACTGATTGCAAGGGAAAGCTAGAATCTCAAATCCTGTGATAGAGTTGCATGAAGAGATCTTACTAAAACATGATAACATTTATTAAGAAACAAATAACAACTATACGGAATACAGAATGCTTCTCACCTTGAGTCTTGTACTTCTCATGTATGTGGGAAAGCTCAGAGTAATTTGATGTTGTCAAACCACTGAGAATCAAAATGAAAATTCTTCAATCAGACCCCAAGTAAAGGACAGAAAGCAGACTAAGCTGAACAAGCGTATAAAATGCCGTAATTATCTTGAAGGGGAGGCAGTACCATCTTGAAGCAACATTAACAATCAAGAGAACTTTTCCCTTAAATTTGCTAAGAGAAACATCCTTCCCATCAATATCCTGCCCAAAAAAGAGAGAGAGATCTATCGGCAAAGTGAAAACTATTATCAAGTTCAAATTCTTTAGTCGTTGGACTTTTCAAATCTTTTCCAAAAACCATGATCATACACTGAAAGTCAAAATTCTGCAAAATTCACCAACAAACTTGGAACTTTTGTTCAACATAAACTAAATATATTAAAATTAAGATCCATAAATTAACTTCAGAAAGGAAGGAAAGAGAGTTCTTCTCCAATATTATACCTTCACAGTATAGTTGTAAAGAGTCTTCTCCGTAGCTGCTCTTGCAAAAATCCTTGAAGATCTAGATTTGAAGACAAACCCAGAAGCCGTAAGCGACTGTAAGGAGAACCCGTGTTGCAAAAAGCCTGATTTCGAAGACCCAAGCGATGATTTGACGGAAGGAATTGAGAAAGCCATGGAAGACGATGAAGAAGACAAAACTGAGTTCTTTTTTATTTGAGAAAAACCATGAAGAGGAGAAGGAAAGGCTGCAGAGAAAGGCATGGAAGCCATAGCTTTTTTTTTTGCCCTTTTTCCTTTGTGTGTAATTGTCTAAAATGCAACCAGAAAATACGTAAGAGTTGTCGCAAGACAACAAAAGGAGGGTTGGACTGTTTAAACCTTAAACTGTGAAGCCCATGCAACTTTGTTTAAAAGGGTTTTGCTGTGGAAGGTAACATTCCACGTTGGCTTTCCCTATTTAAGCTCTAACGGTTGTTTTGTTCATGATATCATGTCGTGTTTCACACTCCGGTTTGTACTTTGGTTTTTGATTGACCAACCTGCGATAACAACAAGACATGATAACTAACGAATGACACCTCAAAATGTAGTTTTTTTTTTTTTTTTGGTCATATTTTTCCCTACAATTACGGGTAGAAAATGTTTAAGTGGCAGAGATGTGATTTAAATAGCAACCACTAGAGAGAAAGCTGTGCGAGTTTTGAGTAGCGTGGCTATTGGTGGGTCAATAAAATTGTACTAATCGCATTCACATATAGAGGGGAAGATGTGCACGTCCATCTCCTTCAGAACTTTGATAATTCCAAAAGTCAAACTCAAAACCATGACTTCATTATCTAATTAAAGAACAATCAATTCTCTAAAGAGAATACTAATGTTAACGACATTGATAACTCCAGTGATAAAAAAATATTTTTTTATTATTTGATTATGAATCCATTAAAAATTTATGAAAAAGTATAAATATGTTAAATTTAACATAAATAAATTTATTTAAATTAATTAAAAAAACTATTAAACAAACTAATACAATGCAATAAATAAAATAGTGTCATTTTTTAATCCACTTGTATTAATGCGCGTCTGGGCTATTTATGGGCCTCAGTTAAAATGTGAAGTCGATTGGATAGCTTATGAAAAGGAAATTGGGGCTTCACAGACTTGATGGCCCAATTGGAAATTCATTGTAATCTAAAAAAATTTATATAAAAGAAAAAAAATTAGTAGTAAAATATTTTTACTGATTTTTTAAAATAAAAACATGCAACCCCTATTTTCGGTTTGAGGTAAAAAAATTTAAATGAAAATGCTACTGCTCGTTCTGCGACGGTTTTCTTATTATTTTTAACCCTTTCTTTCCGACGGCCACCGTTTCCCATTCTCTGGAATTATGCGAACAGATCAGACGGTGATAAGTTTGAGGCCAGGTGGCGGCGGTGGTCCGCGCTAGATTCTTTACTCGTCGTTTCTTTTCCTCCTCTTCTTATTCTTCCTCGGATTCCCAGATTTTGCGTCCCGCCTTCGAGGTCCATTCAAAAACCCTAGCTTTTTATTATTAAATTACATGCATTTCTGTTTCTATATAGAAACTATTTTATATTTGAGTTTGTACAAAGAAGAGTGTATTTTTAAAAATGGAATGATAAAAAATTGAAAATTGTTTGTTATCTATTTCTCATTGCCTTAATTTTTAAAAAAACTACAGTGTTTTTGTATGCAAATAATAGAGTTTAAGTGATTGTTAGATATTGGAATTGATGTTAATGAAATTTTAATTGTCCTAATTCTTGGCGGAGCACTTGAGTTCGTGTAGCTGCTGTAAACGTGGACAAACATCAATATGCAGGCTTTAGGTGGGCGAGCGATAAGTGCATTGATGCCCATAAAGAACCTACATTACATATGGATTTCTATAAGTTTATAGAGCTAGTGGACAGCTGAAAATTTATAAATTAGAGAGGAATGCACATATTTCGATCTTTGTATTAAAGTTTTTATGACATAGGAGTGCATGCTCCCCTGACATTCATGATCATGAAAGCAAGATGAGTTTTTCGTTATGGTTTTCTCAATATCCTAACTGTAATGTTTCTATCACTGCTGTTTCTTTTTTTATGAGCTGTAAATGGCCTTTGGGTCCACTATTTTTTCTTCTTTTTATGTGTTTTTATGATATAAGATTTCTAGTTTTGTTTGCAATAGGCTGGGGATTTGCGGTTTGAAGGTCATGAGTGTGTTTGGTATACACACGAACAGCTGTTGCAACTTAAAGGAGGTAATTTTTGTCTAATGATGATCCAGGGAATCATATTTGTGAATTTGACATGTGAAGCAACAGACATTTTAGGTATATTATGCATTTATATCTTGTTTAGCTTATAGACAGTGGAGTTTAAATTCCCAATGATTTGGTTAATATTTCTTTTTAATTGATATGTCCATATCTGATCATTCCTTTTGCTATCTAATTTTTTTTGTTTGCTTGCTATTTTAGGTTGCTGATATCCCAGAGGATATTTTAAAGATAAAAAAAAAAAAAGAAATTGATTCTGAATTTGCTAGTGATGATCAAACCTGGGCTTATGCCGATGGAAATGTGAGTATAGAATATGTCGCCTTCTAATGAAAGTATTCTACACATTGGTTCTTTTTGGGTGGAAGGAGCTATTGCTCAAATCAATTGTCAACTCCTAATACAAATTATTGGAATATTATGGTTCCACTGAAAGAATGAATATATTTGGAAATCTTTCTGGGATTGTCGTGTTTCAATTGCCATTTAATAACTTATTCTTCCCCAAATCACACCCTTAAGAAAACGGTGAACCGAGCATGTCATTGTGATCATTCTTAATCAGTTCTTTTTTTTGCTTGAACCAAAGAAAAATAATAAAAGTAATTGGTTTATCTCCTTTCTCTTTATGATTATAGCTGGTTTCAAATTACAGCTTTTGCTTTCTTTCTCTTTATTTCCAAGCTCAAACCCAAAGTTGTTATTCTGAGCCAGACAACTGTGATTGGCTTGGTCATTCTGCTGCCCCTGGAGATGAAAGATCCTGGGATACAATTCAAGACAATAAAGAGGTTTCCGCTTCTTTTGATTCAAGGCTGCAGGAAATTAATAATCACCAGGAGCAACTAAACTCCCACTTTGCAAGGGCTCAAATTTCATCTAGCCAAGGGGTAACAATGTCTTATCATTCAGTAAACTCCCCACCCTCTCTTTTTTCAAAAAAAAAAAAAAAATGGAAATCCTCATATTATGCAAAGGGATGATTTATTAATATCTCTTTTTCTGCTATCACTCTCTGTTAAAGTTATCAAACTATAAGTTGCACTGGAAGTTTGCTAGACGTATTTGCTTATTTAGCTTCTGCCAGTTTCATTTGAATTTCTTGTGAACCAGTTAGGACCTACTCCTGTGCTTGTAAAGGCTGAAGTCCCATGTTCAGCTTGAAGAGGTTATCTCTCCAAAAAGGAGCATGTTTTGAAGACAGTTAAAGGGTAAATATTCCTCTGATTCACAGTCTTTTAGTCATTTGCTCTTGTAATTTATATCACATTTTCTTTATCTCTAAGTTATTTAGAAGGATGACTTACCTGGATTATCTCATTTATTGCTCTATCTTAAAGGTTTTATTGTGATTCTTTCTATGCAGAAACTATTTGTTTGCTGAATAAATACGACATGTCAACTGTTGTTTTTTATTGTGAGGTATCTTGAACAAATTGACCCCATAGAAGTTTGATGTTCTTAAGGTCAGTTGATTGACACTGGCGTTACATCTCCAGGCAGTTTGAAGGTTTCTAGTTATGTCTTGACACCTTCATCTTTGGCATTTATTTAATAACTTGTCTGTCAATGGAATTTACTGTCTGGTTGCATTTCAGGGTGTTATCTCACTGCTGTTTGATAAGGCTGTGATGGAGCCAACATTTTGCCCTATGTATGCTCTTTTATGTTATGACCTTAATGAAAAGCTTCCTCCATTTCTTTCTGATGAACCTGGTGGGAAGGAAATTGCTTTTAAGTGAATCCTTTTGAGCAATTTCCAGGAGGCATTTGAAGGTGCAGACAATTTGAGAGAAGAAATTAGGCAGATGACTGCCCTTGAGCAAGAAATGGAATGTGTAGAAAAGAAAGAATGGTCAAGCTGCGAACTCTGGGCAACATACCCCTAATTGGGGAGCTGTTGAAGCAGAAGATGGTGCGTGAAAAGATTGTCCACCATATCATGCAGGTTTGTTATTCATCCAATTAGTTTATTGGGCATGGATTTGCTTCATTGTTTATACTTGTCTGTTTACGGTATTTCTATGTGATGCAGGAGCTTTTGGGACATGATGGTAGAACAAGCCCTGCTGAGGAGAATATAGAGGCTATATGTCAGTTTTTTAACACTATTGGGAAGCTGTTGGATGAGAGCCTGAAATCTCAGCAAGTCAATGATGTCTATTTTATCAGGCTGAAGGAGCTGACCAAAAATCTACAACTTGCTCCTCGATTAAGGTTCATGGTTCATGATGTTCTTAATTTGAGGGCCAACAACTGGGTGCTTGGTCGGAAAGAGGTTAACTTCTATAAACACATTTTGTTAACTTTTAGGCATTTTCATCAGTAGACATATTTTGTTCATTCCTTTTCCTCGCATTATTCTATTGCATTGGACATAGTATTTCCATGCCTCATATGTGCAAATGACCAAACAGCTATCCTACCATATTCTATAGTAGTCACCTCTTTCCTGAAGTACAAAGCAAATTACCAACCCTTAAATTTGTCTATTTTTTTTTCAGACACTGATGGTTGTTTATCTTCTGATTCCTTATTAATCTAAAACAGTTGTGGGAGTATTTGACATTCTTTTTTATCCTGTTTTGGCAGGTCAGAGGAAAGACAAACACTGAAATTTATTCTGAAGCAGAAAAGAATATGGGGCTGTGATATGGTGCAACTGCAATTATGAGAAATGGTCATAACAGTGGGGCTCTAGGGGGTATGTCCCCTAGCGGTTTCCCACCCTAGCTCTGGGGGCATGATGCTTGGAATGCCTGGAATCAGGAAGATGGCTGTAATGCCTGGGGTTGATGCTGATAACTGGGTGATTCCTTGATCTCAGTCAATCAATTTCAACAGGTGATGGATTGGGTCCTTCTCAGCCTAGTGGGCGTGTATAGCAGCCTTTCATCAGCAAATCACCTTCCATTTATTCGAAGTTTCTGTCTCAAGGTAGTGGTGGCATACTAGCAGGGAAATCAAGTCCCTTGTTGCAGAGTAATGTTGTGCTGCCAGCTAGATCTTCAAGTTTTGAACCTGTGAATCCTAAGCCTGTTGTATCCGCAGCAGCTGGAGTCAATTCTCCTAAGAAGCCAATGGGTGCTGCAACAAAATCAAATCCTGCAGATCTTCAAAGAAAAACAAAGTCTCTGCTTGAAGAATATTTTAGTATCTGATTACTTGATGAAGCACTACAATGTATTGAGGAGCTGAAAACCCCTACTTTCCATCCTGAGATTTTAAAAGAAGCTATTGCTCTTGCTTTGGAAACCAGTCCACCTTATATGGACGCAGTCATAAAGCTTCTCAGAGTTCTTACATGATAAGGATGTCGTCACTGCTGGGGACATAGGAACTGGTTCTGTTTTATACGGCTCATTAGTGGATGATATTGGTTTTGATCTAGCAAAAGCACCAAATAATTTTGGTGAAGTTCTTGTGAAGCTGGTCGTGGCTGGAGGTTTGGACTTTACAGTCATCAAAGAAATTCTAATGAAGGTTGAAAATAAGTGGTTCCGGAAATCCATCTATGGCGCTGCCGTTAGGAGCATTAATTCCTGCCATTCTGTGCAAGAATTGTTGGCAATGCTGACTTGCAGGCTTGTGAAAGTTTGCTTCTCTAGTTCCCGAGTGCTTCTTAGTTATTTTCCCGAGTGCCATGCAGGAGACTTAAGTATGATTTTTTAAATTTTGGTGATTCTATAGTTTTGTTCATGAAGTGAGAGACATAATGTTTAATCTTTCCCTCCAGCTGTGGTAATTGTCCCCCAGAGAGCTAGGAACGAGTAGTGGGTGTTACATTAGAATCCGTGTAACAAGTTTTTGAGACCTGGCCAGCACGAGCCCCAATTTTCTTAATAGATGGGGCCTTTATTTTGTCCTTATATTTCGACTTTTCGAGTGTTCAGTGTCCACCTTATTGGCCCATCTCTTTGAGAATCTTTAGCAGCTATGATGAATATTGACTTGGATCATTCTTAAGTGGAATAACACGATATGCTTTAAAGTCGAAAGCTCTGATCTTAATTTGAAATGGCTGTCGATCTCTCATTGGCGGCTATTTCTTCTGCCTCGTAGACACTAGACATACACAAAAAATAAAAAAAGTGCAAAGGTTGGTTCTTTTATTAAGTTGTTAGAGCATTGTGGATTTGCAGGTTGATCGTTCACTACACCATGCGTCTTAGCAGAATACAATATTGAATTCGAGGCATCTTTAACATAATTCAATATTGAATTCAGATTTAATTTAAATAATTTTACCTATTAAAGTCATGAATTTTAACAAAATTTTAATTTTAATTTTAAAATTCAGGTTTCGCCATCTATAATGTTTTCAATCTCTAATATAAAAACTATGCAACAATCCCTAATATAAAAAAAAAAAATTGCAATTCAACAGATTCGAGCATTATTGCGAGGTTCAATAATAATAAGAAAAAAATAATAATGAATGATATCGTCATCTAAGAAGTGGAGAACATCCTCTAACAACTAGTACATAAATAAAATATAACAATTTGTTGATGGGTCACACCAACATTAGCTGTCACATATACCTATCTAATGGGCCTGATTTTGATTAGAGACGGTGTCCGTTTTGCTTAAGCAACCACCATTCTGATATCATATCAATATAACATCATTCTTTTAAATCTATCTTTAACAAAAAGGCTTGAAAGATATAATATCTGCTTCTGCAGATTAAGGTTCATTGCACAGGATTTTGGTTCAATAATATTATTTTTTAAATCTAGTGATTCTCTTTAGTCAATAATCTGGTGATTCTTTCAGATATTGTCAAATGTTTTATCATATCCTTTTCTATTTAATTAATCATAAAACAACACCGAAAGTTATGGTTGTAAAACACAAACTTTACTAAGTAGATCTCATCTCTTTTTTGAACCCGAAGAAGAATAATAAAATAATCGAAGTAAAATTATTTTTAATTTATTTTTAACTTTAATTCTTATTTACTTAATTTATCTAAAAAATATTACTCATTTATGATGTGTTGGATTTATAAAATTTAAAAAATATATATTATTAATGAGATCAAATTAAATAATATTATTTTATTTTATATTTTATGTGTATACAAATTAAAATAAAATAATTTATTTATTAAGCAAAATTATTTTTATATTTATATAATTTAAATTATTTATCTAGTTTTTAAAAATATAATAAGATATAAATTTAATTTCATGAATTAAAATATTTTTTATTTTAAAAAAATTAAATCATGCTAAGTAACAAAATAATTAAATTTTTTATAATTTTATATTTTTTATATAAATTAAATTAAATATAAAATTATTATCATTCTATCATATTTTATCTATCATTTTTATATCAAAATTTATTTTAAATTCTTTCAAATATGTAAATACGAATTACTAGACAATTGACAATTAAAATAAGTGTATTAAAAAGAGCTAGGGTGTTAAAGCTTAATTAATTAAGATATAGTACTTTGATTCTATTATACTTACAGGGCAACAAAGGAACAAGACTTCCTTGTGCAGGTTTGTAAAGTATTGACTTAATAAGCTTGTTTAAGAAAATATTAACATTGTTTTTTTTTTAATTTTTTTATTACCATTTCTAAAAATAGTTTAGAGAGAGATCGAGAAGGAATAATTTACAGGATTTTAGTTCTTAACAACGACAAATTAGACTGATTCCCAAGTTCCATTCTTATCAACATGTCTGACGAAACTGTGGGCTCTTCTCCAAAAGTGTCCGGCTTGGAACAAGAATTTTCAACCATCATGCGACAGCGACATTTTTTTTTTTTTTACAATTGTCAAGACAATATTTTTTTATGGTAAAGTTTAATATCATTTTTAAAATTATTAAGATAATTTTATTATTATGATGATAAAATTATTAAAATAATTTGATTATTAATAATTTTAAATTATTATATTTGATATAATATTATAAATTATTATAAATTTTAAATTAATGTATCTGATATTATATAACAAAATAAATCATAACATAGACTATTCAAAATAATTTTATAGAAAAAATATTTATTGAATAAAAAATTATAAAAATAATTAAATATTATTTTATAAAAAACTATAAACTATAAATCAATTTTAATTAAAATAATTTGTAAAAAATTATTACATAAATTTATTATATTTTTACCGATAAATATTTATCCAATGATAACAAATTTTGTTAAAAATAAGTGATTAGCAATTTATCTTTTACGTGTGACAAAAAAATTAATGGTTTTAAATTTAAATATTGTATTTATGAATAATTTTATCGATCATAAATTAGTACATCTCATTTTAAATTATTATTCAAAAAATTTTTATCACATTAACGACATGTATTGATTGAAGCAAGGAGAGAGAAAAAAAGTAATAGAAAGAAAACAAAAGGAAATGAAAATTTCTTTTTCTTATTTGTATATGACATAAATTAAAAAAAAAAGATATGCTTAACTCTCCTTTATTTCCCTTAATTTTTTTCATTTTTTAATTACCCTAAATTAAGGAAAAAAGAAAGAAAATGAAAAAAATAAAAATTTTGAAATATAAAATAATAATTATATTTTTATTAAATTCTCTAAATTAAAAGTGAATCATTTTGAACTCTAAAATTATATTGAAAATATAAAACATCATTTGTCAATAAATTTATTGTTTTCAAAATTTTTCTCTAATTTTTATAAGTTTCATAAATTTCATTGATAATTATTTTCATGAAGAAATAAAGAAAAATTAAAAACATAAAATACGTTAACATAAATATATAAATGTTGTAGTAAAAATAAATATTATCAAAAGTTATAATAAAAAAAATAATATAATAAATTATTTTTTTATTTTTCATTATTTAATCAAATAATAATTATAAAAATTTATTTACTTTATTTTTTATTAATTTTAACTATTCAAATAAAAAATATATATACTTTTCATTTATTTCTTTATTAATATTTATCTAAACATAATGTAAGATAAACAAAATTATAGGGACAAATAGCACTTTCATATATATATATATATTATATAAGTCCAAAACATAATTAGGCATTATAAAATCTACAAGATAAATTCAAATAGTGAATTGAATTTCTCATAATCATGAAATAATTAATTTCTACTACTACTACTGTTACTAAGTTTATAGATCGGGTAAATTAATGGTTAAAAAAATGTAAATGTAATTAGATAGATTAACCTTGTGCTGACGTGGCAAATAAAAATCTTTGTCATGTTCAAAGTGTGGGACAGAGTGGACAGCAACATTGAACAAATTCTTTCAATTCATAGTTTGAAGTTGAAGTCGTTCCTTTCTTACGCTGTAAAATCCAGGTAAAGCAAAGCCAACTACCAAACTACCAAGTTCAACTACAGTCTCAGCAACGCCCTTCATTTCTAAAGAATTTATCTTTAATCAAAAGGCTTTTTAATTTATTGCGTTCTCTCTCTCTCTCTCTCTCTCTCTCTCTATTACAATAATTATTTCTCTCTCTTCTCTTGTTTTCATTCTCTCTTTCTCTTTCTCTCTGTCCTCTTCTTGAATGGTTCTGCTTCTGTCACCTCATAATTCCTTGTGTTCCCGTTCAGATTCCGTGATAATTCTCTTGGGTTTTTGTTAGTTTTTGGAAAGGACTCTATTTCTGATACCGTTAAGATATTTCCTGTTTCTACCACTCCCCCCTGCCTTGTTCCTTTATAGATTTTTAGCTGGACACGTAAGGAACTTTAAACTCAATAAGGAAGCATCGTTTTTTAAATATTTTTCTCTCTTTTGAATCTTGTGTTCTTTAATCTTTACAGTAGTTTTATGTATCAAATTAGCATATGGGTTTCTCTTGTTTTGTTATTTAAGAGTATTTTAGTTGTTTTACCTTAATTTGATCTTAGCAAAGCATTGATCTTTAGTTTGTTACCTAGTTTTTCTGGTTTGAATTTAAGATATTTTGTTCAGTCTTAGCATTCAATCTATGATCTGGGTCTTCTTTCAAGGTACTTTTCCCTTGCTGTTCAAGATTCACTTTTGAATTGGCATGGGAGTTTCTGTGTTTCTTGATTAGAAGCTGTCTTGTCTGATTATTGCTGCGTGTACTTGATGATGTCTGAATTAGTAGATCAGTTTTCAAAATATATTTCAGCAACAAATTAAGTTATTGTTTCTAAAATTTTTGTAGATGCAAGAGTAGGGGAGGTCAAATAAGCCACACATTGTTTTAAGTACTCTTGAATTTTATAAACTGACTTAACATGATTCATTCAATTGCAGACATAGATGGGTATATATCTCAGCACTCCCAAAACTGAAAAATTCTCTGAAGATGGCGAGAATGATAGGGTTAGATATGGCCTATCATCCATGCAAGGATGGCGTGCAACTATGGAAGATGCTGTGAGTAACAAATGAAACCTTTAATTTTCAAACGTTCTAAGCATTTGGACCCTATTTATTGCACTGTAGTAGATAATTTTAGCAATGAGCTTTTAAGAGAAAGTTTTGGTGAATGGATTTAGTCCCTTTCCAAATGGATTTTCGTGTCATTTTCATTCCCCATTCCCACCTCAAAAACATAAGACAATCATGTATTAAAATCTCTGTTAAAGTTCATTCATTATTTATAGTTTATATTTTATTCTACAATTGACTTCATTGGTCATTGACATGATATCTGAGTCCTATTTATGAAAATATCTACTTAGATTTGCAAACAGAGGGAACTCTAACTCCTTTTATGAAAATCTGAGTCCTCCCTTTTTCTGTACTTATTAAAGTTTATGTTCTTTTCAATTTCTAATATGGGTCATTTTGTTGTCTGTCTTCCTTAACTTGTACATATTGTAGCTTACGTTATCTTATATTTCTTGCAAATTCCCAAGTCTTTTTATATTATGGAGATGTTCTGGTTACTTTTATTATTTGTTTTCTTAGCATGCTGCATTTCCTGATCTCGATGCTTCTACTTCGTTCTTTGGTGTTTATGATGGTCATGGAGGTAAGACTTGGACGGTTCAGGTACTTTTTATGATTGTTTTCGGTTCCATATACAGGTTTTCGGTTGTTGCACCCCATCTGAACTTGACGTTTTTGTTACTTCCCATTCATGTACCTACTGTTTTACCCTTTTAGGACTGGAACCAACTGAAGGATCTTAAAGCCTTTTTTCTTTTCAAATGATTCTGTTGAGACATTTAGAGAATACACAATTGGTGTTGGTGAATGCTTAGTAATTTTTAACATTTTCACTTTAAAGGGTTCTCATAATTGCTCTTTGCAACTGTGCTTAATTTTGATACTGACTACTTCCATAGATCACTCCAGGAATAGCATGGATATTTTTGTAAATATGATTAAGTGTCTTAATAATGGCCACTGTCCAGGTGTCTTCTACTTATCCAAATTCATAACTTGCAGGCAAGGTGGTTGCAAAGTTCTGTGCCAAATATCTTCACCAGCAGGTTCTCAAGCATGAAGCATATGCAGCTGGGGATATAGGGACATCGGTTCAGAGAGCATTTTTCAGGTTATTTTTTTTCATTACTTGGAGTTTATGTTCATTCTTCACCATGTTTTCATTGTTATGGGAGTCAACAATGCAATTCTGGTGCCAGAATGATTTGGGGTATTCGGTATTTAATACCTACTAGTAATGATGTATGTTGATTAATTCTTTGATGCTTGAAGTGTGAGAGTGACTTTCACTTTTTGCTCCACTCTTTTAGGGCTGCTAACATCTCATTATGAGTTTCACAAGGTTAAGTTCTCATGGATACATCATACACATGCATGCTTGATACATGTTGAAATAGTATCTCTATGCCGTTATTATAGTTTTTGTAGCTTGAAAAGTAAATTGACACAACTGGTGCACTGGTTTAAGACTATTGTTACGTTTCTGATATAATCTTAATGATGTCAATTTTTGTTAAACATTGTACTTCAAATCTTATATATCATCAAGGTTATAGATCTCATAATTTTCTCTTCTTCGGCAATTTTTATCTAATTAGATTTAAGGCTTTGTGTTCCTTCTTGTAGAGCCCTTTTAGCAAAGATCAAGGTGCTTTTCCGAAACGAAAGGAGAAATTTATTACAAATGATAGCACTTTCATTACCCATCTCCCCTCCCCGCCCCCCCCCACCCTTTTTTTCTTTGGTGGTTTGACTGCCTTTTCCCATTGTTCATTTCATGTATTTCCAACCTGAGTTACTTTTTAGTGCAGAATGGATGAGATGATGCGTGGGCAAAGAGGATGGAGAGAATTAGCCATTTTGGGTGATAAAATAAACAAGTTTACTGGCATGATAGAAGGATTGATATGGTCTCCGAGGAGTGGTGATAGTAATGACCAAGTGGATAATTGGGCCTTTGAGGAGGTACTTACAGAAACAAAAAGAATATACCAGTGTTATTGTCCTTAACTAGAATGCTGAACAGAAATTTGACGTTTGCCACAAACTATGATGGAATCCAAAATTGAAGAAGAAAATAGAACTTGCGTTGCTAAATGTTAACTCTTAGCTGATGTGATGTATGGTATCCATGCAGATTATATAGCCCAGATGGTGGAGAATATATTTCTATCTTGAACTTTACATCTTACTCTGCACTTAACTTTTTGTGTTGGGTCAGGGATCATATTATTCATCCATTTTTCTGCTTTAATTTTTTTGTACAATTAAGACATATTTTATTGCAACAATTTGTATGGATAATTTATGTGTTTTTGTAATTGTAATCAGGGCCCTCATTCTGACTTTTCTGGACCAACTTCTGGGAGCACAGCGTGTGTTGCAGTTATAAGAAACAACCAGCTTGTTGTTGCAAATGCTGGTGATTCTCGTTGTGTTATATCTAGAAAGGGTCAGGTAATGCTATTTATGGGATGTAATTAGCTAGAACTGGAGATTTCTTTTCATTAATCAATTTGAATTATTTGTGGATGGACTGGCTGTTGTACTTTGAAGTATGGACATCAAACATAAGTGTCATTCATTGTAGGGAATATTCTTTTCTTTCTAAATAAATTGTCTATTTTATTTGTTGTTATGTGGCTTCTTTTTTTGTAGGCTTACAATCTCTCTAGAGATCACAAGCCTGATCTTGAGGCAGAGAAAGAAAGGATTTTAAAAGCTGGTGGTTTTATACATGCAGGACGTGTCAATGGCAGTTTGAATCTTGCAAGAGCTATTGGTAATTTACCTCCGTGCTTGATATCTAGAAACAAAAAAATTACTACTTGAACTTACCAAGTTAAGTCCTTGGAATTTCCTAAAGAGAGAGACATATGCCTATGGGCACAAAGTGCTATTGCTTTTCCTAAATGAATTGAATAACATTTCTATAAATCCATAGTTTCCAATGCAAATGTATGCATCCATACACATTTAATTTTTTTATGTATTGATGGAGAGAGAGAGAGATGTAGTTTTAATCCATTGATTCCTTTTCCTACAGGTGACACGGAATTCAAGCAGAATAAATTTTTGCCAGCTGAAAAGCAAATTGTTACTGCAAATCCAGATATAAACACCGTAAGTATATTCTCTGTTAGCAATGCAAACAGATCACAACACCATTAAATCTTCAATTTTTTGCTTTACTATGCGCTTATCAATCCTAAAAACCTTTGGATCTTGTGGTGTCTAAGTTCTACATCTTACTAATTTTGATTTAGGTTGAGCTTTGTGATGATGATGACTTTATTGTGCTGGCATGTGATGGAATCTGGTATGTATCTAATGCCTTTTCCTTTACATTATATTAGAATTAGAATTTAATATATCTCACTTCAAAACTTTATTTAGTTAATTAGTTATACTCTTCATGTTTCACTCTTGACTAGATCTCAATCTTGAATTTAGTATCTAATGCCTTTTCCATTTTGAATTTTATCAGGGATTGCATGTCAAGTCAGATGCTAGTAGATTTTATTCATGAACAACTACAATCAGTATGTACATAAGCCTCTCTAACTTTGATTGGTCAATGGTCTGTATGTTGAATACTTGTTTCGGCAAATTTGCTTGGTCAATTGAGTTCAAGCTCATTCTTTGCCTTTTTTTTATAAGTTTGTATACTTGGCATGAAATCTTGCGTGCAATGCAGGAAAGCAATCTTTCTGTTGTTTGTGAGAGAGTACTTGACAAGTGCTTAGCACCATCAACAGCCACTGGTGAGGGTTGCGACAATATGACCATGATCTTGGTGCAGTTCAAGAAACCAATCAAATCTGCCTCATCTGCAGAGGAGCAATCCTCCCATTCCAAATCAGTCGACACAGAATCAAAGCCGGAGGGAAGTCAAGAAAATTAGGTGCAACTGTTGGTGGAGTTATCAAATCCTCTGGCTGAAGAAGATTTGAGGACTCTTTGTTTTATCAAACATTGGGAGATGCATTTATAGATGGCTTACAGCAGGAACGAATTGATGACATATTAAGAAAAATTATATATGCTTTTTGTTTCCTTTTCTTAATCATTTAATGGGATGGTTTTACTTTTTATGTCTGATAATACCACAATATGACAATTTTATAATATCATGTACAGTTGATGACTATCAAATGTTTTTGGGTTAACTGGTGCCATCTCAAAAATGGGTGGAATTTTATTTTTAGGACAGTCTTAATGTTACGTGTCGAGACTTAAACTTCGAATTTGCGTGGCTTCGGGATCTGAATATTCATTAATCCGACGTTTCAGATCAACCTTCTTGTCACGGTTCATATCTTTGTGAGATATTATCCACTCTGATTTTTTTGGGTTCACGATTTTGTTTTATAAAAAACGTCTTATAAGAAAGAGGTGATGTGAATCTTTATATATTTCAGTGATTTTTTTTTTATGTTCGATGTGAGATTCAAGATTCTTCTTTAGGTCTGTGATATTCTTTCTCACTTAATCTCATGACGCCCTCATCACGGAAATTAGTCATTCTGCTTATTTTTCTCAAGATGTTTGACATGAATTGAACGATTTAAAATTGGTTTTGATATCACTTGTCGCGAATTCGAAACTTAAAATACGACTCGTAACACTAACAAACCCATATGTTAACCAAGTCTCAATCGATGTCTCAATGATTAATGATTTTACCTTGAATTTCTTTGTTAACTCGAGCGGCATTGCATGGCAGAGATGAGAGAACTCAATTCCAACAAGGAAGAATTATGCGTTCATCTCACCTAACAACTCCAGCTATTGAATATTGATCATGGATTCTATGACGACAAAAGAATCTTTGCTACCTTTCAGATGGACAACTATGTTAAAGTCAAAAAGGCTTGCAAAACATCTTAAATTTCTCATTTTTCTTTATTCCTTTTTCATTTCTTTCTTCCTCGTTCATCTTAAATTCACAGGTATCTGAAGTTTGATAGTGAAACCTTGTCCGAACAAGGTCAGCTACTACTCAAGTCATCGTTCTAGAACAGACAGTTGTACTACAAAACATGCTCCTCACAGATCACCGTAGACTAGACTTAAAAAAAATTAGACTCTGACATTCCAGGTTTTGCCGGTCAAAATAATAGACAGCATGGAAAACACTGTCAAAATTAGAAAGAGGAAGAGCTTTATTTATCTGACAAATGAGCAATCCACTATATTCATATATGCTAAACTGAGCAAATTTGCCCTGATTTACAGTAAACACTGAAGAAAGAAATGTAAGGCAATCACAATAACAATCTGTAGCAATGCCAATCCAAAGTTTATTAGGGAGACAGTTAACTCTTGTCACTACCTGAGTTAACTGCTAAACTGTGTGTGAAAAGATTACTTATTATTCATTAGACCTTCAAAACCACCTGATCTTGCCAGGATATTTTCTTCTTCCCAACTCTATTGCCATTAAGCAAACAGTTTTTGGGCTTCTTCTCCTTTCTCAACGGGGCCTGAAAATCTACTTGACCTCTCCCACCCTCTTCCTCATGAGCCTGCAATATGAAAAATAGTCAATCAATTCCAATATGTCAACTGATAATAGCACAACAAATTGTCAATCTATATGTTTCAAGTTGATTACCAAATTTGGGTCTAAATCAGGAAGAGAACAGAGTCTTCTCTCAAGAGCTTCATTGATGCCATAATTCTTAGCCATTTTGCTTTGCAGATAGGGATTTTGTGATTGAACACAATCCTGCTGTAGTTCATATTCTTGAGACTTGATCATTGATAAATAGCTGTACCTCTTTCTTAAGAATCTAGAATTCAGGAGAAAAAAATGTTCCTCTTGATCAATATTTAAAACAAGAAAAAAACTATACAAATTCAGGAAATAGATATCGTACCGAACTTCAGCCAAAAGGGTTTCTCGCTTCTGATTCACTGTCTGCAATTTTTTCTTTTTTGAAACAAATTCCTAGTAGTGATTGACACAAAATAATTAATTGTACAGAAAACGTACAAACACTCAGTCTATATATTCTATGAGAATAATAATAATAATAAGTTTCTATCAACTCCTACACAATTATCTCAACTTAAATGAGGTATTTATCAAGCGGAAACTAACATTCCAACAATTAGTAAAATTCTATTTTTCACCAGTTGAACTAAGAAAGTTGTAAAATTATAGGCAGAAACAAACTCAATATCAATATCATAGAGGCTAAAGCATCAAAACAAGAAACTATAATCTATAATTTGATAATAAAAATAACTTTCTGATGATCAAAAGAATGTAGCCTAGTAAATCACATAGCACAACTAAACAGAGTAATTGAGGCAAAGGACAAACCTTTTGCAATTCCAAGAACTCCTGGAGTAGGTTTTGATGCTTCAATCTAGCCCTAGCTTCCTCATCCACAGAGTTATTATATTGCCGATGAGAATTTAGAGAAGCCCTTTTCATCTTAATTATCAAAATTGAGATTTGAGACCCCCAATAACAATAACTCGAAACTTATCAGAAAATATATCAGAAATTTTGCAGAAAGCTACAAAACCCTTTCTTCTGCGAAAAAAAAAGATAACTTTTGGCCCAAATTTTATAATCCAGAAGACAATCTCCAACTCCAACTAGGAGAATAAAAAAAAGAAAATTCCAAGAACCCAAAAGAGCCCTTGTTTTGATTAGTTTCTTGACAATTGCAAAACCAAAACTTGGAGAGAAAGCAAAGTTCAAAAAAACCCAGAATTGAGTCAGATAAGGAAGATAAGAATTGGGATTTTAGAGAAAGAAAGGAAAAGAAAAGAAGTAATAATATATGGAAGATAGGGACGAAAGAGAAAATTGTGTTGTATCTGGTCTGGTATTCTGGTTCTCTGAAACTAGCTGGAGGATGTGAGAACCCGAAAAGGCCCATGAGGAACGCGGAACGAGTTGAAGAGTTGAACGAGTGATGGAAGATGGGATACAGAGAAGGGTAATTGTGGGAATTAAGACACTTTTTTTGTTGTTTTGTTTTGGGGAGAAAGAGCTCTGTGGTTGGAGGACAATTGAAGACATATCTATCAACCAATCCATCCTTCCTTCTCTATATCTGCCTTACCTTTCCATGTTTGCCTTTTTCTTTCTTTTTTTTTTTTTTTCATTTTGAAATTGGTTTTGTTTTTCTCTTATGCAGTACATAAAATTTTGGTCACGTTAGACGGAGAAAGATTTTTGGGTTAGGCGGTAAAGGCAAGATATAAATGGCTACTGTTTGGGTTTCACTTGTTTCCCAAGAAAGAACCTTTCCATGGCTTAAAATGGTGGTTTGTTGCATAGGCAACAGCAACAGCTCCACCGTAAATTACAATTATACCCTCCTTGCTTTTAGCCTTGAAACTTGTCATAATTACCAAATTATTGACATATGGTCTAAATAATTAAATTATTGAATAGTAAAAAAAAAAAACTTATTAAGGCTTAAAGGAGGCCGGAAACAAACTCAACAAAATCATATTAAACCTAACTGCCGCCGTAAACCTCTCTCGCCTTGCTCTAACCCCTTCAGCCCTAGCAATTTTCTTATCTCAAAAGTCGTTGGCACCCACCAAAGAGAGAGAGAGTGTGTGAAATTTGAATCTTGAACACCCAAATATGGAAAGAGGTGAAAGAGGGAGCTCAGTAATCCCAGAATCTGTAATGAATTCAGTGAAGACAACGCTAGTAAACGTTGAAAACTTGAGGACCCATTTGCTCCAATTCTTGTCTCTCTCTGACCCTGATGTACTTGCTCAAATGCCCCCTCTTCAACGCGCTCTGGCTTTCCTCTTGCTTGCCAAAGCCACTACTACTCTTTTCGCATGTAATTTCCATTGACTTGTTGTTTTTCGGATTTAATTTTTATGTGTCTTTTAAATGCTTAACCTTTTATGGTTCTTTTTCTTCTTTTGTAGTGAGGTTGAGATGCAGTGGAGTGCATCCAGATGACCATCCTATGAAATCAGAGCTTGTATGTTTTCTAACTCTGTGTTTCTTTTCCTTTCAAATTTTGATTTTCAATTTTCATTCTGGGTTTGTTTGTTTATATGGGTCTCTTTGTTGGGAGGATTTTTTAATCTGATATTGAGCTTTTGATAGATGATATTGCTTGATTTATGTGGGAATTAAGAGCATATCTGGTACTTGTTTTAACATTAGGATATCATTAGTTGTTTTATCTGTTGTAAAGTTTTATTGGCATGTCTGGCTTAACTTTGCCATTCTGTTTTGGTTTCCACTTTCCATGTCTAGGAGAGATTAAGCTTGTATCAAGACAAGTTAGAACGGTTCATGGACTTAAGTAAAGGTACATTTTTTCATTTCATTTCTTACTGTAGATGCAGTCGTACTGTATGAAGAAATCGCATCTTTTTGGAAATATAAGATTCTAATACCATTCTTGCAATGATTTTGGAATAACTATTCGTGTCACTTTCTAACATAAGCATGAATCTGTTCTTGAAGCACCATTGCGACCTTCAACTACCTTGAATTCTCGGGCTGCAACTCGTTTCATTGAGCATTCCTTACCAGACCTGACCCCTGGTAAGTGCTAATTCACTTCTGTTCACATTTTTATCATTTTGCTAAGGGACCTTTCATCGTGTTTCCTAAGAATTTTTATCATTTTGCAGAGCAGAGACAAAGTATGAGGCAAATCAGTAAAGGAGAGGGGCCAAGTATCAAATATTCAGATAGTAGTGTTAAAAAGAAGAGAAAATACCAATCATCTGAAAGGCAATCTGTTCAAGATGCTGCTAAAGGATTTCTGGAGAAGGCAGCCCGTGAGCTTTTTGGTGATAATAAAGATGGTCTTAAGGGACCTCTGCAGGTTGATGCTTCAGATGATGACCCGCCTGTGATCTGATCTTCCAGTTAATCATGGTAGATAATTGTTTATTGTTGTGTTTATTCTTACTGTTTTTAATCTCTTAACCACTCTTTTTTTCATTTAATGTTTTAAAAAATTGAAATCCATTCTCTCCATAGTGTTGTATTCTAATATGTGGTTGATAGCTTGATTGGATGCAATGTTATGCATTCAAAATATACGTTAGGTGAAGAATAACCATGTGTTTGTTTTGACAGAACATGGGTTTCAAGGCTTCCAATACCATGTTTAAAGAAATCACCATTAAAGGGATTAAAATTATTCACATTGTAAACCAAATTTAATCTGAGAAAATAATTGAATGCTAAATGAACTAAGGTCCTGTAGAGAAATTCCATAAGATGGATGCCTCTTAGTTTTATCAAATACCTATATATCTTTTTCTTTTGACGCTACTGAATTTATTTATTTCCGTATCTCTTTAAATACTTGTGTAGCTGTCTTGAATACATGCTTATGTGTAAATAAAATATCCCAAGTATTTGAGTGAATTGCACTTATGTCTTATGTTCTACCCTATTCATCTCACAGGTTTATGGCTCAGTTATATCAGCTGCCAGCAGCAAGTGAACTATGACTTGTTAGTTTACCCCTGTTAATGATTTGTTAATCTGTACTGATTGTTTCTGTCAAGCTTTCGATGTTTGTTGTTTTTAATGGCGAAATCTTCCAAATTCTTCTGTAGTTTTTAGAATAAATCTTGTTATTTATAGGCTCTTGACGAATGAGTAAATGATTGCAAACTGTACCAAACCCAATTTGATCAGAAATGTTCGGCAACGAAAGATTAGCACAAGACTTGTAATTGTAGAAAAGATAGGACGTAAGAGAACTTTCCTAGGGATTGAATTAAAATGGTAGATCATTACTAATAAATGAATTGATATTGTTGTAATTTCCCCAACACTAATGGATGGTAAAATGCAAACTCTCTCAAATGATGCAACACAACCACAAGCAACTTCTGACCTTGCTCTCAATGACCCTAAGCGACACTGATGAAGTAATGGCTCTGACTTTTCAAAATATAAAAAAATGTGAGGAAAAATGAATTTTTTTGTATATTTTTTTTCTTTTTGATACTATTAGAAATTTTAAAACCCCTCAAAAATCGTATTTCATAGACCAAAATGAAAAATTAAATTACAAAAAATCAAAAACCTTACTTTTTTCGAATCAAACAACTCCCAAAAATAAAATGGGGTTTTAAAGATATTGTGGTTTTCTGGATTCTGTGAAATTGCAAAAAATAATTGGGGCTGGAGGATAATGGCAGTTCCGACTATGACTAGAATTGACCAATGGATCAGAATTCCTTTTCTTTCCCCATTTTTTAACCAAATGGTAAAATAGAGAGAGACCGTGAAATTGACACGGAATTAAACTCTAATTCAGGTGAAGCAAACACGTTATAAGATAACCACCACCCATCAGTTTTGAATAGGGACTGTCTCCTACGAGCCGCATTAAACCCAAAACAAAGCCCATCAGGTTGGATACCCAAATGGATCACAATCCGTTCACGCCCTGGATTTTGTGCTCTCCACAAAGTTGGGCTCTGGTCTGTAGCCTGTAGCTGTATTGCCACTTTGTTTGTTCTATGACCGAGTTGCGGTGCCATCTTCACTTGGCATGACACCATAGCATGCAGCCGCCAATTGCTACATGTTCTTCTCCAAGAAATGTTGGCAACATTGGCTCTTCCATTCTTTAGGCCTTGACTGAGGTAAAAGGTATGATTAAATGGACCTTTTTGGAATTTAAGTTTATAGAAACATGGCAAAGGTTGAAGACTGGAAAAAAAAACGCAGATACCCAGAAGAGGTAAGAGCAGCAGGCGTAGAAACATCCAAGAGGCCATCAGGCCACCACCCCGGTGAAGTGCTGCACCAGAGACGCAAGCTTCCCGTTCCCATGACTACCATGCTCATCGGCGGTCTCCTCATCACTGCCGCCATAGGATATTCAGTGTTGTACTCCAGAAAAAAGCGTGAAGCTAGTGCTCTTGATGTTGCCACGGTGGCCACAGGTGTTGCTGAACCCAGTGATACTCGCCCCGGGAAGTAGCATGTATAGTAAGTAGTTCGGAGAGCTTTCCTAGTAGTGTTTTTTGTTGTTGTTGTCTATGCAAGAAGAAAATTAAACTCCTTCCTTATATCATGTTATTAATCAGACCAAAATAGTACATGTAGGCTCTCAAGTAATTCAAAAAAGTTCAACTCCATGTAATCTATGAAACTTAAATTTACATTCTCAAATAATACAAAAGTCTATTAAATTAAATAAAGTCGAGGAGAAACAACTCAAAAGCCTGTTAATCGATTTTGACAGATGAGTAAAGAAGTCTTGTGAACCAAAAGCATAAGTAAAATCCGATAGTTCCAGTTAGCACAAAAAATGCGTAGGTAGCAATAAGCATGTATCCGAAGTACATCATCACAGAAACCGGCCTTGTTATGTCAAGAATTGAGAAGAAGTATGTAGAATAAAGGAAGATATACAATGCTGAGGAGCCTGAGGTGAGGTATGACCTCCACCACCATTGATAATCCTCTCTGCACAAGTGGAAGTAGCAGAACACAATGGTTATTTCAGAACAAATGATAGTGAGGATAACAAAGACTAAGAATAGGAAGCCATGGATGTAGAATAATTTATTCAGGCAGGCCGAGGCAAGAATGAAAAATAGTTCATTCAAAACAGCTCCAAAAGGAATTATTCCTCCTATCAGAATTGAGAAAACAGGGTTCATATACCAAGCTTGTTCAGGGACTTGCCTTGGGATGCCATTTGTCTTCACAGGATCCTCAATTACTGGTTTCTTAAACCCGAAGAAGCTACCAACAAAAACAAGTGAAACTGAATTCCCAACAGCAAGAAAGCCAGAGCAAACATCGTCCCAAATGGCACAGCTCTAGGAGAGTTCTGGTTCCGTAAGAGATAATTCAAGACAAAACAAATGGAAAAGACAATCGTTGGGAACATTAAAGCTGTTCCAAGAGCAATTCTTTTCCACGCTGTTCCTTTAAACGTTTTGTATAAATGGGCAGAGGCAAAACCAGCAAAAAGGCCCATGAAGACCCAAATTATGAGCATAGCTGTCACAAGTAAGCCTCTGTTTGAAGGGGAAAGAATTCCAAATATGGCAAGAATCAGAATAGCAAGTACCATCCCAAAAATTCGAACTCCAGTTCCAACACAGACACAGAGTAGATAAGAATTATATGGAGGCCTGAAAACATCCCTATGGACGAGTTTCCATCCCGCTTTTCCATAGCTTCTTCTTGGAACTCAAGTTCATAATATGTAGCAATGTCACGCGTCCTTAGCATAAGCATTACCACCATGCCAGAGAGCAAAAGCAAAATTGTCAAAGAACCAATAATTGAAAGCCACTGTGTTTTGTGATATCTCGTTGAAAGATATGCGTCCCATCTAGATGCTCTCCTCACATGAGTCTCCTGAAACGTAGATCACTGGGGCAATCTGATAAGAAAAGAGAATAGTAGTACCTTGAGGCTTTATTAGAGGTTTCAGCCTATGGTTCCAACCTCAAACTTCAAACTAAAGTATTTTTAAGTACCAACTGTCAATGCCCTTAACAAGAAAAGTTGTTTAATACATTGGAGCTCAACTGGAATTCAACACCATATTTGAATATAACTTCCTTTTTCTCTTCCACCTCTTGAGGACCTTCCAAATACGGAGCTCTTTCTTTACCACATGTCCTCAAATGAGTATGTTCATTCCATTTTCCTTCGTATACATGTTTGATACTGCATGCTTAGAACATTAAAGCAACGCCACCAACACTCTAGGTATGTGACTCGGATTATCTACAAACTCCAAAAAGGGAAAAATTTTGGTGGAAAACAGGAAGCTAAGGGGACGTGACCTGAATGGTTTAACCTCAAATCCCACAATTCTAGCAGAGTCAGTTTCCAAAATCTCTATGATAGTTGACAGTAAATGCCAAATGCTTGTTGGGGAAATAGATTTCATCCTCACCCTGTGCAAAATCATGCAAAGTAAGCAAAAGAAGAATATAACAAGTCCACAAGAACTGGAGCTTTAATACATACAATATTTCCAGCCCCTCTCCAGCCTCTTAGCCCAACGGGAAAGCCAAGCTCCACGTTAAACTTGGAGAAACTTCTTCATCTAATAATCGTATGGGAAAACGCAGAGGAAGGTCATCAAGGATCCTGTCATATGCATCACGAATTAATCGAAAATAAATCTTGAAAGCAACTGTCAAAGAATTGGCAAACTGATATACATTGCATCTGAATAAAACGAAGATCATACATATTGACACGATACTCGTAATAGATCTTCTCTTTGATCTCCTTGGCAGATTTATCATCAAGTATAAGCCGGCAAACTACTTTGCGCTTTTGTGGTTCCCACATTTTAAACTGTAGTAATTCATCTCAGAGAGAAAAAAAATTGAAAGCTGTATCCACGAAGTAAGAGAGTTACTAATTGTTAAAAATACCAAACTTACCAAATAAGGGGAACTTTCGACAGGATAACCATGGAGTTCTTCGCCATTAATCTCTGAACTGCCCATCTTTGTTGGACGACAGTAAGGAAGAGAAATAAATGAATAACGAACTAGTGTTCCTGGAGAGGTGAATTCATTCACCTTCAACTCCAGCAGATCCCCCTGTGTACCCAAAAAAAAAGGAATAATATAGTTAATTATCTCAATAATGTTAATGAAGTTACTATAATCTCATCCCTATTTAAGTTTGTTGAGGATTTGATATTTGTTCAAGAATATAGGAAACAATGACCCATGTCAAAAACCGAGTACCAAAGTAAGTAATGCCCCGTACAATGGAGAGGTGACCTTTTGAAAGTACCGAGGGTTGACGCCAGGGAGATGAAAGCAGTGAAAGCCATGGAAAAGGAGCAGCAGACTTGTAGCAATCATCCTCCATTTTCGGAGTAGAAGACATATTCTTTGAGACTCCATTTTCATGTATGTAGAGAGAATGAGAGATTGATCTGGAGAGGGGGCTACGTGTATATATATGGTATCATGTGTTAATAGTAGACGGCAAGGGAGAAAACAAGTCGAGCATTGAGCACCATTGGTGTCACGGGTTGAGACTCCAGCTCCGAATCGCGCGGTTTCGGGATCCGGACATTCACCCTTCCGGCGTCCCAGATTAGCCTTTCGTCACGGTTCACACCCTTGTGAGGTATTGTCCGCTCTGGCCCCCTTGGCCTCACGGTTTTGTCCTACAAAAGGCGCCTCACAAGGCGGAGATGGTGTGAACCCTTTTATACCCCAGGGACCTTCCTATTATGTTCGATGTGGGATTCAGGACTCCCCCTTAGGTCCGTGACATTCTCCCGCACCCAACCTCGTGACGCCCTCGTCACGGAGGCCGGTCACCCTGCCTACCTGCCTCGAGGCGCTTGGCGTGGATCGAACGGTTTAGGGCTGGCTCTGATACCACTTGTCACGGGTCGAGACTCAAGCTCCGAACCCGCGCGGCTCCGGGACCCGGGCATTCACCCTTCCGGCGTCCCAGATCAGCCTTCCGCCACGGTTCACACCCTTGTGAGGTATTGTCCGCTCTGACCCCCTGACCTCACGATTTTGTCCTACAAAAGGCGTCTCACAAGGCGGAGATGGTGTGAACCCTTTTATATCCCAGGAACCTTCCTATTATGTTCGATGTGGGATTCAGGACTCCCCTTAGGTCCGTGACAACTGGCCTGCAGGCTTCGTCGTCGCTTTGGCACACAGTCGGATAATGCAAGGTTCGCCAGACAAAATCCCGAAGATAGAGCCGATTCTATTGCCAAGTTGGTCAACGGTAAGTAGGCAGTGACCAGTTGTGTGTGTACTGTGTAGGTAGTCGGCGACTGATCTTTTTGTCATATTATTATACAGCAAACAGCTCCCATATTTATTTACTTAATGTTTTCTTTTTAAGTTCTACAATGTCCAATCGAAATTCTTCAAAATAAGTAGTCAAGGAAATGAGGCAATTCTGAATCAGAATAGACAAAACGTAACTTTAGCTCGAACTTCCTTGAATCCAATACAATTCAAGAACGCTTTTCAAAGTCCAGATTGACATGAGTAATTCTGAATTCTGAATTAAGCGGATCCAAACAGCCATCTTGTAGCTGAAGTTAAGTCGCTGGTAGTTCTACCAAGCCGATGCAATATGTTCACTTCCAGCTCTATGAGTTGAGTGGAGAGCTTTCTATAATTAGTTAACCATTCCGTCTCTATTCACGTCCCTATTACGAAGATTCTTACTACTTACAGCCGGCTAATCCTTAACATATCCATCAGCAAAAATATTTTGCATTTTCCGTAAATCGACGAGTAAGGTGGTGTCCTGATCTGTACATATCCCTCGTTGTGTCCCCGATAAAAGACTGTCTAAACAAGGCATTTCCGCTTTTATAGCTGCTTCAAAGCTTGCAAGATAAAGTAAAGGAGAATATACCAACAAGTAATAGTTCCAATGAGTTTTCTTATTTTATACATGAGCAGCACCCCAACATTTTCCTTTTCTTTTAAATGTTGACATTATCGGGCATTTTTTTCCCTCATCCCGAAAACATACATAAAAAATATATATGTAGATAAGTTCAGTCATCCGTAATGAATTTTTCACAGCAATTTCTAATTCAACAGGAGAATGTTCAACAAAAGAATCACAAGAAGCTCCTCTCAACATACATTAGGATAAAGGTATGCTTCAATCAACTATAAAAAAGAACTCAGTTAAAAAATGAGCATTAAAGTTTACATCTTAAAGCATGATTATATCTTAATCTTGAATCATAACCTAAGACAACAATATTATAAAAAAGCATATTCTGTTTTACACATTAATCGATCTTGACAGACGAGTAGATAAGCCTTGTGAACCAAAAGCATGCATAAAATCCAATGGTGCCCGTTAACACAAAAAATGCATATGAAGCAATTAGCATGTATCCGAAGTATAGGAGTCCAGAAACCAGCTTAGTGATCTCAAGCTTTGTGAAGAAGTAGAATGTAGCATAGAGGAAGAGGTACAAGGCTGAAGAGCCTGATGTGAGATATGACCTCCACCACCAGAGATAATCTTCACTGCATAACTGGAAGTAGCAAAGCACAATGGTTATTTCAGCACAAGTGATAAGGAGGATAATGAAAACCAAGAACAGGAAACCAAAGATGTAGTAGAACTGATTCAGCCAGATTGAGGTAAGAATGAAGAACAGCTCGATGAAAACAGCTCCAAATGGAAGTATTCCTCCAATTAGAATAGAGAAAATTGGGTTCATATACCAAGCCTGCTCAGGGATTTGCCTTGGAATTTTATTTGTCTTCACAGGATCCTCAATTGCTGGCTTCTTGAACCCAACATAACCACCCACAAAAACAAGTGGAACTGAAATTCCAAACCATAGGACAACCAGAGCAAACATTGTTCCAAATGGCACAGCCCCGGAAGACTTCTGGCCCCATATGAGAGCATTTAAGACAAAGAAGATGGCAAAGACAATGGCTGGGAACATGCATGCAGTCCTGAGAGCTATTTTCTTCCACTCTGCTCCTTTAAACATTTTATATAGACGAGCAGAGGCATAGCCAGCAAAAATGCCCATGAAGACCCAAAGTAAGAGCATAGCTGTCATAAGGCCACCTCGGTTGGAAGGGGAAAGAAATCCAAGAACAGCGAAGATCATGGTAACAAGTACCATGCCCAAAAATTGAACACCAGCGCCAACATACACACAAAGCAGATCAGAATTGGATGGAGGCCTGAACACATCCCCATGTACAAGCTTCCATCCTGTCTCTTCTTGGGCTTCTTCCTGGGTCTCAAGTTCATTATACTTAGAAATATCACGGTAAAGTGTCCTTAGCATAATCATTGCTACCATGCCCGAAAGGAAGAGTACAATCATTAAAGAATTGACAATTGAGAACCAGTGTATTTGGTCATCACTCATTAAAAGATATGCATCCCATCTAGATGCCCACTTCACATCACTCTCCTGAAAATCACCACAAGAAAATATAAGAATACCACCACCTCACACGTGACTGCTGTCAAAACTTTTCAAGAAAAGTGATCCAATAAAGAACTTTTTCCATGTAACAAATTGTCAGCATAATTTACTTAAACACAAATGATTGTCACCTGTAGGGGTCTTAGCACATGGCTGAAATTGAAAAAGATTAACATTGCAATGGCCAACCCTAAAAATTATTTATAGTTGAAAAGTTCACCTGGTATTCAACATCATAGGTGAATATAATCTCCTTGTTTGCCTCAACTTCTTGAGGAGTGTTAGAATTAACAACTATCCGTTTAGTGTGGGGGTCGCATGTTGTTAAACGAGTGCTCTCTTTCCATTTCCCCTCATATTCATGTTTAATGCTGCATTGTTTTAGAACACAAAGAAAATGCAATCAAAACTTGATACTAAATCTCAGCCACAGACACCTAGAATTAACAATTTAACGATATGCTAGAACTCAGAGAAACTAACCTGTATGGTTTGACCTCAAATCCCACAATTCTAGCAGAGTCAGTTTGCAAATCCCTATGATACTTGACAGTAAATGCCAAATGGTTGTGAATGAATTGTTTTTCTTCCTTGCTCTGCATATAATAAAAAAAAGTAAGAATACATAGTAGATAATACATACGCAAACAAAGGAACTTTTTATTCTAATAGATATAGTGTTTACCCCACTGTATTGGCCTTTGAGCCCAACATGGTAGCCAAGCTGATAAACAGTTGGAGAATCCTGATCTAATCTTCTAATAGGAACAACAAGCGGTAGGTTATCCAGGATCCTGTCAAAAAATCACAAGTTAATTAGAAAAATAACCCTGAGAGCAGTTATTAAATTATTAACAGATGAACAATGTCTGAAGCAACAAATAGCATACATATTGACTCGATATTCATCATCAATCTTCTCCTTAAACTGCTTTGCAGTCTTGGCATCAAGTGTAATCCGGCAAAGAACAGAACACATCTGTGGCTCTCGCATTTTAAACTGCATTAATTCAAGTCAAAGGGAACAAGTTAATAGCCATAAAATAAACAATCTGCTCCATAATCATCAGAAATAATAAAACTGACCACATAAGGAGAGTTTTCAATACGGTCACCACGAAGCACTTCCCCAAGATTCTCTGCACTGTCAACTATCCTTTTGGGTGGACAAAAAGGAAGTGAATAATATGAGTAAGGAAGTTGTGTCTTTACAGACGTCAATTTGTTCACTTTCACCTTCAAAGGATCTCCCTGCCAACCCCAACAAAAGAATCAATAACTAAACAAGACCACAATAATTCCTCAATAAACACTCCTAAATATCACAGCACATTGCGTCAACCTAAAGTGGTTTAATCAGAGTCATTATCGCTTGGTACACGTGATAAGCAATAGTAACTAATCACTATGATGATTAAGTAGGCTTCCATTACGACAATATGTAAATTAAATCTCTTTAGAGAATCCAATTCCTAATCTTAAGCAATAATTATTCTAGGTTGCATTGGAGAACCCGATCCACATAAAGTACAATGTCGGATGCCTCAGATAAACGCAAAAATGGCATTAAATTACAAATTACCCAAAAGCTCAACGTTTTTGAATAAAAGAATAAAAACGGTTAAAGAAATCATTACGTGAAAAGAAGCTAATTTTTTCAGAAATTTTTTCCAAACAACCTAGCTGAACATGAAATAACTCGATACAATAAAAAATTATGAAGCCGTCATTTCCATTTCTAACACAGAAAAATCTCATTAATTTCTTTCTCATAGTAATCTTATTATTCTATTAAAAACAGAAATTAAAGTGTAGAAACGAAATCAAAACCAGATCAAAATGAAACAAAGCAGATCAAGAAAGGAAGAAAAAGAAATATGTAAAGAGAAATCAAAACACCACCTTCTGGAAGTCCTCGGGGGCGACACCAGGAAGGTAGAAGCAGTGAACGCCGCCGACCAGAAAAAGGAGGAGAATCGCGGAGATCATCGTCGCGGTCGATTTGTGGATAGATCTCGATGGAGATCCCATCTTGACAGTGAGGAAACTCTCTATTTGGAAAGGGAGGGGGGCTGAGATCTGGAAAAAGAAAGAGAGCGTCTTTGGGAGTTGTTTATAAGGGAAAGGGAAAGGGAAAGGCAACCAACCAGCCAGAGAGAAGAGAGGCATACGGTGGGGTGGGGACCATGGTTCTGTCCTGTTTGTTCTGGTACGGTGCGTTCTGGTGATTTATTCTTCTCTTGCCACGTGCGTTTTATCCCTTTCTTTTTGGTGTTTTTATTCGATGGCTTTTTAGACAGGTGGCAAGTCTATTCGAGTGTCGGTCTCGGTCATGGATCACCTAGTCCTTTATTAATGGACTGATAGGCCCAATTATCTTTAGCAAGCTAGTTGAGTAAGTCCAAAAGGGTGGCAACATTTCAATCTGTGCCTCGGCCCTGGTGCAAAATATTAGCACTAGTGTTGGAATTTACACGTTGAAAACAGCGAAACATTAACAACCCAAAGCATTTATCAAGTCGATTCGGCCGGAGTTATAAAGTCCATTGATCCTGTCCAAAATTCAGTGATCACCTACCTAAGAGTTTTTGACAGGAATATTCAGTCACAATGGGATTGAAAAGAAAATCAGCTTTATGTTCTATTTTTCATCCCAAGGAATTCACAACAAAGATCATCAAGTCACGTGATCTAAAAGTGTGATAGCAGCAACTCCAACTGGTTCGGTTGCTTTAATGGTGGAGGCTACAGCCAAAAGCCCAAAACGGAGTAAACCCATTTGCATTCAGCAATAGTTGGTCATTATTAATATGATTTGGGCCATCCTAGAAACTCACGTATAATTCAAGTGCCATCAATAAATTAACATGTGAATCCTACCGCATCTAGTGGCACAGCATTTCCTTTCAGTTTTTCCCTTTGGATGGCATCCATGTGCTTCCCCCATTGACGATCTTCCATTTTAAAGTCTTTGTATGGAGACGGAGGAGAAAGTGAGAGAGATTTAGGGGAGGGGAGACAAATTTTAATTGGTATGGGTAAGTACAATCATGTCGAGCTTTAAGAGCATAAAACCTGGAGAGAATCTACCAAGTTGTATACCACAAGGAGCACCCATCACTTAAATTGTGAACTTATTCTAAACCCACATAAAGAGGTTGGGCATAAAGGGAGCTGCCTGGTCCCCCACATCTTCGCCATTGCCAAGTAAAAGCCCTTCCGCACCATGCCGATTATACCTTTGGGACCTTCGGCTTACCCCCATCATCATTTATCTATGATGGCTTATGCTCACGCCTTCCATTTCATCTAGTGCTATTTTTTTTTTTTTTCTTGGAGCTACGTTTTGCTGATCACTTACCTAATCTGTGACTTTTTGCAAACCTGTATGTACGCCATGTGCTCCTTGCTAAAAGTAAATATTGGAACTGAAGAAGAGGCTAGTATTTGCATGTTCATTTAATTCCATTAACTATATGACGTAAAGGTACATCGGTAGTTGAATGGCACAATAATAATGATGAGGCAGCTAGCTGTAAAGGAAGAAGAAGAAGAAGTGAAAGGAGCTTTGGTCCATGTTATTAAGAGGAGTAATTGCACTCGCACAAAAGCTAGGCCCCGTCACCTCCCTATGTCCTAACCCACATTTATTTTAGCTTTGGGACCATGCCATAGTTTTTGCCTTCGATCGAGAATTCCCCCAATTATCCAATCCATTTTTATCGTTCCTTCGTGAATTCTCATGCAGGGTAAACGAGTTTGACAGTCATAAGCAAAAAATGCTTCTTACTTCATGTGCCTTTTGTATGTATCTAATTTGTAGTAGCATGTTTTTTGCTTGGTGGTCCCGAGAACAAGAGGAGTCCATTCATGGATTATCACAGAAATTTAATCACATCTCTTCCAATATTAAATTCAATGAAGTGATGAGAAATTGTTGACCCAAGTAAGATAAGAAGATACAATCAATCCACTTCAAAAATTAAATGTTATCAAACGTATCCCTTCATTTTTTTTTCTTCATTTATCATACAAATTAAATATAAATCAATCAAATATTGATTGATCTAATCTGAAATTAAATCTCACTTGTTTTGATTTTGTTACTGTTGATTTTGTATACTATAATATGAAGTGAACAAGAATATGGTCGGATTAAAAAATATATACATTTGTTTTCTTTTTTGGTGGTTGACACGATTCATTTTCATTTTTTATATATTAAAAATGGTAGAAATTAAGAAGAAGAATGATATCTAACTTTAGACAGGCAAATGTACAAAAAAAAAAGAGACTTGGAATGGATGCCTAATTTTGTGATCACTATGCATTTTTTTTCTTTTTAATTTTTTTGGGAATATTTTTCTCTTATTATTTATTCCTTTTTGCCACTTTGATCCTGTCAATCGATTTTTGCACTTTCATTATTATCATTTACTTTTGCAAAATTCTATTGCATGATTAAAATTATAATCGCATATTTAAAATTCATTGTAAAAATATATATAAGGTTTGAAGATATTCATGATCGTATTATATATAAATAAAAAGATTACTTAATAATTTGACAAAAGAAAATAGTGTGTGCATGTATTCGAAGCTAGTTGGAACTAATGCTTTCTAAAGCTAGTTTAGACTATGAATATTTCTAATTTTTTACAAGCATTTAGGAACATGATTTGGGTTGTTGAAGCCTATGAATCCTAATTAAGTAGCTTATAAAGCTGTTTTGGCGGTCATTAATTACAATTCATCAGTCCAATCCTATAGTCTCCCATGATCAAACTTTTAAGATTAATCCGATTTTACAAGTGGCCATGATTTTGCACTACTCGTGAACAATGGAGGCCAAACATGTGGCTATCATCTGTAACTTGGAGCTTATCCTTTTTCGTTAATTGCATTCGGGGTAATATCAATCATAGCAAAATATTAAATATATTATTTAAATTTTAATAAAATATACAAATTATTAAATTACTAATTAATATTATATTTAAAAATTATTTATTTATTATGTATCATTATTTAAAATTAATTATATTATGAACGAATATAATATTAATTAATTAATTTATATATTACATTAATTTTTAAAAAAAATTTAAATATCATATTAAAAATTTTGTATAGCTTTTCTAAACGTTGAAGGCCTTGAAAATTGCAAATCACTTGAATTTTGAGGCTTTGTTCTGTAGAAATGATGAAAAAAATGTAAATAAAAAACTTGTTAATATAGTGAGGCAAAATTTTTAACCACTTTTTTATTTTATAATTTAATCATTAAATTAAAAAAAATTATATCTTTACCCCTTTCTGTCATCCTCATTAACAAAATTTTACTAATAATTAAACTACAAAATAAATAAATTAATAAATTTAATTATTAAATTAATAAATTTTCTATGAGATATATTTTATTATTTCTACCACATAAAGCCTTTCTCATTCGCTCTTCTCTTTTGCACCTCGAGAGGCCAACACATCTACTTCAATTTCAAGCCTCAAATTTCCCAACGTTGAATCAATTCACCGACTTGAATTACACTTTCAAATGAACAGCTGAAATAACACCTCGTTTGTTTCAATTTAATTTTGAGGGAAACTCTCACCTTTTTCCCTTTCTAACAACCATTCTTCGTAATTGTTAATTACTTACAAAACCTTTGCCCAATGAAGCTTTGCTTCAGATTAAAATTTTATTGTGTATAAATTAATTAATTAATTATGATAGTAAATTTTCTGACACTTTGTAGATTACAAAAAAAAAAACTTTGATTTTATAGGTTAAAAGGATGTTTGCTGCCCGGCTAATCCCGAACAAGAATATGACAGGAGAAGACAGCAAGATCTCCATTATCCATTCAGAAACGGACACATAAGCTAAAGAATACTGTTTTGACACGTGTTATATTTTCATTGATTCACACGAAACGACCAAGCTAAAACTTTTCTCATAGGAACATCGCGCCCCAAGCTTTAATAAGAAAAAGGAGCAGGGGTAAAAAAGTCAAAAGACAAAGCTACGCGTCAAACGGGAAAAAAGAGGAAAGTCACGCGCGAGGGAAAGAAGCGCGTAAAAGAAAGTAAAGAGCAAGACGGTGGCAAGAGGAAGTAAATAAAGAATGAAAAAGAGGGCAAAACGGTAAAGAAAAGGGTGGCGTGCTTTAACGGCATTACGAATGCATGCTCTAAACGCAACACCAAAATTTTTTGTTACACCCCTAAAAACTTTTTTTCCAAAAATTCTCAAACACCAAATATCAATTTTAACTTTTAATAAATGATAAAAATATCTTTAATAATTTATATATCTAAATATTATTTCGTATTTTTGAAAAATATATTTTTTAATATTATATTATGTTATCAAAATTTTATTTATTATAAAATATCATAATTCTCGAAAATAAATTATCCAAAACAAAACAAATTTTTTGAAAATTTATTTTTAAAACTTATATTATTTTTTTCAAAAATAAATTTTCAAAAAAACAATATAAGTTTCAAAAATTTAATTTTGATATTACATTAAAATTTTTAAAAATTTTATTTAATTATAAACTATTGATAATAAAAAATTTAAAATCTCTAATATTAGAGTTATTGAAAAATATTAACTCTAATATACGAGATGTATAAATTTAACAGCAAAAACTTTTATTCTTTCGACCAAATACTATGCAATAAATAATGTTTGCAATATGTATTAAATTCTAATAAACGTAAATCGAAAAGAAATAGTTAATATGAAAAGCATTCGTACAAATAGTTACTACATCATGCATGGTGAGTCAATTACATTTTATCGCTAATGGTGCAGCTGTTAATTTACAGCGAGTGTTTTTTTATATTTAATAATTTTTTTAGATGTATATCTGTTAAAATTATAAAAGTATTATAAAATTATTAAATGAATAATATCTTATGATGGAAAGATTAAAAGTTTTTATTGATGAATTTATTCTGTTTAAAAAATTAAAAACTCTAAATTTTTTAGATATAAAAATTCAAAAAATCTTAATTCTTTTTTAATATTCATTTCTTAAAAAATTAAATATTTTTTAAAATAAATAGTCAAAAAGCTTTGAAGTCTCTTCAAAATAAATATTCAAAATATTTAAAATTTTTATATGTCTATTTTTTTAAATTTCAAATCTTTTAGATATTCGTCTTCAAGAAATTCGAAGTCAGAAAATGAAGAAAAAGAAAAGAGAGAAGATAGGAATAAAAAAAATTAAAGTGAGAAATGAAGTGTATTTAACAAAATTTAAAATGTATATAAAAATGAGATGCATATGCATTTAGAATTTTAAAAATCCATAAAAAATCCTCCTGAGCCACCCTGTAACATGGTCCCCTACTCCCTATACAAACCACACTGTTCACAACTTAACATTTTACAAAATCCCAAATTTTCAAATTGTTTATTTTATTTTTACTGCTTCGGCTCGCAAGCGAAAAAAGTAAAGCAAAGAAGAAATTTTGGAAGAGGGAGGGTTCAACGATTGGATTTGCGACACACGTGCGTCAGATTGGGGAAGCTGATCACCCATTGATCACTTACGCACAGATATATATTAGTCTTTTACCATACCATAAAAGAGGGAGAAAGAGATTGATTCATCAAGATTTGCGCCTTGGGCAAAAGGGAAAGAGAGAGATCTTTGATATATCAGCAAATCAGGCTGATTTAAGGGCGGCGAGAATTTATTGATACGATGTACCTCATATAAACAACCTCAGCATTCATACACATGACCCGTTGTCCTTGAGCTCTTCGTTTACTCCTACCTCTCTTGTTGGCTTTGCTTGCTTTCTTCTTCTCTTCGTAAACCCATAAATTTATTTTCTTTTTCTGTGTCTCTGACGCCACCCTCTGCTTGGTTTCTTGGGATTTGGATACCTTTTTCGAATTATATTTCTGGGTTTTATTTTTGTTAGTGAGTTTTGTTTGGTAATTAAGATTAAGCGTCATCAATGTCATCATAAAGTTGAGGAACTGGAAATGGGATGGGAACAGCATGGAGTTCGAGGAAGGGGTGGAGAAGGATAAGGAAGCAGGGGTTGTTGGTGTTCTTGTTCTTGTTGTCGTCTCAGTCCAATGTTCATTAATGCTTTCTCCTTGTCTTCTTGCTGTTGCGATTGCGTGTTCCATTTTTTAGAATTTTAGTGTATTAAAAAAGATTTTTTTTTCTCGTTTTTTGAAGTCACAAATTACTTTTTCCGAACAATAGCCATTTCTTTGCCTCTGCTGTCGGTGTCTGGTCTGGGTTTGGACACACAGAGAGAAACATTGTCGTTGGTAGTTGTACCTACTATGGGCAGCTCCACAGCCACAAGGCACAAGGAACTTAGGCCAGCTTCTTGAGTTTGTTTGAAGGGGGATTTTCCTGTTTGTTGTTACTTCTCTTCGGTGAGGGTATTTTGGAGAAAAGAACAAAAATGAAGTTTATGAAGCTTGGCTCGAAGCCTGACGCCTTCCAAGCTGATGGCAAATGCATCCGGTAAGATGGGTTTCACTCAACATTCTTTTCTTTTACAACAAACCAATGCAAATCTTCTTCATCGTCGTTTCTATCCTTTATTCTTCTTTTAAAATGTTTCTTAGCTTTCTGTTTTCTCCGTTTGATTTGGTTTTGCTTTGTTTTGCCTTGCACTTTGTTTTCCGTTGTGCTGTCTTCTCCAGATATGTTTAACTTTCGGCTTTGGTTCCCGGGTTTGGTGATTTCTCCCCATGTTTGTATTGTGCATATTAGTCCGTACGGTTCTGAGATGCAATACAAGTTCATTAGCTCTAGCCTCTAGCCATTTTCTACTGAACATGTATAATTTGTTAGTATGTTTTACTAGTATTTTGTGTGCTGTGTATGAACATTTTTCTTTGTTTTTTCAACTGATTTCATACTGCGTGAGGGGTTTTTTAAATACACCTTAAGAAAAAGAGAACTTTAAGTGGTTAATCATACCATTGGGAAAAGTCACAACTTTAACAAGTAATTTATCTTTTTCTCTCTATTTTCTTTTGGCTTGGTGACAGATTAACCACATGGTGTTTTCATTACAATTATTATTCTTTTATGTTGGGATGGAAGAGTGAAACAAGAGATGGGGTATCTGGGAGGTGGTCCAGCTGTTGAACCTGTCCTCTTATTGATGAGTTAGTGGTCCAAATGTGGAAAAGCATATTGGAAGCAGGCCTTTAATCATCGTTGTAAGAATCTCTTCCTGTAAACAATAGCATGTTCCACCTAACATCAGGCATTTCCCATCTCCCAACTAGGGGCGAGCTTTTACACCATAACATGTCCAAAAGTCTCTTCCCCTTACAACAACTTCTCATAACCGAATCAGTTTATCATTGTCTTGCTAAGGGCAGAGTATCTAGGAGTGATCTAGTCTAGTGCCCTGGATGCGTCAATTTGTTACGAGAACTTTGTACTGTGATTTGGGATGCATACATTCCTTGACTAGCAGGTTTAATAAGGTCTCAGTGAATGATTTTTTCCATTTTGGTTAGTGGGTTACCCTCAAGATCTTTTTTTGCGTTAGCTGTTGTGAAACAAATATTTTGACATTCAAATTTCATCTTTTCAAGATGACACAACTAATTAAGACAGGGAAAAATGAAAGAGGCTTAAGAGCTCTAATATGATAATTAGTCAGTTTGCAGCCTTCGTTGGGAATGATTTATTTTTTTTGGTACGTGGGAGGCCAAGGCCTAGGAGAGATTGGGGTAGGGGAATTTGCAAGTGCTGCAATGAAACCTCCGCCTTGCTGGAAACCACCTCCTAAGGAAGGTGGGTGAACCGTTTGGACTAACCCTCAAGTTCAACTTGAACAATGTTTAATTGCATCATAAAATGAGTGTCAGTAGGTGCAGTTAGTTTATTTGCTTATTGACAAGACTGTGAGATACTAATATTTTTCTAGAAAGCTGTGGCTGCGTCTTTTTGTAAAGGTAGGGGTTGTAATTAATCTCATTGGGTGTAAGAAAAATAAATAAATAAATAAATGATAATAATAATAAACCTGAATTTGTCTTTAACAATAATGCTAATACTTGACTGCTGAGACTGAAGCCATCTCCGGGCTTCTGGTTTGTTATACCTGTTCTTCATGTTTAAGAGGGGCAATACTTTTACCTAAAAGTCACAAAGGTGTTTGAGAAGATAGCATGTAGTTTCTCACAGAGTTTGAAATTTCCAGTCCATTGACCATAGCCATTGATTTGAATAGCTTGGGGCTATGTGGATGGCGAAGAGGTTTTTTGTTCTAATGTAATTGTCAAGTGAGCGATAACCTCAGTTCGTTCTCTAGATCCAACGAGGCAAAATTGGCTATTGGTTTGTTTATTTTTCATTGTTTAAGGTTATTATCTTCATCTGCTATTATATTCCTTATGAATGCAATTTCTGTTGTGTGTGTGTGTTTTTCTTTTGGGGTAGCGGGGTTAAGTTTTTGTTGGTGTCTCTATGTTTGGCTTTAAGTTTTTCCTCTTTGTGGGCTTAACAGAGAATATCTGTTGATGCAGGTATGTCACATCTGATTTGGCAACAGATGTCACCATAAACATTGGCCAAGTGAAATTTTACCTTCACAAGGTTTGCACAATCCATCTCTATGCTTCTTTAGGTTAATGTGTTCAAAGATTCCGAATTTATAGCTTAGTTTTGATATTTGGTTCATGTTGAAACAGTTTTCTTTTTATATTCTGTATAAAATTCATGAAAATTTTAAATGTATTTTTTCAAAATAACTATTCAACTAACTTTTTTTTCTTTCAGAAAAATATTGCTATAATTACAATTTCATGGGAATTATGTATGCAAAATTTTGTCAAGGTAGTGTAATTTTGATATTGTGAAATCTGTTAGATGATAGTCATACATTTCCTCCTATAATTTTTTGCAGAAGTTGCCTCAGATTTCTCTTTGCTATTATAGATGCTAATGTTGTGGGAATGCAGATGAATCTTTTTTCTTTATGTGATCTCTTCTCTCAGCTAGACTAAGATTTTATATTTATCAATAAGTTCTAGAATGCTATGTCTGTGGAGTGCAGCTGCTAACTATAATTGTTAATTATGCTTTTATGTGCCTTGGCAGTTCCCTCTATTGTCTAAGAGCAACCGCATGCAAAAACTAGTACTGAAAGCTAGTGAAGAGAAATGTGATGAAATTAATATGGTTGATTTTCCTGGTGGGCCAAAATCATTTGAAATTTGTGCAAAGTTCTGCTATGGGATGATCGTTACCTTAAATGCTTACAATATTGTGGCTGCTCGTTGTGCGGCTGAATACCTAGAGATGACAGAGGATGTTGATCGAGGTAATCTAATTTTTAAAATCGAAGTATTTCTTAATTCTAGTATATTCCGTAGCTGGAAAGATTCCATTATTGTTCTACAAACCACCAAGTCTCTTCTACCATCGTCTGAAAACCTGAAGATCGTTGGAAGATGCATTGATTCCATTGCATCAACAACCTCTGTGGATCCGGCAAACATCACATGGTCCTACACATATAACCGAAAGTTATCAGCACAGGATGAAATAGTTGACAATGGTATGAAATTTCGGGAGAAGATTGAATCTGTCCCTAAGGATTGGTGGGTTGAAGATATATGTGAGCTAGATATTGATCTCTACAAGCGAGTCATGACTGCTGTGAAATCAAAGGGAAGAATGGATGGTGCAGTCATTGGTGAGGCACTGAAAACATACGCCATAAGATGGTTGCCAGATTCTGTTGATGCCTTGGTCTCTGATGTACATTCCTGGAGGAATAAATTACTGGTGGAAACAATTGTATGCTTATTGCCTTCAGATAAGGGTGTGGGTTGTTCGTGTAGTTTCTTGCTGAAGCTGTTGAAAGTTGCCATCTTGGTTGGGTTGGATGATTCAGCAAAGGAAGATTTAGTGAAGAGGATAAGTTTAAAGTTGCATGAAGCTTTTGTCAAGGATTTATTAATCCCAGCACGGTCTCCCCAAACTACCTTATATGATGTTGAGATGGTGCAGTCTATTGTGAATCAATATATGATGCATGAAAAGCGTAGTCAAGATTTAAATGTTGAAAAGAATAAGATGGGATGTACTGATTTTATTTTAGGGCATGGATCCTTGTTGAGTGTTGGTAAACTGATTGATGGGTATCTAGAAGAAATTGCATGTGACCCAAATCTGTCCGTTGCCAGTTTCATTGACTTGTCTCAGTCTATCCCTGAGTTTGCTAGACCAGTTCATGATGGGCTTTATAAAGCCATTGCCATGTACCTAAAGGTAGGCTTTTACACTATGAATGCCAGTTTAATTGATCTTTTCAAATTGTAGCTCCCATTAGTTGAATGCGTATATATAAATTTTTTCAGAATATATTCTGATACTCTATTACAGATTGTGTTGTGACTAGTGAATGCTTTCAAGGTACATCTAGGCCACTTCCATGCAACCATTGGATAGGTTTTAACACCATTTATGACTCTGTGACAGCATCTGGATCTTGCAGATCTTTGGAAGATCTGTAATGTTATAACAGTATAATCCCGAGCAATGCAGCTTTAGTTAGTTTAGGGATGGAGGGTTAGGTGTAAGGAAAAAGTTATTGGTAGAGAGGGCAGAATTGTTGTCAGTCCTACTCAAAGTTCAACTGGGACCTTTCTATCTGCTAACACCATATTTTCTATCTCTGATTTTGAAACAAAATATGGTCTCCTTTTAGTCAACCACTTAGTTGAAGACAAGTTGCTTGATTAATTTTCTTACTGCTTGAAGCAGCCTGTTGGGATCTAGTAGTATCGGGTTGTAGGTTTGACTGATTGTGTGTGAAGTGTGAAATTTGTCCGTTAAAATTACGTTACCTAAAAATGTCCTTAGTACGGGGTAATGTCTGTGATTTAGAAACATAGTTACACAAATCTGTATTGGTTTTTCATGATGCTTGGTTATTATGTCTGCAGGAGCATCCAAGCTTGATGAAGGCCGAAAAAAAGAAAATGTGTGGGCTGATGGATGTCAAGAAATTTACAATGGATGCGTCAATGCATGCTGCACAAAATGAGAGACTTCCACTACGGGTTGTAGTTCAAGTTCTCTTCTTTGAGCAGGTTAGGGCTGGAGCTGGAGTTGGATCACTTAACAACAATCCTCTTGATACCTCCCATTCCACGACAAACACTGATGAAGAATGGGAGAAGACTGCAGCTGAAGATTGCAACTCCCTCAAGAAACAAATGAGTCAAATTAAGATAAAAGAGGATGGATTCCAAAAAAAGGGTAAATTGTCCAAGAAGAATAGCAAAAGCAGTAAAAGTGGCATGAAGCTGTTGCCATCTCGATCTAGAAGAATATTTGACAAGTTGTGGGTTATGGGAAAAGGGCACGCGGAAAACAGAAGTCCTGAGACCTCCGGAAGTTCGCAAAGCCCAACTTTGATGGTTCCTGGGAATGCAACAAAGTCATCTGGTTCATATTCTAGACACGGGAGGCATTCTATTTCCTAGAGAAGGATGCTGAGGTTTATTAGAACCTAAACAGGTAAAGAAGATTCAAACTGTTGCAAGTGTAGAAAAGTGGTAGGATTTTGTTGTAGTTATGATGGGGGTTGTCAGCTGTAGAAAAATATAGTCAGCTTTTTGGGTGCTTCTCTTTCTAACATCTTCTTATCCAATTGTATGATCACTTATCTTGATATTAAGTCTCATGTAGTTAATTGGCGGACTGCACTTGAAACTTTCTATTCATGGATCGCCTTCTTGTTTATCCTGAAGAGATGTGCAACTGCTGTGTAACATAGGCGTGGCCATTTCCATGCTACTTTCTCACCTATCTTGGAATAGCAAGTGGAGCAAAAATGAAGGGAAGGCACCAATCGTAAAGAGTTATGCATAATTCTAGCTGCTCTACCCTTTCCTCCCCAAAATGAAACATAGTTTTCCGCAATTGGATGCTTGGTGCTAGCTAGTGTGCAATTAACTCTTCGGAAAGAAAAAATGATTTCTTTTCTTTACCGAACTTCAAAAGGAAATAATGAAGATATTAGTCTTAGCATTAGGAATTTTTGAAAGTAAAATTTTTAGTTGTGTCGTGTCATTGTGAGGGAGTGCATTTTTCTTTAAAATCATTAGGGGAAGGCATTAGGCCTGGGCAAAGCTTGGATACGTCTACCGCATTATAGAAATTAAATTCCAATCATGTTTTTTTCCAGTGCAACAAACGAACAAAGGTGAAGTATTGATTGTCATTACAAATTTCTGGGGTAAATAAGTATCAAAGCTTAGAGATGATCAATTTAAAGCAAATGGATTCTGTCTGGGTGAAGTGGCTATTACAAGAAATCAATTTCGTTGTTTTCGAACTAGCTTACTACAGCAAAATCAACTGATCATCAACTGGAATAAGCATGACCATCACTCAACTCCTGAACAGGAACAGCATAGGGCGAATTCCAATCCGCATCGAAGATTTCTTGAAGCTGTGAAACAATGGCAGGATTATACGTCCCGAAGCTGACACCGGCTGTTGTATAGAAGTAATCCCAAACGAGGTTGCTGGTACCGATGTGAGCAAGCACGTCACTAACAGCATATTTACCATGATTGACTCTGGTGTAGGCCGGGTAGATATTCCCAGTACGCTTTCCTTTGACAATGGCAGGTCCGGTCAAGTTGTAACCTGGCACCTTATAGTACTTAATCTCGACTTTGCCTGAACATTTATTGTTCTGTGAAGAAGAGCAGAGGACATTGGAGTAGAGAAGTGATTTGAGGTAGAGATCAGTGTTGTTGATAAAATGTGCCCAGTATGCTACCAGTATCTTCACTTTTGCATGCTTGGAGAAGACAACCTACCATATATAAACATCAGAAGAGGAGGAAAAAAACATTAATCCACTAAAATGAGTCAAGTAATAAAAGCTGGCAATGGACCGATGTTCATGTGACTGCGATATTACAGGGAACAATTGTATTTGCTAATATTGTCAGAACTTAATGTCACTACAACTCCAAGATGCTTAAGTATCATCTTGGTAAGGACACATTCAGTCTAGTACGACTATATGAGCACCCCCAGAAGATACCTACATGGCAATTTTACAGCAATATCCAAATTGATTTACAAGAATTTAAAACAATAAGAATGGTATGTGAAGGTACCTCTGAGACAGCAGTTGAAAGAGATGACCAATAAACTTTTTGCTTCGTATATTGGGATTGACCAAGCCAATCCATAGTACTGATCCTTACAGTCCCTCCGTCCCCAACAGATTTAATTGTATCTAGCCATCCCTGTTCATCGGGCTGGAACCTGCCAAATGACAGCTGCTGACCACAATTGGTATCAAATAGGAAGCATAAAAGATTAAACAAAAAAAAAAGAAAAGGAAAAGGAAAAATGAAACATGACAGCTGATTAGCATTTCCCTTAAGACTAAGAGAGATGAATATGCTAATCCAATCCACAAGATATGGATAGCCCCAACATTCCAGACCCAAGTAGCCAAGAAAACTACTTAAATGAGATCAGTTATTCAATAGTTGTATACAATCCAAACTCTTCTCCCTGCTAAATGGGATGGTAGCCTCACCTTTTGACTTCAGGTTATAATGAATCCGATATACCTTTGTTACCTATAGGATTTGAGGACCTTTAACTCTTTGTTTCCTATAAGATTTCAAGTATGCTATTCTACTAGTGTTGCTCACAAAATCTCCATTCCTAAGGATTAGCTATTGCAGTGGTTCTATAAGGAGGGAAAAATACCAAAACCAAAAACGGAAACAAGTGGAACATCCAATATGATTCAAGTGAGAAACGAAAAAACGAGTCCAAATTCTTAGTAAGCCTTAAGATTTTAGGGAGACATAAGAGTTAGCCACTTACCTCTGGTGGAGCAAACGACAGATAGCTTGATTGAGGCACTGGACTTATATAACCATATCCAGGAGCATCAATAATCAATTTCAATATTTTAGGGTCTGATAATGTAGGATAGCCAGCCACAAATGGAATCTCCACAAAACGAGGAAGTGGTGAACTGATAAGAATAAATATGTAAAGCCATTAACTTGTCAGCAAGGTGGTGCAATCCAAAGGAAGAAAATATTTGACAATTTCCTAGGGGAAATCAACAGACTATTATGCTTGTTAGCCAGCAGTCCAATTGTAGGACATCCTCTATAAGCATATAGAAAAAAAATATCATGAAATGACATATAATGCATTGTTGAGAATTTTCTTCCTATTTTTTAGAAAAGCAAAAAGAATAGCCAAACCTAAAAGAAATATGCTTTTAAATTGAAATATAATGCATTGCTTAACCCAATCTCAACATTAGATTAATAAAAAACAAAAAAGAATCATTGAAATAAATAGATTTTCATACATCGCTCAGGAGTGCAAAGAAGACAGGTGAACGACAGTAACAAAAGCAGAGCAATGCAAAATATGCAGGCATTTTCATGAAGAAATACGCATTAAATAAACACTTGTGACACCTGGGCAATACTACTTCTGAAAACAAGAATGAAAATTTCAAAATAAGACCATTAACCTACGTGCATCTCATGTCAGACTCAATGAAATGTGACCAGCAGGGAACTTTTCTTTGAATCTGCCATTGTTGGTCTAATATTGTTGTTGTGTAAGTTGAAACATTAAGATGTGCAAGTCTCCATAGATTCTGAAAGTAGACCCCAACCTTTCTTGCTACTTTTGGACAACCAACAAGATAAATTCCAAGTTCCTTCACCTGAAAACATAATCAGGACATGTTATTGCAAGGTTCAACCATAAATAACATGATGAGATTATTGGCGGGGTAAAGATATGAATTACCAAAGACAATTTTGCAACAGTTAAACATATAATAATATGGGTTATATTGTATATGCCTGAAGATGAGTGGAAAACTAATCTCTTCGCATCTTAAAGGAACCAACAATTAGCAATACGTAGAATTTCACCAATAGAGCAAATAAGCAGCATTAACAAACTTTAAAAAAATCATCAAACAGAAATAAAACATGTGATGATTGAAAAAGAAAAATTCATGACTTCAAGAAAATATGTTAGTGCAACCATGTTCTGCATCTGTCAGAGGAACAAGAGTGAACTCAATTAGGCATTCCCCTCATTTCATCCAAGTACAGAAACCATAATTAAGTCACTAGAAGGCATCTCGATTCTCATGACCAAGTGAAAGACTTTCTATTCAGCCAACTTCTTTTATGAGCACCAGGAAAAAGTATTCTAACAGCTGATAAACTAGATACACTAAACAATGTTATGCTGTTTTTTGCATTCATAAAATTTTTCCTTAAAAATTTCTTTCTTTTCTGCTACCAAGAAAAGATATTCCTAAGAATGCATTTAAGAAGAGAGAAGCAGCTAAGGAACCAGAATGCTAACTTACTATCCCTTTATGTCACATTCACAAATTACAATATACAAGTGGATAATATAGTTCAATAATGTCAAGTTTAACAATAATCATTGACCATGAGCCAGTAGCTATAGCAACTCTCAATTCCTCAAGCCAATGAAGGTTCAGGCTCTTGATGACATAATTATATCTGAGGTCCAAACCATGATAAACCAGTACTGTATGATCTTTCATATACCTGAGTAAGAGATTTCCAGTCATTGTTTGCAGATCCTATATATACATCTCGATTATCTGATATCCAAACTTTTGCATGGACAACGCCTGAACCCCACCATTTATCAAGTAATAAAGTCACACTCTTGACATTTGGTCTTCTTGAAGCAAGGCTGGTTGGCTCTTCAGTGTAGTCAGGATACACTCCATAGTGCTGTAGTAACCTGGAAAAAAGTAACTGATTTGATTAGGAATGGAAAAATATGATTCATTTACAGTTCTCTGGAAATGGAAAATATCAGTTTATATAAACTAGTAATATAAGATTTGAAAACAGAAGAAAGAAATGCCATCATTTTCGGTATACCTATAGATTTTGATGGATGCAAGATACTAGTAAATGTAAATTTCTCAATTTTGCCGTCCTCACCAAAAATTCATTTTCTCAGAAATGTTTCTCCCTTTTTGATTGGTGGAAGAGCAGCTTCAAATTATACAAATTGTTAGCTAAATGAATTCCACATGTTTATCTCAGGCAGTATTCACTATTCAAATATCCTCTTCAACTTGCTAACAGAATTGCATTTGCAGTCTACAGGAGAAAACAAACAGTGACTTCGGATCCAAGTACCCTTCGTTCTTAGTTTTTCTCCCCCCAAAAGCAATATCCAACGGTAAAGGGCAAAAGGCCAAAACTTTTCCTTGCTCAAGATTGATATTAGGAAAAGTGAAATTATACAACAGCTTTTTAAAAGCACAAGGGATTAATGACATGCTATTCAAAAAACAAGTTATGGTTCATTTCCAATACAATAATTCTGTGTAAGACATAATTTTAGAACAAAAAATTCACCCGTAGTAGCAGTAAGAAAAGATGCAACAAGAAACAGCTATTAGAAAACGTAAGGGAATCAAATTAAAATGCGTCTACATGTGCAAAATTGTATGTAATTCAACAGCTTACCGACCCCACCTCTTAACCATGATATGTAGTGCACTAAGTAATTTTTAAAGCATTACATGTTTTTCCCAATATAACAGTTTGTTTCATAAATGTTTTCAATTTAGAAACAATAAAACTATTGATAATTTCACTAAAAAAGGAAGACATTGAATCCATAAATATATAACCTGATATCAACATCTCGATCAGCTGCATTTTCCAGAGCTTTATAAACAGAAAAACCTTGATGGGCACCAAAACGATTCATATCATCCTTTGAGTACCCATACTCCCCTGAACGAGAATCCTCCGGATGTGCTTTTAACTGCCAATACTGAGCTATTATATCTAGTTTGTCCGTAGAGTTGTAAGCCAACCAGTTAAACACATCACCTATAAAGCGAGAAAAAGGTCAAAGAAAAACAAAATCAGTTTCGTTTTTTTCACTTTGGGGCAGAGTTTCTTGAAGCAGATAAGATTGTTACCAGTAGAAAGGACACCAGGGACACGAAGGAGATGAGGCATATCCGTTGGGATTGATTGGACCAACCAAGCTTTACATCGTGGTAATGATTCAGTGAAACGTGGCAAAGACAGGTTGACCAAGAGAAAGAACACAAACGATGTGATGATACTGTACCCAACCTCCATCTCTCCTTTCCCCTAATTGGATATTTTTCTCTCACTCTTTCCTCAATTTCTGGGTTTTTCTCTCCTAATTGAACTATTTGATTAAAGGCTCAAGGCAAGATATCAGATATGGAAAGTCATCCGTTGAAGATTCTTTCAATCTAAACTAAACAGCCTCGAATTCATTTATGCTAAAGCCCATTGTCCAAGGAAAAACGAACCCCCCAAAAAAATCATAGTTGTTCCTTAATCCTTACTTTTCATTTATTTATCAATTTTCCACAGGTAGCTTATTCATATCTGGTCTGGGTCATAAATTTTTGAAGAGGTTTCCACGAAAAAAGAAGAAAACTTGTTGAGATATTCATCTTCGGGAAAACGAGTCGGTTAACAAGTTACAAACAAAAATAAACCGATATAGGAAACGGATAGTTCCAAGAGCTTACATTTTCGTGTAAAATTATTGCGTCTTCAAAGAGAAGCATGTCCATTGCTAACGAAACTTAAGAATTTTAAGATCATAAGATTTGCATTAAATCTTCAGGTTTATCAAAATAAAAAAGAAGTCTAATATACGGGTTATATTATGTAAATGTTAGTACCATTTCAACGACTTTTATTCTTCTACATGAAGGGTATCGTATATGTAATCATGTCAATTTTTAAGAAATTTCAGGAAGCTTACTTTTGTCCGATTCAATCCAACAAATTTTCCTTTTTGAAGCTGGTGATCCCAATCATATAATTGAGAATGCAATTTGATGTATGAATAAGATGGAATGCAAGAGAAGGGAAATTTCATGAATACGTTCTCACCATTTCTAGTATTTTAAGGGAAGCCTAAAACTTTTATTAACAAGGATTTCGTGGCCATGGGTTTGTTTTTTTAACAGGAGAAGAATAGTGGTTTAGTTTTACCATGTAAATCTTGCTCTAAACGTTTTATTGAATACACTGAACTTGGTAACTTCAAAAAAAAAAAAAAAAGTGAACTTGATACAAGAAGAAAAAAAAAACCACTTTGCCCTATTGGGCTGACAGTTATTAGCATCAACCCGATTGGATATTGGGTCTTGACTAAAAAAAAAAAATGGGAGATGACTGTAGCCGATGGAGCTAGCCATAGTTCATTGCTTTTTGGGCTTTAGAATGTCCCGTTCAATTATCAATGGAACTCATCTTAAGGTCCAGAATAAAAGCTCTGACTGAACCGAGTTTGGTTTGATTGAAGTAGTCCACAAATCGAACGGCTACGATCAATCCTTGATACAAAACTGCAAAGCACACAGAAATGCTGGATAGCTTTCAAGGGAAACACTGTAACGGAGGCGAGCGAAACTAGCAAAGGCAATAAAGCTGTTCACTGAAGGCAGAAGAGAATTGAAGAGAAAAGAAGAGAGAGGAAAGCGAAGATGCAGAGAGTGAAAGCTTTAGTGAAAGCAAGACATTCATTTCAAAGAAATGGGTTCCTCTCCCATCATAGATGTATCTCTGCTCAGCCAAACTATGCCCCATATGATGATTTCCAGGACCAGGTCTTTTGAAAATAATTATATGTTTTCTGGGATTATATTTATCTTATGTATATTATAACTTTTTGGTCATTGTTTTTTGGGGGAAGGAAACTTCCAATAATATGTTTCAAGTATGGTTTTTGTGCTTAAATTTGTTTTTTTTTTCTTGGAAAAATGGAAGACCCAAGTTCATAATTTTGTCAAAGATTGCTTATTGGTGCGTGAAATGTTTCAGGTTTTAGTGGAAGGAAGAGCTAAATCAAGAGCAGCCATTCTCAATAGACCTTCTGCTCTCAATGCACTTACCGCCTCAATGGTTTATTTTTGCTCTTTCTCTTTTCTTCTTTTTCTTTTAAATTTAAAGTCGATATTTTTAACTTCTAGTCTTCACCCATGTGGTAAAGTCGTGAAGAAATTGTAGTTATTTTTCTGTTTATAGGCAGCTCGGTTGAAGAAATTGTATGAATCATGGGAAGAGAACCCCGATATTGGTTTTGTCTTGATGAAGGTATAACATTTCATTGCATATTTAAGTTAAAACACTCAACTTACACGCACAAAGATGTAAATTTTTTCTTTTTCGAAACGGTGTTTGATATTTGATATAAATTATGTTTGGAAAGGAAAATCTCTGGAATGTTCTTTTTTGTAATAGACTTTTTAGAAAAAGAGCCTCAATGCAGCTTCTATGGTATTTTTTTTCAATTAGTTTTTTCATTTATTTTGCCAGTGGAAAGTCTACATGCCCTTGACATTTCAGATTTGATCTTCATTGGTGTCTAAGCTGTTGTATTGAATTTTTTTGAAGGGTAGCGGCAGGGCTTTCTGTTCTGGTGTTGATGCTGTTGCTCTCTATCACTTACTTAATGAAGGTTAGCCACCTATAAATGTTGCTTAGTTATTTGATATGTCAATCAAGAGCTCTTCCGTTTGAGAAAGCAATTCAAGAATGAGATGATAATTATGGTGCAGAACAACTTAGTTGCAAGCCATGTTTTATTGACACCTTAAATTATCATGTTAAACTTCTCCATGGAATTTCTTTTTGATTAAGTTACTTTATAGATTGCACAATGATGATTCTGTCTAGCATTTTATGAAGTCTGTGATTCATGTTTCAACTACTTAAACTTTTTGCAGGGAAAGTTGAAGAATGTAAAAGGTTTTTCATGACACTGTATAAGTTTGTATACCTACAAGGAACATTTCTGAAGCCGCATGTGAGGATTCTATGTTTGATTGATTGATAACCATGTGAATTACTTCTGAGTTTCTTTCTGTAACTGCAAAAAAGGCTTGTGACCATCCTGCACTGACTATATGTATAGGTGGCAATTTTGGATGGTATAACAATGGGATGTGGAGCTGGAATTTCTCTCCCAGGGATGTTTCGTTTGGTGACTGATAAAACTGTATGTCGTGCCACCCCATCGTAAAGAAATATTATATTAGATTTTGTGCATTAATTGACATTTGAGTTAATGTACCATCTTGCTTCTTATGAATGTCATACACTTTAGTTGAATTCATTTGTCATGTGAGGATTGAACTTGTCTCAAATTTAGTGAGAAATGGTTTTTTTTTTTTTTTGTTCTTGTTGTATGAGGATTAAACTTTATCATTATTAGTAATGGCATAACAATATATCCTCTATGCATTATAAATTCTGCTTCATACTTCCAGATAAGATAGACTAAAGAAGGGAGGGTGATATCATTTGCATGAAAACATTGTTTCTGCCATTTCATGGTTCTAAGACTGGAGCAATATATGTTCAATTAGAGTGATATAAAACCATTCTGTTCTTCATGTATTTTATTCTATGAGATATACACTATGACCATTTGAATGATACAGCTTAAAATCAGGAATATGGCTGCAACAAACAGTTCTCCATCCGCCCTCCCCCCTTTTTTTTTCCCTTTCTAGTGCATGGACTTAAATAACTGTGTCTTACCTGTGCATAAAATTTTCAGGTTTTTGCTAATCCAGAGACGCAATTGGGGTTCCATCCTGATGCTGGGGCTTCATTTTATCTTTCTCGCCTACCTGGTTACTTAGGTAATAACAATTTTATTAAGTTTTTCAATGCACAGCTATATTCCTTGATATGCATGACTTATTTACTTGTTTATTTTTCTAGCCATTAAAATGTTGGAATATTTTCGTTTCTGCAAATTATTGGCCTGTATCTGGGTTTACATATTCCATTTTTTCTTAACAAGACATGTCAATTTTTCCTTCAGGGGAATGCTTAGCTCTAACAGGAGAAAAGCTTAATGGTGTCGAAATGATTGCCTGTGGCCTTGCTACCCACTATTGCCTAAATGCTGTTTGTTCCTTCTGCTCCTTATATATATAATTATTTTTGCTTTTTCTCTGTTCCTCTTTTCTCAACATATTTGAATGAACTGTCCATCATAGAGACTTGCTTGGATCGAAGAACGCCTTGGTAACTTGATGAATGATGATCCCACTGTCATAGAGTCTTCCCTTGCACAATATGGTCACCTTGTTTATCCAGATAGGACCAGTATTCTTTACAGGTAACCTTTTATTTTTTTTGGGAATTGTAGCACTTCGAAATAGTTTCTATATCTGGACTGCATAATTTTATTTGTAGAAATCATGGTTTTGATTTGATTGATTTTTCCCTTATGTTGTGATTTTTGTTTCAGGATTGACACAATTGATAAATGTTTCAGTCATGACACTGTTGAGGAAATTATTGATTCTCTGGTAAGCTTAATTCTACATATATGTTTTTGTAATTTGTGTGTATGCCTGTGCATATAGACACTTGGCTATATGAGCCATTGAATGGGGTGTGTTACTAGGTAGTTAGTTAAGATTTTTATATCTCATTATATTTTGCATAACAAAGGGGCTTCTGGCTCAGCGGTTATCTCTCAGTCTAACAGATGCATGAGAATAGAGGTTCAGTCTTTAGCAGTGGGAGCTTCATGTAAAAATGCTAAGAGTAGAGTCTGTGCTACCATTCCAAGACCTTACTTTCGCAGATCCATCTAGCCAATCACCCTTTATGTTAGTGTTAGACTGTCAATCTTAGAATGGTGGACTTGGTACTGGATGGTACCAGCTAATTATTCTTCCAGATTCATTGCCTTCTATCATCTAATTTAAGCAGTATGTACCATTTTTTTCAATAGATTTCAGCCACTCAAAGTTCTTCAAATGGCATTAACGGGCATATATTATTAAGTTTAGCAGATCCTCATAATCATCTTTTTATTCTTCTATGGTGAATTACGCGAGGCAAAAACTGCGTAGAGCCTGTTGGCACTTATCTTAACTTGATCCCTGTAGCTTGAAATTTCAATGATTGATTTCCTTGCTGGAAGGGAGAGCTGATTTACCCTCTTTACTTACTTTAACTGAAGGTTCTCCCCTTGCTTTGAATAGAAGGTAATAAATAAATAGTTATTATAGGTGTCTGGGTTGGCAGAGATTGATCTTTTTAATTTTACTTGGAAATTAATCAATTCGACAATTAAACCAATGGTTGGGAATATCAGTCTAATGCTTTCAAAATTTTTATTTGGGTCATTGCTTATGGAGATGTATTTCTCTAGTCTCTCTTTACTGAATAACCCTGTTACTCTGATACTCAATTGAGTTATAGATTCATATGGTTTTGAAAATTAATTTACTCAGGAAAATGAGGCAGCTCATGCTTATGATGATTGGTGCAAGACAGTTCTCAGAAAAATGAAAGAAGCCTCACCATTGAGCTTGCAAGTTACTCTACGATCAGTAAGTTAACAAAGTCTACAGCTGCTTTAAATTCCATTTTGACCATTAATGGCTTACTTCAGTTTCTTTGTTGCATTAGGTACGAGAAGGTAGATTTCAATCTCTTGATCAGTGTCTGGCAAGGGAATATCGGATGTCTCTTGCTGCGATCTCCAAACGGGTCTCTAATGATTTTTCTGAGGTATGGGCTGTTTTTCTTCACAAAGAGAGCATTTCTGGAATAACTGTTCTTGTGAATTTAATTAAACTGTTTCTATAGGGTGTTCGAGCTCGGTTAGTGGACAAGGATTTTGCTCCCAAGGTATTCTGTCTTTTCTGGCCCCATTATCCGTGTTATTATACATTTATACTAGTATATCATGGAAAAGCCTGCACAAAAGTGGTGGGGTTGTAATCCCAAAATCTATTTATTATATATGTATATATATTCTTACTCCTGTGATTTTGTAATTTGTATAATCAAATTTTCAGTGGGACCCTCCAAGCCTGGAAGATGTGAGTAAAGACATGGTCGAGTACTATTTCTCCCCACTTGGGGAATTGGAGCCCGAGCTAGTGCTGCCAACTTCATTGAGAGAACCTTATATCTGAGAAGGATCTCTTTGTAGGGTAGGGGAACTATCAATTTTTTATGGCAGACAATTTTTGGTGTATGGATAAATAAGACCATAAGATTTTGGCGTATCAGTTTTTACAGCTACACTTTGTTGTGGGGTACACAGAGGTTAGAGATTTATTTTGTTAATGATATTTAAAGTAGATGAGATTGTGCTCCATTTTGATACATATTGTCCACTTTCGAATGACCAAGGAAAGACTAATGTCTATTATGCTATTTGAGTCTCTGTAACTTTCAAAGATTCACATGATGCCAAAAGATAGTGGAGTTGATTTAGTTACTGTTGTCAAGACTGGAATGATGAGTAAAGCATTCATTTATATATGTAAGTACTCTAATTCTTCTCTTCAACCGGAGCAGTACCCTTATCCCTCCTCCCTCCTCCCTCAATCCTTAAGGTGCACTAGGATGCAATAATTAAATACTAATTCACAAGATTAAAGATTATAGTTAAGTCAGAAAAAAAAATAATAATAAATAAAAAAACTCAGGAGTGAAATTTACATAACCATTGAAGCATATTCAAGCATTGCGCCTAAAGTTATACAAGTCCATAAAGTTTGGTCACAAAAATAATTCCATATAAACTCAACAAAGCTTGGTTTCAAATTTCAAACTAATCCCCATGCTAAATAGCTCCTGACACAATAACTTCGCACCATAAGGAACATTGACCTTGACAATATCATCAACAGACTGACAAATCATGCAATAAGGACCTCTAATCTTTCGAACACTAAGTACTGTTCGTTCAATAACATTTGCAACATTTTTGCAAGTTTGACAAACGTGCATTTGAGAAGAATCACTCAATGTGAAAAGGCGCTCATGCAAGTTAGCCGCTGCACCATGTGCAATAAGGCAATCACGCTCCATCTCACCAAATTTGATCCCACCATAACGTTTCCTGTCAGCAACTGGCTGCCTTGTAAGTGGGTGTACAGGTCCAGTGTTTCGAAATTTCACTTTGTCTTCAGCCATGTGGATCAAACGCTGGTAGAATGTTGGACCCATAAATATGAGTGAACGAACCATCTCACCAGTTCGACCATTGTAAACTCTCTCAGTTCCCCATCTCGAAAAACCAGCTCTATGACAGATATGCGACTAAGAAGATGAGAAAGCAACCATTGAAAATAATAATTATCAAAACAAAATAACATTAAGTCCAATATTAGTAACAAGCAGTGAAAGTAAGGATAAATGCACAGTGAGCATGCAGGTCAACATGCTTAGGGAGAATCCATACTTGTGAAGCTGTTTTGTGATGGCATCTACAGAGAGAGTGGAGAAAGGGGTGGCATATTGCATTGACCCACCACAGGCAATTCCCTTTCCCAAAGCAGCCTCCAACAGTTGGCCTGGAGTCTGTCGTGAAGGAAATGCATGTGGGTTAATTACAATATCAGGAACTATTCCTTGAGTTGTGAAAGGAAAATTCTCTTGGGCTTCCAGAAAACCGAGAACACCTTTCTGACCATGCATACTGGAGAACTTGTCTCCAAGACAAGGAGGTCGAACCTGAAAAAAGATACCAAAAAAGCAACTGATGAACAACTAACACTTATCAGCAATAGATGCTATCTTGCACAACAAAATATATTAACACTACTATGTCTCTTCCATACGCACACATGATCAAGTAATTGGGTCAATAAGCTCATATATTTTCAATTATGAGCTGAAGTCAAATGTCTTTGTGATTGTAGACTTAAGTGACATTACCTGTCTCAAAGATACCACAGCAAAATTTTTCCCATCATCACTTGAAGATAGCACAACTTTCTGAACCGTGCCTCTTTCAGTGTGTTTCAGTTTTATACTATGATCAGCTCCAGATCCAGCGCACCTCCCAATGACAATGTCACCACTCTGCAGGTTAGCACCAACATAAGGAAAACCATCATCATCAAGGCTGTCCACTCGTCCAATCTTACTTTCTATTTTTCCAAAATTTACAATATCTTCAGACTTTCTCCTCTTGTCCGGAATTTCCTTGTTATCAACTTCTGCTTTGTAACTTCTTACGTGTTCAGTGCGGAACATTCCACGCTCTAAAGAGGCTCGGTTCATTACCAAGGAATCCTCTTGGTTGTACCCAAGATGAACATTGACAGCTACAATAGCATTCTGGCCATTGTATAATTCTGGTTTTGGTATTATTCCACTCCGACCTAAAGGATATCCTGGTTTTCCAAGACAATCAGATGTCATTGTACGAAAAAGAGGCATTTGGGGATAATATAATTGGTGTGACAAAGTATCGACTCTGATGTTGGGGTTTGTTGTAGAAAATCCAATAGCCTGTTGAGAATGCTTCTGTGCCTGGTAGAGGACTCTCCTTGCATGATCATGATTTGCAAATGGAATGATCCCACAGCTTAAACCCAAAAGAAATGACATGTCAAGCTCACAATGTGTATACTTAACAGGTTGCTTCCCCTCAACTTCAGTTAAGAGGTACTTTATACCCCATGCCGTTCGACAGTCCTCTTCTTCTTCAGCTCCAACAAGCTCAACTATCCCTTTGTCTAGAAGAGACTGGAAAGTGTAATTTTCCCCCTTAGATGCTTTTATTTTGATTAGATTCTCAACAACTAAAAGTGGACGCAGAATCCTCCCAGCATCAGAAAAGATGCGCACTTCTCCTTTATGTTCATCTCTTTTGATTTCCACCTACAAGATAAAAGATTATTGCCAAAAAGGATGAGAGCAATAATAATCAACAACAGAAAAAAATTTGCAGAACCACTCTGCAAGAACTAAACTTAGGGGACTTCTATGTAATTTTACATTTTAGACAGGAAAAAGATGCTTAGCCTAGGAAAAGGAAAACAGCAAAATCTGAGTTTTCTAGAAGAGTTTTCTAGAACAGCTGATTAAAAATTGTGCTTATCTCTCCTGACACATATTAACAGAAACAATTTTTAGTTTCAAAGTTCTATCTGTTGTCCTTGAAAAATACAAAAAAAGATATGGCTAGCTTTTTAAAACTGAAGAAGTTCAAAATCTATGCGGTGTAAGGAATGAAATGGGGCACCTGCTGTGGCAATTTTTTTGCACGTCGCTTTCTTCTAACCTCAGCAACAAATGAAAGGGAATCTTCACAAACCCCAATCCATTCCCCATTCAGAAATACCTTATCTTTGCCATCAAGTGAACTAGAAGTATCATTAACCACTTCCTCCATTCCAGAATCAAACAACTTGTCAACTATGGATTCCACTATGTTTGTACTCACAAGTGCTGTGGTGGCCAGATTTTTCACAAGCCCACAATTTTCACCATCTGGAGTAGAGAGGAAGCAAACTTTTCCCCAATGAGAAGGATGTCTGCATTACAAAATATCAAAATCGAACCATATTATAGCTGACAAACATCTCAATAGATTTAAACTCAAAATTCATAAAGAATCAAATGCTCAGAACCTAAAGTATTAATTCCACATTTCAAACCCTAAGATACAAACACTAAGGATAACAGATTCTACAGGAAAAAAGACCACAACAACACACAAAACTACAGATAAAATCATAGAAACATTAAACTACTTCATCTTCGTTGTCATTTGTTACGAAAGATTGTAGCATTTATTTACAGATGAATAATCTGACAGTTCTGATGTGAAAATAATGACTTCCAGATCAAATATGAGAAGTTATATACAGTTCACAAGGATTCATGTCCATGTAATTGCATAAATAAAAGTAAGCTAAACATCAGAAGCAAAACTCATTTTATTGATCTCACAAAGTTCTGAATAAAAGCTAACTAGAATAGATTCACAACAGATCCCTATAAAGCGCAACAAATATCGAAATTTTGCAACAAAGGGTTACTAGAAAAAATGGTCTGACATAACTTACGGGTATCTCGCATCTCCAACCTTCCCAGTGTACTGAACCTGCTGGCGTGTTTTCCTCAAATCAACCATTGTCTGCAACGGATTTGCTCGTCCAAGATTCGCCACTACACCCGAAATCCTTTCCATCCTTTTGAAAGGATGTGACCATGCTCCAGTAGAAAATGCTCTTGAAAGCCCATTTGTAACTATGGAACCCTCAAGATAGTGCTCAATTGGACGAACGGTTCGATCTGCATAAAGATCTCTCTGCAGAGTCTTTGCCATACGCCTCCTTGCATGTGCAATGTGAACTTTCAGTTCACGCTCAAGCAGCTCACCAGCCAACTCTAACCTCTTGTTCCTAAAATCATCTCTATTGTCACATTTTCTCCGACCAGTGTATGCTTGTAAAAGACACTTTACTATGTACCCCAGGAAGCGAGCTTTTTGCCTAAGGCCACAGAGAGTGGGAAATAGATACAGGCTAAGGCACTCTTGAGCGCCTTCTTCGGGCGGAAATCTGGTATCTTTGAGTAATCTGTCTACATGGTTAAGAGCATTCCTTCCTTCACGAAAATTATTACATTTCCAATCAGCATTACGAATTGAAGCAAACAGTATGTTTGATATACTGGAATCATTGCTTCCAAAGTCAATCAGATTTATAACTTCTTTGTCAGATGGTACACCAAGGGCAAAAAACAAAACCCATACAGGGATCTCAATTGACAAGAAATAAACAGTCAGGACTTTCTCTCCCCCCTTAATATATTCAACTTTAGAATTCTCCACTAGTCTAATAATTAATCTGTTTCTCTTCACCTCTGACCTGTAAGCAATTGTCCAACCCTGAATGTTTGAAATCCAGAGTCTCTTCAGAGAAATTTGCTCTTGCGCAATGAATATCTACAATAAACATTGCATATGTATCATCTACATTTTTGCATAAAACAATAATGAAAGAGTATTTGGCTCTATAGATAAAGTGCTTAGCACATTCAGGTCCTATTCAGCAATTATGAAGTATGGATGCTAAATAACATGTCAACTGACAGAATAAAAAATGGAATAATAGTACAGATTAAAAATGTCAGACTTGCCTTCTCTGCACCCTTGATCAGAAAATAGCCTCCATGATCATAATCACAATCAGCCTTTTCAGCTTCATTCATCCAACACAGGTTAGACCTCACCATCACAGGGATCCTCCCAATTATAATATCCCTGTTATCTCGATACACAATTTCCTCTTCAACGATTTCTTCTCTTCCAGTTTTAAACTTGTCACTCTTAACACTTTTAGCTGTATATACCTGATACATTACCAGGAAACAAATGATACCATATTTTAATTAACATATTTTTAGGGAAAAAGAGAGGGAAGGGGACATTTGAATAATGAATAGGATTCAAGCTATCATATAAGAAATGGAGGTATTAAGTTATACTGCATATAATATTTAGATTCCAGAGTCTTACACTCAGTTAACAGAACATTTATTGTGTCAATAATTATCAAACCAAACATCAATAAGAATGCCTGACACTGATATCAATGGACGTTTAAACAGTCAGTAATATTTACTCACCTGAAGGTCAACATTAAGCATCATCCTAGCTGAATATGTCATATTCTGAAGGCGTGCATGCCTAGGAAGCATGTTGAGCTCATTGCCTCCAGAAACAGCCCAAAAGGTTGGCCTCCCAACAGTAACCTTCCCAAACCTCACTCTAGCATGACGCCAGTCGCCTTCCCCCTTCTTCGACGGGTCATACCCAGAATGAATAAGGAACTCCCCGAAAGAATCGAAGGTCTTCTGGAGACCATTTTCTATGAAATCATTGTAGGAGTTGATCTGATGGCTAATGAGACCGTACTGGTCGAAGAAAGACACAGCCGCTTTTCTACAGAAACTCTTCAGAGACTCTTCTCCCAACTGTTGCACACTGATCAACTCATCAAATATATCATCAACTTCATCTAAATCCATATCAGTTCCATTTGAAAGCTTTTCACCTTTACTACTCATTCCTATGTTTCCCTTACTATCTGGCGACGCCCCCATTGTACCAAAATCTAGAAACAACGGAAAATAAAGTTAAACCCCATTGACTTTAAGGTTTACACAAGCATAAACAGCTTCAAAAATCAACCCAAAAAAAAAAAGACAAACTTTTTAAGGATTCAACAAAAAGGGGTTCTGAACAGCGAAGACAAAAAGTTCAAAAAAAAAAGAAGAATAATAATACAACCTTAGCATCATAAATAAGCGACAGAGGAAATAAGAATGACTTACATTGAAAGTTTTTTGAGTGGATTGAGAGAATTAAGAACAAGAACCCTAAACCCCTAAATCTTCTCTGTTCTTATCAGTAAAATCAGTGATTTCTACGGTTTTTACAGTCTCTAAACTGCAATGTGCGTCAAATTTTACAGGGCTTTCTCACTATTTCAGGCTCAAAAGATTGAACTTTGAGTTTTGGAGAGTGCTTTTTTTTTATGGGAGGGGGGGAGGGCGGGGAAGGGAGACGAAAGGACAACACTGAAGTCTGAACACCGATGGAACAATTTTAATTTCCGTAAATGGCCTTGAGTACTCTCATAGTTCTCTCCATCGAAATTCAAGGGTATCATTATAAATCCTGCAGAAGATGGTAGGACACGGTACGAGGGAGTCGCGAAAAGACGCATGTGTCCTTCAGGCTTTGGGACTTTGGTGATAAAAAGATATTTTAATTTTGCTGGAGTAAATAAAAGAATATATGAGTTTTTTCTCGATCTATTATGCTTTGAAATTTTATTTCCTTAAATACAGTACTTTTAAACTTTATTTTTAAACAAAAATATTTTAACTTACTCAATTTCACGTCAATATTTTTTTATGTGAACTAATTTTAAATTTGTGACGCATAATTATGTAATTATATACAAATCAAATTATAATATAATTAATAAATTTTATAAAAATATAAAAATTTTAGTATAAAACAAGTAAGAAAAATTAAATTTTTGTAGATATATATTAATAAAAATGTTTTGTATCTTATTTCATATAATGATATTTAAACAAAATCGAATAATAATTCATTCCAAACAGCTGAAATTTACTTTACTTAAAATCAATCTATTATATAAATTTTTTTTACTTTTTTATGGGCAATATTTCAACATTCTTTATTTGTTTAAGTATTTTATTTTTTTTTTTTTAATTTTGTTAATGTATATTTTATATTTTTATCAAAACTTAAAAATTTAAATATATAAAACTAATTATAAAATTTCGTAAACTATAAAATTATTGCTATATAAAATAAGATGAGGGATCAATTTGTATAATATAAAATATTTTTAGTTTTAAAATTTTTTTATTATTGATTTATATAAATTTAATAGATGAGATTAAATCAATATTTTTTTATATTTATTTGTTTCTCTTATCTCTTATATTTATTAAAATTAAAAGTTAAAAAATTACGTATAATTTTTTTAATTTTATATTGTATAAATCGATCTCTCATTAAAAAAAATTATTAAAAATCTCGTGTACGGCTCATAATCTTTCGTAATCATGACTTATGATCTTTCAAAATTATTTCCATATTTTAGGTGATCAATGAATATTGTAATTGTCTAAAATCATGCTATTAAGAAATTTTTATGCCTGTTTCCAAATACTTGAATTATGAATTTAATGCAATAAAATCAATAATTAAATAAAAAATATTTAATCATATATTTCTTATTCTAAATTATGGAGAAAAATTAAGCAGATTTTTTTTGTTTTATATATTTTTAATTTTATATGAGGTACATATAATTATATTATTGCATTAATTATTACTTTTTGAAATTAATTTTATTTTATTTTATTTTATTTAATAATCATTTTTATTTATAAGTTTTTAAGAGGAATTAAGCAAAGCAGTTATAATGAGTTACTACTTGTTTATGTAACATGTTTTTTGTTTTGAAAATTCTAGGCTTTCACAATGCGAAATTTTTAAGCAAAGATTATATATCTTATATATTATATAAAAGTTAGAATTTTTGGCAAAAATAAAAAAATTTCAATGTAAATAGCCTATATTATTTACATGTTAACAATCCTAAAAAATATTTATGTCTACTGCATTTAATTATTTTGATTTAATTTCATATAAATTTTATTTGTTTAAAAGATTTATTTTGACTAAATTAAAAATATTTATTATTATATAAAAATAAAATAATTCTTAAATTTTATAAATATATATTATAAATCAACTATCTTAAACCATTTTCAAAAAATTTAATTTTTAATTTTAAACATCAAACATGAACACTATAAATAAAAAAATATACTTTGAAAACATTGACTATTTAATAACTGTAATTTTATTGTTTAATTAAAAAATTGAATGCATTTATTAATCTAATTGAATATATAAACCAATATATATAAAGCTAGAAATTCAAACTTTAAATAAAAAAATTAATTAATTGCAAACATTTTTTTTATATATAATTTAATAAAAACTACTAATTGAAAATAAAGCAATTAATTTTCTCTTTAATGAACCTTTTTAAAACTTATTGACATTGCCATCTATATGCTTTTTGAATTTAAATTTAAAAACCGAATTTGCCAACACATCTAATATATAAACGTTTTATTTAATTATCTTCAATGGAAAATTCAAATCTTAAAATTAAATTATATAGAAAGAAAATTATTTAATTTTTAAATTTTTAAAATTGAATACTAAATTAATTCAAAATATATCTTTCATTGTCTATCAAAACTCATTAATTACTATCATTAAATTCTATATTACTTTCTCTCTTGTTCAATATTAGAAATATTAACTTTAAAATTTTTTCCTTTTCAACTTTAGTTTATTTGTTTTTTGCCAAAAATATAGACAATCCACGTAAGACTATTTTCTTTTTGCCAAAAGTTTTTATTTTTATATATTTATTTGGATTTTTAAGTTTTGTAAAATTATTTTAATTAATTAAGTTTCAAGAAATATTATATTTCTTTTAAATTTTAAATTTATACGTTGTAGTTATGTCAGAAGTTAAAAGTATAAAAAATGCTTTATATATAATTGTATTTCAAATTTTAGAGAATATTTTATTTTTATTTTTTCCAACAACCTATACATTGTGCTTAGAAATGTAAATTTAAAAGAAAATATCTGGATTTTAAAATTAATAGAAAATGTATGATAAAGCACACATAAATACAAAACATTATTTTTTAAAATTTAAAAATTCATTGGATGTTTATTTAATAATGAGTTTGAAATATTTATACATATTTATAAATTTGAAATTCACTTTTTCATATCTTTCAAATTAAATTAATAATCATATTGACTTTTATTAATTTATGCATATCATGTATTTTTATTTTTATAATTTATATAGCAAATAAAATCAAAATTAATTTTCTTAAATTTACTTTTCCTAGCGTAATAATAATATTTTTTATTAAACAATCACTTCTTCTAAAATAAGTTATTTTAATTTTTTACAAATTTTTTGAACAAAAAACATTAAAAAATTAGATTTCTTCATACTATTTAATTTTCAGCTATGACTATAAATAACCAATTCAGAGCTGATACTTTTGAACCAAAGGGTCAAAATATGAAAGATGATCGCAACTTTTTTATACAAATCAAATCCTAATTTGGAAAAGTAAAACAAAAAAAAAATTGCAGATAGGATTTAAACTTTTTAAATGCTATATTTTAAAAATAATTATATAAATAAACTAAATTAAGCATTCAGCTCAAAGTCATAATTTTGATAATAATTCAGAATAGTAATAATAATCTGGAAGCAGTTTTTACGCATAAATGATCTTGTTTGTACTGATATGGCTAAGGTTTCAGTCAAGGCGATGTAGTAGATACTCCACTTCAACTTCCTTTGTTAGGGGAATTACCCAATCTCCATAGAGGCGGGAAACAATAGCTGGATCCAACTTATACTTTCCCTTGTTGCCATCATCACCAAGCTGAACATCCCGCCCAAATGTCACTGCCTTCTTTGCCACCCTCTTCTTTACCGCTTCTTCCACATTCGCAAAGGTCAATAAACCTATCAGAGTATCTCTATCCTGAAATAGCCACAACATTATTCCAAGCAATCTCAACCATATATGGAACTCAAAACGATATTCAAGTCAATAGGATAGTACTAAGTGTACGGTTTCCGTGCATTATTGGGAGCATAATGACTACCAAAAGCCAGAAGGTCTAAACAAGCCGCACAAACATATTCCAGGATGGTCTAGTTTACCATTAGACAATGAAATTAAAGTACCTGAGCACGAATTGCTGGCTCGTAGTCCTTCCTTTCATCTCTGAATTTAACTTCAGCAACGAGTTTTCCATAATGTATTCTTCTAGAGAGGGCCTGGTGGGAATAGCAACATAACATATTTTAGAGTCACTGCTAGAAGAGATCTTCTAACTTCGTCCTAAAAGGGTACACTCAGAGTGGTGTGATGAGGACTTAAAACACTATTCGGAAGGGCACCATAATGCCATTGCACAAAAACAGAAATCCCTTTGTAAGAAGCTTCTAGTTCTAACTTCATATCACACAGATAAGAAGACGTTACAAGAGATTCTTACCTGCAAACACTCGAGATCACGAGCAGCTGTTGATGCATAGTTTCCATCATCACCCGGAGTGACAAACAATGGAAGCAATTTGTTGAAATACATATCCCATATCATCTTATTTATGTTAACAAACATGGCTGCAGGATGTAAAACCTGCGGTTTTGGGGAATTAGTTCAAAATATAATTGAATCTGTTTCCAGTTTTGGGAAAATTGAGAAGAGAGACACACTTACTAACTTGGATTATACCTTAGGATACTTGTGATGTGGCACCAGAGAGGGTGGTAGATTATCTGGGAAGAACGGATGTTCCTCAGGATTCTCATATCTCCCAGCCTGTAACACATTCAAATATAGGTTGCATTCCGCTCAAGGTCAAAGTACATGAACTAATAGAACAAGTCAAGCCAAACAAATCTTGTCAATTGCTACTTCATTGCCATGGTTTCCACCAAATTCACAGTTTTCATTCTTAAATGAGAATAATGTCAACATATTCCAAACATGAAACAACTTTATGTAGATAGCAGGACTAACTAGAACAAACCAACTAAATAGTAAATACCGTAATAAGGTTCAGCAATAGGTTTTATTCCTTGATATTTATCAGGATTCAAATCCTGGATAAATGGTTCAAGTAACTGCTATTTGTTGGTGTGGCAGATCTTGACATTTTATTTTAAAAGAACCAACTAAAATTATTATTATTATTTTTTTGCTATGTTACTCATACTCGAAAGTGAATATCAGATATGCTATGTGTTCAATACAATATGCCTCATTTTCGAAGTTTTGTTTCATATTTAGACTGTCCAACCTTTACATCTACATTTATCGTATATATGCAAAACATAAGTACTTTAAGAAAAATGAAGAATCTAACAATTAACATAATTCATTTGAGATTTTATTAAACTAAAAAAAAAAAATCATAAAGAAGTGCAATCAGGTAAAAAGAATGTCAATACACTTACACTTTTGATACTTGGTTGAAAACTTAATTTTTTTAAAATTTACACGAATATAACTTAATATCTATGATTTTGAAGAATTTGTGAATAATAAATAATGGCATAATAAATAAACAAATAATAACATGATTTTAATCCGTGTTAAATTATAATATAAAATTAAAATAAAGATAAAAAAAAATTAACAAATAATAAATTTAATGTGAGAGACAGTTAAATTTTAATTTAATTTTTATATATAATAATTATAATATATAATATTTAATATTTAATATATATTAAAGAGTTGAAAATACTTGGAGCAATTGCCCTTAAACACCTGCTCAAATAAAGAACCATGCCAAATTTTAAGTCTCAAATGTCTAAATCGATTATTGATAAGCATGCAATTGCCTTTCTTTTAATTGTTGTCTTATGCTAGCTTAATTTATCAAGTGAATCACCGTGGGCACTCTCAGCTCTAAATCTTAAACTTCAAACTTTTTTCTACTAGACGCTTGGACCCTAACCTTCTGATTGAGTCCCTAGTCTTCTATGGTGCTTTTTAACTCCTCATTTGATTGTCAGCAATTGATTTGATGTTTTCCCTCTATTGGGGGCATTTAGGTGGCTATAGACTATGGCTTGAAGGCACCAATGTAAATTCTTTCCATATTTCTAGAAAAAAAAATGCTTTTCCTCTAATGGAGTGAAATGTGTGAAGCCTGAAGAGTATTTACTAGTATTATATTAGTAATAACTTAATAATTTAATAACATTAACAGCAAAAATGACAAGAAGTTGCATATATGCTGTCTAAAAACAAACTTAACAAATCAAATTCTGACGTGTTGGTTCCCTAATTAATAAACAAAACAACCCATTTGTAATTTACTTGCTCACGAAGATTAAAATAGTAAGAAAAAAAAAAGAACAAACATTTTTGAGATAATTGTGAAATGAAGGAAAGAGTTTACCTTGGCTTGAATGGCCTCTGTTTCTTTGACAATGAATTCAACCAAAGAGCCGCAGGATCCGGGAATAGAAGTGTAAGATGGGTCGTATGTTGGAGAATTTAAAGGAAACTTGGCTCTCTCTATAAGACTGAAAACAATGGTGTCTTCTTGCCTGATCAATGAATCTCTTACTAGGTCTAGCGTCAATCCATCGCTAACATTGGACTCTGCTTTTGCCATTTCGTGTTTAAAAACTGATGATGTCAAACAGAAAAGAATTAGCATCATTACCAGAAGCATATCCATGTTTAGTCAAAGACAAAATAAAAAAAATAAAAAGAGAGAGAAACAACAACCCTAGTTGGAGGATTCAAGATTTAGGGAAAATGACAACATTTATGATAAAAAGTAAACGAAAGAGTAATACGTCGACAAAATGATTTTTCTCTTTTTTGCTTCTTAATTTGCCGGAAGAGCGACGACTTTCCTTCTCAAAATTTTGTGGTTCTCACCAATACCAACCAACTATTTCTCCCAAGATCAGGAGTAAATGGAGGCCTTGACAAAAGAACAGGCAAAAAGGTTGGTGTGTAATGCGCAAGGGGACTACTTTCTTTGCGTTCAAACTACTACTTTATCAGCTTTAAACGTACAGTTAAATTAGATAGTGACGGCTCGGGCGTGGCGTGATCGCACGTTATGTTCGTACCCTGTCTTATCTTGTTTGTCCGATTTCTTTTTCGAATCAAACAAGGAAACGGAAAACGTGATGGTTAGTTGGCCTTCTGTTCTATCGTTGCAGGAATACGAATCCGGAGCTCCGGGACAACAGTCTTCATTACGGTTGTCAAAATTCTCAGTTTTCACAATATTCCTCCTTTCAAATGGCCCTCGAGATTTCAAAAGCTCCTAGCATGAAAAGTTATTAAATTAAACTTTAATTACAATATTACAATAAATACGATTTTAATGAGATTTATCTCAATTAAACCCTCAAAAAATTTTGAGATAACATTAATGACTATAGAACAGTTTCTTCTCCACAAGGGGAATTTCCGTTTTTAATCCCGACAATAAAGCGATCGTCGCTTAATGGGCCGCAAACTTCGAACTGGGCTTTGCTTTTTGGTCTAGAAGAGGTTGCGGGCTTGGACAATTTGCTTAGTCTTCGGGTAAATTGTGGAAGATTCTAAATGGAGACGTCCAACTTCCAAGCTAAAATTATTTAACCTCAGAACTACTACTTTGTAAGGATCTTTGGTGTTTGTTTAATGAATGCCTTATTTCACCCCAAAAAAAAAATTGTTGGGACTCTTCGTTTCTGTGACCAAAGTTGAATCTAAGGTAGCCTTAAATTTGAAAAAAAAATTAATAAAACATCAATTCTAAATGAAGCATCTCATAGCTAATATACATGTAATAATAATGATAAAACGAAACCAGTTTTATGCAAGCCATCCATTGACAAACTATATCCCTTCAACCTGTGTATTAGTTTCATTCAAGTTTTCCTACTTCTCATTACACTTGCAAACTAATCAACTAAATATATCAAACAATGCAAATGCTCTAAGCAAAAAAAACAAAGACTACTAATACAAAGGGAAGAACACCAACAACTGCACCGGACACATGATGATTTGAGCTACATACGACTCTCACAAGTACTATAGTAAGTATGAATTTTTCTCACCCTATGGGGTGAGGATGTTGTCCATGCTGGAGATTAAGTCTTGAAGGTTCTTCAACATGCCTCGACATGAGGCGCGCAGTGTCTTTCCACCAAGAAATCTCTCTTTCCTTTTCAAGAAGCTCTTGCCTTGCACTTTCCAAAGCAGCTTCTAATTCTCTTATCTGTTGTTCCTGCCTTGTTTCCACCAATTCACGCAACTTTCTCTCGAGTTCATGTGGAGGAACCCCAGAATGCGAGTCCCAACAGTCTTTTTCTTCACCATCAATTGTAGGGTCAATAACTTCTCCATAGCTTTTACTGTAGCTTCTCACTGAAGTGTTAACAGTACCCTCCTATAGTTGCAAACAATACCATTTAAAATCTCCGGGAAAATTTTCATTTTGTTAGCACTATACTTATAAAAAAACAAAGTTACAAATGACTAAACTTTAGCATATCAAATTCTAACATAAATGTTCTATATAAACTACTAATACTATTACTTATTGTACCTTTACTTTGAAAAGAAACACCCAAATGTTAACTATGAATTCAAATTAGACATGCAAAATTAACAATTCCCAAGTTTTATTTTGTACCTCTATGGTTTCATGAGGTGGGTTTGTAGACAATTTGCCTGAATCCAAATGGTGCTGTAAACGTTCTAACTCAACTTCAAGTTCTGCTTCAAGTCTATCCATTCCCACCAAACAATCGTCTTTATTTGATCTCAGATTGCTGTTAAAACCCAAACCTTCCTCAACCCCATCGTTTGATTCAAGCTTCTTAGCAACTAGTAAATCATTATTTCGGAGTTCCTGTTTAACATTTTGAAGAACACTCTCCATTTGGATTCTCAATTCCGTCATTTTCTGAAGTTCATTTTTACACTCGGCAACCAGTTGGACCAAACAGCACCCTATTCCCACATTGAAATTAGATTCCCTCCTACATCTTTCTGATAAAAAAATAAAGCATTAGAATTTGCAATTTCAAAAAACAAATTATAAACAATAGGAAACAAAAAATTTCACCTGATGGTGACGAATCAGGAGCGTCGGATACATCAGGTGGTGCCGCTTCACCGTCTTCTTTTTTTCTCTCACCGATAATTCTCTGCATCTTGCAACGTTTAAGGCCGGAGAACAAGCGAGCAGCAATCCGACAGAGCGTGGAGCAGTTTAATCCTCTGCAGCCGTCCATCAGAACAAGGCTTTGTTCTTCGTGGTCTTGAAGTAAAAGCACGTCGGCGATGCTCAAAGGGAAGGAATGGGAAGATTTGGATTTACAGAAAGGAGAGAAGAAGAGGTGCTTAAAGACTGCCCGCATCGGGATTGAGATATATTTCTCGGCTGCGGAGCGGATAGATTCAAACAGAGGAGAAATGAGAGAGTGACAGAGAAGAAATTAAATGAGATTATGAGGCAAAGTACAGAGTTAGAGAGGGAGCGTTTTGATTTTCAATTGTGGGGAAATTTTTAATTTTGGGCTTTTTCTTTTTGCTGTGGGTGTATTTAACACTTTCCATAAATGCCGTACCTGCAGTAAATGACTGCCGCTTTATTGGGATTTAGTTTAAATATATTAAATATAAAAAAATAATAATACAATAATATTAAAAATAAAATATTTATATTTATGAAAAAATTATTTATTTTGAGCCTTCTCTTTAGAGTTAATTTTAAAAATATATCTGATGATTAAGACTCAAATAAAAATATTACGTGATTTAAAATGTGATATTTAAATTTTTTTATTAAAATTTTTATTTTTTTATTTTTTTTTAAATTTTTTAAAAATTTTCTTTGTATGAATACATACTTTTCTTTAAAAATTTATGTTCTCTCTTTAAAACAAAACTAATTCTCTCCAAACCCATATCAATCTACAAACAATAACTTAAAATCACTAAAATCTCCATACCACCACTACCATTAAGTCAATTATGATAAATAAACATTGCCTATATTCCCACGTTCGAGTCTCGTCGGCACCTAATAGTGCTTAAAGTCCAAGTCTTCCTTCAAAGATCTTACAACTTGAAATGCTTCTCATCTTATATCATTTGCTTTGTAAGGTTTGTCGATGGCACTATTTGGACAACTAATGCTGCTTTCATCGTTAATATTATTGTCAACGCTCCCTTTATAGATGCTTGTCTTCCTACCCATTTAAACACTTTCACCAAACTTTCGACACTGCTTACACATTCACTAACTTCTTTATTGGTGAAACTTTGTTTGGTTTCAGTATAAAACGTCCCAATGCACATGCCATTTGAAAGATTAAGACAAATGCTTGGTTTAATTTTTTCATATTCTAGTGAACCATTTAAATTAAAGCTCATATGATCATCAATGTGATATTTGATGGAAGATTTGCTTTCCACTATCAAAATATGTTTCTATCTATAAATAAAAATCTCATTCTTTCATACCGATTCAAATTTCCTCTTACTATAATTAATACAATGTTCTACCATAATAGGTAATTCTTCAAGCTACATGTTGTCATAGGTTGTTTTGTATGAATGCTTTTGATAGCTTATAAAACCATTAAAATGCCAAATAATCCCTACGCCATGATTAAGAGTAGTTACTTGAGATGTAGAATAATACCCTTCATTTCTATATTATTTGAGAAATGGAGTTTGAAAAGGCCTAGGAGTTCTAGATGTTGAAGGAGGATCATTGTTGCTTGTAGTAGAATCATGATTTTGACTATTTGATGAAGAAAGTTAAAAGATGAAAATTGGTAGTGATGTGAATTTGTAATGGTGGTGACGGTGGTGTAGAAATTTTAGTGATTTGAAGGTTGTTATTTGTAGATTGATTTGAGTTTAAAGAGATAATTGGCTTGATTTTAGATATAGAAAATGAATGTTTAGAGAGAGAATATGAATTTAGATAAAAAAATAAATAAAAAAGTAACGATGATGTAGAGATTTTAGTGATTTGAAGGTTGTTATTTGTAGATTGATTTGAGTTTAAAGAGATAATTGGCTTGATTTTAGATATAGAAAATGAATGTTTAGAGAGAGAATATGAATTTAGATAAAAAAATAAATAAAAAAGTAACGATTTTAGGTTAAAAAAATAATAAAACAAATTATAAGGTAATTAAGTATTATTAAAGGAGGATTATTGTTGCTTGTAGTATAACTGTGATTTTGACTTTTTGATGAAGAAAGTTAAAAGATGAAGATTGGTAGTGATGTGAATTTGTAATGGTGGTGGTGGTGGTGGTGGTGTGAGATTTTGGTGATTTGAAGGTTGTTAGTTATAGATTGATTTGGATTTAAAGAGATAATTGGCTTGGTTTTAGAGAAAGAAAATGAATGTTTAGAGAGAGAGTATAAATTTAAATGAAAAATAAATAAAAAACAAAAAAAGTAACGATTTTAGGTTAAAAAATAATAAAATAAATTATTAGATGTTAAGTGTTATGATATATTTATGAAATTTTATCATTTTCTTTTTGCTGTGGTGTATTTAACACTTTCTACAAAATGCCATACTAACATTCCAATTTTGCATTTGCGGCAAATGATAGTAGTTTTAATGGGATTTAGTTTAAGTATATTAAATTATAAAAAATAACAATATAATAATATTAAATATTAAAATTTTTAGATTCAATTATAATTATTAAAAATTTTACAAGTATTTTTTACGGAATTTTATATTTTAAAAACGTTATACAATAATTTTGTTATGAATGCTTTTGAATATATTTTTTTCAAAATACAAAATTAAATTATTCTTTTTTATTCGATTATGTAAACTAATATTCAAAATATTTATTATTAAAAATACTCTCTTAATAATCAATAATAATCTTAACAATAAATAAATTAAATCGATAAAAATTTTTATACTTCATTTAAAATGCACATAATTTCAAAAAAAAATTTTATCTCGTAAGGACTAAGGATTTGAGTCCCCACTAAGCCTCATAAGCCTCTAGCCTCGGTAATTAGGCAGCTTTGACTGGGCTGCAATTCTTTGGGGTTTGATTTTTCTTAGATCCGAGTCATATTTAAGTTTCAATTAGCATAATTTTTTAGTCATGGTCAAGTTTGGATTTGGATTTTTTTTTATGCATGTTGGAATCATTATTTATTTATTTATTTTTAATGTTCGAGTTTGATTTTTTTTTTATCAAATTGGATTCAAATTCATTGTCACCTATAATTAATTTTAGGAGTATTTTTGTCTTTTCTTGATAATAATAAAGCATTTTAAAGAAATGTTTTTTTTTTAATGCTATGAATAAATGATAATGTAAATGGTAGGAAGAACATAGGAGCAGGCATGGGGTAGTGGCACTAGAAAGAATAAATTAGTAGTATATAGAATAAGAAAATCCAAAAAAAAAAAGGAGGAAAATGTGACCCAGCAGTTGGTCCTTATTTTATTTGATGGTATATGTTTTTATTTGTTTAGAAGTATAATAGAAAGGGGCATCTGACATGTTTTTGCCTTTTTGTTGGTGTTATTAGTTTCATGTCTCAATTTTTTGTTTCTTTGAGGCATGATTAATTATTGTCATAGTTAAAGTATTTGATAATCTTCTAATATTACTGATGAAGTTTCCAAAATGTTCACATACTATGCATGAGATATTTTTCTTTTAAAATTGTGTGTTGTAACGAAATTAAATACAAAAAATACTCTTTCCAAGTTTGATATTACTATAAAAAATTTTATAATAATTTATCACTTATAAATATAAACTTTATATAAAATATTAATAAACTTATATAATTAATTAATTAAGTATACTATAATTATTATAAGCAATGTCATCCCAATTACGCAAGAGAAAGAAAAATGGCATGAACAAAGCTTGTAAAGAAGACTAGAGATTGTGGTTCCGGGTGGAAGGCTGATGCGTGAACAATGCTCAAAAGTAGTTTGTAAATTTGTAAGAGAAGAGAATGCTTCAAATTCAAACCTGAATGCACGTGCAGTTTTCTTGCAATGCAATGGCGAAATAATTGGTCTGTTGTTTGTGGGCAGTGGCTTTTAGTATAATTGTAATTCTGGGATTATCAATTTTGAAACTTTACTTCTTTCAAGAATTGTGTAATCATAAACCGTATGGAACTTGCTCTTTTTAAAAGCCCCCTTGTTTTGATTTTGACAACAACATAGTTTCCTTTCAAAAAAAGTTTATGTCTGGCCGCTTATATCGCTACTATTTGGTGATTTGTGAGGTTTGAACTATAACAGAGTTTTTGTTTGATTAATTTTTATAAATGAAATTTTACAGTCTATTTTTATATTTATCTGTAAAAAAAAATTGATTAAGAGAAAAATAAACTTTTTTTTTTTAATTTATCAAAAGAAAAAGATAATTTTTAGAAAAAACTATCTTAAGTAAGTTTATTTGTCAAGTCCACAAGTTTGGTTAGACTTGAGCTAAATTTAGAACATACTTTTATAATTCTAAATTTAAATTAATTTGACTCAAAATATTTTTTGTTATTTAATATTGAGATTGTGACAAAAGTAACTTTTAATATAAAAATCATTTTAATTTTAATATTAAATTAATTTATTTTTTGAAATTGTAACTTTCAAATACAAGTTATTTGTATTAGTATTAAGTGGATGGAGAATTTTTCTAATATATTAAAATTATGAAAATAATTATGAATATTGAATTCTACTTCTTAAAAAAATTATTGACTATTGAATTCAATACAAATGTATTATTATAAATAATAAGTTTAATTTCATGAATGATCACATATTAAGTATGGTAATTGAATTTTAAAATTTTTAATGTTATGTTTAAATAATAAATATGTTAATTAATATAATACTTAACTTTAATAAAATTAATTTTAAATGATGATACATGATAAATAAATAAATTTTTAGATATCATATTAATTAATAAATTTATAATTTAGATATTATATTAAAAATTTTAAAATTTTAAATATCAAAATAAATATGTTATTTTAATTTAAAATTTATTTATGACATTAACCTTAAATGATATTCGTTTGCAAAATTCCATTAGAGGACAAAAAATGAAGCAATAAAGCAGGCACCTTTCTTTGGGCTGTGATTCCAAAAAAAAAAAAAGGTAAAGGATGGGTCCGACCGAACCTTAATTTAATAAGTCTGGTCTGGTGGAACCAATAAAGTGGTGTCGGGCCCCTTTTTCCCACGCGTTGCGCCTAGCCGCCTTCTTCCTTGTCTGTTGTCATAAAATACTATGAAAATTCGAAAAGCGAAGTTTTCCCTCTTTTCTCAATAATTGTAATGGATGGTTTACATTTTTTTTAACATTAAACAAAGTCTTTCCTTTTTTTTTCTTTTTGAAAGGAGCGTGAATCACTCAAACTTGAAGTGGATATAGATTAAAATTTAAATCTCAAATGCTTACATGAAAAAAATTTTGTTAATAGGTGTGTGAATTTGAGAATAATCATTTAAAATTAACATTTTTTTCACATAATCACCTAGTTAAAAAAATTTAACAAATCTTTTTACAACATAGTTTCATAACATAAATGATTTAAAATATATTATAAAAATTTTTATTTCACATAAATTTCATAAAAAATATCTAACATATGTCAAAATTTAGATATTTATAATTCTTTATCATATATTTTTATTTTGATTTATCTTGATATTTATATTATTATCTATTAAAAGAATTCCTTAAATCTTATACACATAATATTTACTATTTTTTTGAGTTTAATGAGCTTTAGCTGTGAGGAAATATGAGTAACCCTTTTATACGTTACAGCTATTATTTTTTTAGGGTTTAATAGGCTTTAGGATACAAGGAAATGCAATTTTATTTTATGGGTTGGATTTTATTTGAGAGAGTTTATTATTGTATAGATTTTATTTACATAACAATTATTTATTTTTTTGGGATTAATGGGTTTTTGGGTGTGAAGAAATGGAAATTATTTTTTGAGTTAGATTTTATTTAAGATATTTTATTTTTGTATATGATTTTGTTTTATTTGATATATATAACAAAATTATAATATTAACTTTTAATCTCTCTCTAAATTGTGATATTTTTTATATGTATAATTTTGAATCTTTTTATTTATACATAACTATAAATATAATGTATTTAAATATTTTTAATTTTATTTTTATAATACATTTAAAAAAAATGATTGACCCCAACCAACCCGAGGGGAGCTGGGTTACAACATTGGTATAATTGATGAATGTTTGTTCAGGTTTTTCGGTAACATAAAATTTTTTTTCTTTATTTTATAGATAAAAAAAATTATCATTTATTCAAAAAATATGATTTAATTAACTTTGGTGATAAAGTTGAAGATGGCGACGGTTGTTAGTCGAAAACGTAACACTGAACTTTTTTTTTTTTATGATTAACTAATTTGTCACTCATTGATTGGTGTGAGATTTAGTGGGGCATTTTTATTTTTCTTTTATTCCCCATCAAGGGCCCTTATTTCATGTCATCTTTTTGTTAGTTTTTTGTAGCGGCTGTTGATTTAACAGCCTAACCCATGTTTGATTTGATTTTGAGCCGGATTAGGCCCACTAAACTACTCGCTTTTTTTTTTTTTGCCTTTCTTAAGGTGGATGCCAATAAAATTTACTCAAAAGAGACAACCACTTTTAAGTCGTTAAGTGTGCATGAATTTTGGCCAAACAAAAAAAAAAAAGGTGTGCATGAATAACGTCTTTAGGGATTAGGCCATCAAACTTACTTGTTAATTGCACGATTAAATGATTTTTTTAAGTCCATTATTTTTTGGATTAATTCATGTATTATTAGAGTTGATATTTAAAAATTTTAAAAAATTTATGTATGTAATATTTTTTTAATTAAATAAATAATAAGATAAGAATGTTTAAAAGTAAATTAAGAATTTAAAAAAATAATGTTTTTTAAATAATTTTATCAACATTTTTATTATAAATGATATTAAATATAAATGTAATGATTAATGTTATTTGTAATTTTTAAATTATAAATAAATATTTAATGTGATATTTAAATTTAAATAAAATTAAAAAAATAATTTTTTAATTCATATTAATTAATAAATTTATAATTTAAATATTATATTAAAAATGTTTAAAATTTAGATATAAAATTGATGACATTAATCGAAATATAAATTATAGATTATAAATAATAGACATAGATATGTAAATATAAATGAATATAAATTGTAGATATTGAGTCATTTGTATTTTTGAAGGAAAATAAAAAAAAAAACGAAAGAAAAGGAGAATAATGAAAAAAATAAATGAACAGGGACCAATCACTATCGTCATCCATTAACAGAATAAAGAAAGAAAGAAAGAAAAAAAAAAAAACAGAGCACAGAGACAAAGCTGAGATTTTTGGTTGGATCCTCTTCTCTTATTTTATTCCTTTTGATTCATGGTAACAAACCTCTCCCAACCCAAATCTCTGTCCATACAAAACCTTGTTAGAATTGAATATTGTCTCCTCTCCTTTCCTCTTCTTTCCTTTCCTTTCCTTTCTTTCCCTTTCTCTCTCTAAAACCTAACTCTTATCTCTTAACGTCCCTTGATTGAAAGCTAAGTTTCTCTGACACTTCCCTCAAAGCTTGTTGCTTCCAAACCCAGCAATATTCCCTTCCCGTTCCTCTGCCAAGTGCCAATGCAATCATTTGCACCATTTTTCTTCTTCTATCTATATATTACCTCACTTCTATCTATATATTACCTCAATGTGGGTAACTTTTTCTTCTAGGCTGATTTGATTTTTGCCGGATCTTGGAACAACAATGGCGTTGTTTAGAAAGTTCTTTTATCGAAAGCCGCCTGATGGGCTCTTGGAGATCTCTGAAAGGGTTTACGGTACGCTTTTGTTTTCTTCTTTTCTAATTCAAATTCAATTTGCTTCTGTGAATTTTAGATAAAAATGGAAGTGAGTAAAATGAGAGTAATGCTAATGCCGACTTGGGAAAAGTTCTTTTGGCATGTTTGAATTGCAGACCTGTACGTTCAATGGTATAGAACTCCAGTTCATCAATACTAGAGAGAGAACTTCTTTTTGTTGGGAGAAAACTAAGATTAAATGATTTTTTTCATTAAAAAAATTGATTGGATGCATAGTATAAGTTGCTGGGAATATTATGATAAACACTTTTACAAGTTCAATGGGGCCTGTAAAACTTTGAAGTAGTGTTTCTTTAATGGACTATCTTCATAAAAAAATCAATTAACAATGTAGTGTAAACTCTGCTGCGTGCCATAGTTGCAAGAATTCATCCTTTAAGCCATAAGCTGATGTTTTAGGTTAGGCATCATTTTATTAGTAGTTTAGATGCTGTTATATATGGTTCTAGTGTTAATAAGGTGTTTTTATAATTTATTCCTCTTTGTCATCTGTAAGGGTTTTGAAAGGTTTACATAATCTGGTCAAGGAGATTTTGATTTCCCTGTAAGAGTGGTTTTTACTTACTGTTGTATGACAAATGGGTGCAAAAACAACTTAATCTATGCCATGTGGCAGTATATGTGAAACTGTGGTTGGCTTTTCAGTCACTGGAAAGTATTTTTGTATTACCTATTTAATAACCATTGTTCTGTTGTGTACGTTTGTAGTTTTTGATTGCTGCTTTTCTACGGACGTTTGGGAAGACAAGGAATATAAAATCTACATTGGAGGCATAGTGGGTCAACTCCGTGATCATCTTCCTGATGCTTCATTCATGGTGTTTAACTTCCGAGAAGGAGAGTACCAAAGCCAGATTGCTAGCATATTGTCTGAGTATGATATGACTGTAATGGACTATCCTCGTCAATATGAAGGTTGCCCATTACTCAACTTGGAGGTGATCCATCATTTCTTGAGATCAAGTGAAAGCTGGTTATTGCTTGGGCAACAAAATGTGATCTTAATGCATAGTGAACTAGGTGGGTGGCCAGTTGTGGCATTTATGCTTGCTGCTCTCCTAATATATAGGAAGCAGTTCACTGGCGAGCAGAAAACATTAGAAATGATCTATAAGCAAGCACCTCGTGAGCTTTTGCATTTAATGTCTCCCTTGAATCCACTACCCTCTCAACTAAGGTATCTTCAATATGTCTCTAGGAGAAATGCAGGTTCAGAATGGCCTCCATCAGATAGGGCACTCACATTAGACTGTATTATTCTAAGATTTATTCCTAATATGGATGGTGAAGGGGGCTGCCGTCCAGTATTTAGGATATATGGACAGGATCCTCTTATGGCTGCTGACAGGACCCCCAAAGTTCTATTCTCTACACCGAAGAAGACTAAACTTGTTCGCTATTACAAGCAGGTGAGTCTGATTCTCTTTTAATCTGTGAAATAACTTTTATACTTCATCCTTTATTTTAGTTTTATTCTTTTGAATGGAAGCTACTTCTCCCTCATCACTATTCACAATGTGACTTCGTTTGCTTCCTACTTTGGAAATGAAGTTACTCTTCTCCACATCATAATTATTTATTTATATTTTTAAATTCTTCATTTATTCTTGCAGGTGGATTGCGAATTAGTTAAAATCGACATCCATTGCCATGTTCTGGGTGATGTCGTGCTCGAATGTATTAGTTTGCATAGTGATCAGGAGCGGGAATCAATGATGTTCAGGGTCATGTTCAATACGGCATTTATAAGATCAAATATTTTGATGCTTAACCGTGAAGAAATTGACATCTTATGGAATGCCATGGACCAATTTCCAAAGGACTTTAGAGTAGAGGTATATAACTATATATTTTCTTCCTCCGTACTTGGGTTTTTTTCTTGTGCTCTTTGTTCTGTTTTTGGATGGTTATTATTTTGTCTGGGTGAAGGTTATTTTCTCAGATATGGATGTTGCAACTTCAGTTATTTCAATTGATTTACCTGGTATTGAGGAGAAAGATGGCCTTCCCATGGAAGCTTTTGCTAAAGTTCAAGAGATTTTCAGCAATGTTGATTGGCTATCTCCAAAGACAGATGTAGCAAATATGCTGCTTCAGCCTATCTCAGTATCAAATATACTACAAGAAAATTTGGAGACAGGTTCTCCCAAGGGTATGGAAAGAGCCAGTGTCTTGCATGATGATAAAGTCAAGGAGAAATCAAAATTACAGGTATCAGAACACATGCTTGCAAGTCCAACATTTGCTTCTTTGGAGAAACAATCTACATTCTCTTTTAAACCATCGGACCACAAGCCTGCACGGCCTAAACCCTCTTCTGTATCATCTTCAGATACAAGCCCAATTGAGGGGAAAACTGAATTGCAAGAACTTCAAGTTGCTCCACAAGAAGCAGAACATTCTAAGACCTCTATTAAACTATCCCCAGAAGCAAATTCAATTAGAAGAAAAGTTGAAATTCCAGAACTTCAAGTTGCTCTACAACAGCCTGCGCAATCTACATCATCTTTCAAACCAACCCTAACTGTAAATTCAACCAGAAAGAAAATTGAACCCCAAGAACTTCAGGTTGCTCTTCAACGGCCTGCACAACCTAAGATCATATCCCAGCGAGTGCCTTATTCTTCAATCTCTGCACCAGTTTCATATTGCAATTCCTTGGAAGGCTCATCTTTGCCAATATCAAGATACCATAGTGCACCTTCAGCTCTTGGCATTACAGCTCTATTGCATGATCATGCTGTATCTAAAAGTGAAGAATGCCTTCATCCTTTGACATTACCTTTATCTTCCTCCGCTATTTCATCTCCTTCTTTGTCAAATGCACCTAAACCTTTGCAGCTTACTCTTGCGATTACTTCACCAAATCCTCCTTCACCTGGTACACAATCTACCAGTGAAGCTCCCCTAATAACAAAAGCTTCTCCCATTCTTTCACCTAAAGAGACCTTAAAAGCAACACATACCAAACATCCAGGAACCACATCACTTGGTATAGTTCAGTCATCGTTTGTTCCTCCCCCTCCTCTGTTGCCTTCTCTTTCAGGAGCATCCTCTGTCATGGAAATTAATTCAAGCTCATCTTCTGCTTCTCAAGGCCCATCTTTTCCCGATATATTTCCTTCTCCTGCAGTGAAGAACTCATTCCACTCTCCCCCACCCCCGCCCCCTCATCTACCTTCCTTTTCAGGGGCACCTCCATCTCCCTTGGTTAAGAACTCACCCCAATCTACCCCTCCCCCTCCTCCTTTTTCTGGCAAATCTCCTCCTATGGTCAAGAACTCACTACAATCTTGCCCTCCCCCTCCCCCTCCCCTGCCTTCCTCTTCAAGTCCATCTCTAGCTCCCACTGTCAAGAACTTGTCTCAGTCTTCCCCTCCCCCACCACCACTCCCTCAATTCTCAGGAATATTTCCATCTTCTACTGTAAAGAATTCATTTTCAGCTCCCCCTTCCCCTCCTCCTCCACCACTCCCTACTGCTGCTTCCTCAGCCACCTGCTCAATTTCTTCATCACCACAGCTTTGGACGTCTGGACCTCCTCCACCGCCACCACCTCCCCTACATTCTGGATCTGTCTCAGATCCTATTAGTAAATCCTCAGTGCCACAGCCACCCCCTCCAACTAATCTTGCTCCAAAGGGTCTATCAAATAACTCTGCACATGTGCCACCTGTGCCACCTCCTCCAGCACCTTGTGCCAAAGGATTATCTAAAGCAGGTGATACCTCTCCACAGTCACACTCGGTAAGCAATGGCAATATACCTTCAATTCCAGGACCACCTTCTGGTGCTCCTTTGAGTTTGAAGGGACGGGGCATATCACGTACTGGTCCTAAAAATCAGGCTCAATCCAGAAAAACCAACTTGAAGCCATATCATTGGTTGAAGTTGACAAGGGCCACACAAGGAAGCTTATGGGCTGAGGCACAAAAACCTGAGGAAGCTTCCAAGTACACATTTGTCACAGAAATATTTTAGTTCATATAATTCTATAGAGATGTACTATGGTTCAGTTTTTTTTTTTTTAATCCGTGCTAGGGCTCCAGAATTTGACATGTCAGAACTTGAGAATCTTTTCTCTGCAGCTGCACCAAATTCAGATAATAGTAGCAGGGATGGGAAATCAAATCGTCGTGCCTCAGGCCGTAAACCTGAGAAAGTCCAGCTGGTAATTAGCATGTTAATTTTTTTGGACACGTTGAATCCCAAATTAGTTTTCTTGATTGCCTCACCCAGGTTGTAAATTCTGTTTTTGTACCAAACTGGAGCTGAAAGGATTTTTCTTTTTGTTTCTTTAAACCTGTCTGCCGTTTCATACTTGGTTCTAGATGGTGATTTTCCATAACGTTATTTTTCCTGGTTGGCACTCTTCTTTATCTTCTTGATAATCTCTTATTCATCTTGGAGCATCTAATCCGAGTTTGCTATCTCACCAAAAATTCATTGATATCGCAGATTGAGCTTAGGCGGGCATATAATTGTGAAATCATGCTCACTAAAGTTAAAATTCCTTTGCCTGATTTGATGGTAAGATAAACCATAAGGCATTTCTCTTAAAATAAATGCTACTTAATCGTAGTTGAGATTTTCAGTTATAGGTCAATGTACAAGAGACAGGTATCATGGTTTTTCACTGTTAATAAATGACAAGATTTAATTCATAGATGTGTATATGTGTTAGGCTTAGATCTTTTTCTTTCTCTTTTTCTATTACTTTTTTTCCTCGCCACTTGGCTACCAAAATTATACTTAATATTACATTCCACATGTTAGTTTACAAATTGTTGCCCCTGAAATAGTCTTAAATTGGTCTTTTACATTTCTGCTTCTCTGCCACTACCTTGCAGAGTTCGGTCCTTGCCTTAGATGATACAGCATTAGATGCTGATCAGCTTGAGAACCTAATAAAGTTTTGTCCTACAAAAGAAGAGATGGAATTGCTCAAGGTATTGATAGTATGTGCTTATCTTTTCCCTCTCTGTGCTCTTAAGGTAACAGTTTTCAGATTTTAAGATTTTTAGATGTTCAAGACTATCTGTGTGGATGACACCATTTGGTACATTATGCAATAATCATGGTTTAAGTGCTGATCATATTTCTATTTTCAGGTTTACAATGGAGATAAGGAAAACTTGGGAAAATGTGAACAGGTCAGTGGAGTATCTTTGTATACACTTTTCTTGAACAATTTAGTTTGCATTATATCCGATTACCTGCCTAGTATTTGGTGACAGTTTTTCCTAGAATTGATAAAAGTGCCACGGGTAGAGTCAAAGCTAAGAGTTTTCTTATTCAAGATACAATTCTGTTCCCAGGTATGAGGAGAACCTGTGTAATAAGATTGGTATGAGATACTTCTTTCTGTTATTGTTGTTGTTGCCTAATTGGTACTTTTTGCACCTTTCCAGGTTCTTGACCTTAGAAATAGCTTGAATACTGTAAACTCTGCTGCTGAAGAGGCAAGTTAACTTTTCTTTTTATACAAGTTAGCTTTTTCATTTAAAGCTGTTCTTTTCCTGAACAATTTAGTCATTTGTACCATTTCAACAATGCATTCATCAGGTGAGGAATTCGGTCAAATTGAAAAGGATCATGCAAACTATTCTTTCTCTGGGAAATGCATTGAACCATGGAACTGCAAGGGGTGAGTGATTTCATTGATGAGGTAGATTTTATTAATAGATGAAGAACATCTTATTGCAGTCATCTTTTTGTGCTCCATTCTGGTGAAGATAGATTTGTCAATGGAAACCAAGGCCAATCTCCTCGCTGCTGATTGCCTTCTATTAATTTGCTTGAATGATTTGTCCATGTCACCATTTCCTTATTGTTGATTGAGACTCTAAATGTTTAAAACAATCCTATAGTTAATTACAGGCAGCTATGCATTGAGTGTGTCCACTAATCCTGTGATTTTTCCCAAATGCTAAGAATAGAAATCTGGTACCTAAATGAGTTTCTGGTCACTTTTATTCTATTAATCATCTCTGCAATTGCTATTGTTATTTCTGTACATTCTTGTCCCCAGATGGCAGTTCTTTAGAATCTTTTGAAGAAGCATCAACTTACTCCAAGCATTTCAGTAATTTATGGTTTTCCTCCCACAGGTTCTGCTATTGGTTTTCGGTTGGATAGTCTCCTTAAACTCACTGACACACGAGCTCGGAATAACAAGATGACTCTCATGCATTATCTGTGTAAGGTAGAAGATCATCTACCTTTCTTACTTTCCCTGATACTGATTTTTGCTGTTAAATTTGCCTGAATAACTTGAATAATTTTGCACTTGTACAATTATGTTTCAAAATGGAATGCTTCTCTGTTTGTTTATAAGACCATAGTAAAATGCATGATGTGTGCAGACATTTATTGCATCATTGTTTAATTTGGTTGAAGACTAACTTTAAAATGTGAAGGTCGCTAAGATCATGAAGAATTCTTGCAGAAAAATGCATGGCATGTTTTTGTTTTACATTTGTAATGATGGGATTTGACTATGCAAATATAAAAATATCGATCAGGATTGCATGTTAGTCTGCAATATCTTTTCCTGCTGAGCAAGCTTATCATCTCTTTACAAGTGGTTCTACAAGTAAAAAGCTTTGTGCTTCTTTGGAGTGTGTATGTGTTTCGATTAAAAGATGGATTCAAAGTTGTTGATCTTTGCTGAAGTTCATTATCCTTCATTTTGAATGCATGTTTCAAATTTACGAGAGAGAAATTATATTATATTCATTTCTTTTTCCCAAAAATAAAGAATATGGGTGAAGAAACTGTTTAGTTTAGCTGCTTATATTGCTTTTATTACCATTGCAAACCATAACTTATTATATATGAAAATATTAATTTATACTTGCTGCGAATGGCCTATGATGTTTAGGTCCTGGTCAGTAAGTTGCCAGAATTACTAGATTTTCCAAAAGACCTTGTGACTTTGGAAGCTTCAACAAAGGTAAATTTATTATGGCCTTTTGAGGTCATACTTAATTTGCTTAGCCTTTGGCATATACTGCTAAGCAAAATTATTGGTTACCATGCAGATACAATTGAAATGTTTGGCAGAGGAAATGCAAGCCATTAGTAAAGGGTTGGAGAAAGTTGTACAAGAACTGACTGCCTCAGAAAATGACGGTCCTGTGTCTGAAACTTTTTGCAGGGTAATTCCTATATATCAACTAGTTATTTTGCACGTCAATGAGGATTCTGCACATTCATGCGTTGCTTGGATTTTCTGCTAGTAATGAATGCATTGTCTTTTAGGGGACACCATAAGCTTGGCTTTTCCTATTCTGTCCCCCCATTCCCTTTGCTAAAATAACCATGCTGGATAAATTTTAAAGAGGAAGAAGATGGTGCATTAAAGTTTTCAATCAAGCTCTTCAGTAATTAGTACTTTAGTAGGTCATATTTGGTCTTTGCACAAGCTAAATATTAGGATGTTCAAGTCAATCTTGGTTTAAAGAAACTTGCATAGAGCTGTTGAGGTTGGAGGTTTGGTCAAAAGTGCCTGAACTTTATTTTCATCCAATCATCTTTACCACTCAGCATTGGGTTTCTTGATATGACAACCTATTAATGATGGGCCAATATGAACCACTGTGAACAGTCTTCCAAATTATTTTAGTAAATATTCATTGATCATGATACCTAATGCCCTAAAGGCAAAACTTCTTCGGCCTTCAAAATGTTCAGGTGCAAATCAAGCGTACCATGAGGCTCCGAGCTAATCTATATCTCTTGTCTTAGGAATCATATTTTGTTTGGATCAATAGTTACTAACAACTAATGCTTTTATTCATTTAAATATTCAGACTTTAAAGGAGTTCCTTAGTTTTGCTGAAGGTGAAGTCAGGTCTTTGGCTTCGCTTTATTCTAGTGTGGTATGTATCATTTTGAAGAGTTACTTTTCTAACATCTTTAATGTGCTTGCAACATAACAAACTCATTAGCATTTCTAAATTTGATGTCTTCAGGGTAGAAATGCAGATGCCTTGGCTCTCTATTTTGGAGAAGATCCAGCACGTTGCCCATTTGAGCAAGGTTGCTGTTAGTCTAGACAAGTTTGTTTAATGCTTACTGAAAACCCTGCAACAGTTTAGGAATTTATCGAAAGAACTGTTTCATTTACATTTTGCTACTAATCTTTTTGATAAAATGAAATGGGGGCAAGACGAAGGGGAGGGTTTTTGAAGCCTGGGAGAATGGAAATTTAATGGTCTAATTAATCGGAAGTAATGTGTGCCTTGTTCATTTTCTTTTATTGTAGAAATATTTCTGCTGATCCTCAATAGCAATAGTTTGAGTGATGCTGTCCTGTATGGTGACAGTGACCCTCTCTTGATCTAGTAATTGATGGTCACTTTTGCATCAGAATGGAATTGAGGATGCAATTGTCACTTCGGTGGACACCTATAGTAAAGTTGATCTGATTTAGATATTATAGCTAGCATTTATGCTGACATGTTAGTTCTAAGTAATTTGATGATAGATACCCTGACTTTGAATGCTTTGGACTACTATTAGCCAACATGCACCCATGTGATTCTTAGCTGCAGAGCTGTTTTACGTTTTTAGTGTTGTTCATCTACTTTATTTTATTAACTGCCACGTTTCCTGTAGTTGTGTCTACTTTGCTCAACTTTGTGAGGATGTTTGTTCGAGCACACGAGGAAAACTGCAAGCAGCTTGAATTGGAAAAGAAGAAAGCACAGAAGGAGGCAGAAAATGAGAAGCTGAAAGTTAGTACTCTCACAAAGGAGTCTGATCACATGATACAGAGTCCAAACAAAAGTGCCAATATTCAGTAATTGACGCGTATAACCTCCATATTTCTGTCCATTACCATGACATTCTGATTCTCCCATATGAAATAAGTACAGTTTTGCTGCATGGTGGGAAAACCCTTGGAGGCTCAGAGCATGAATTATAGCTGGCAACATTTTTATCATTGTCATCATGTCATGGAGAAGAATGTATCATATCTAAGTCGGCAGCAAGAATAAGGGGTTATAAATTAAAACGCAGGTGGGCCATAGCGGGCCCAAATACCAATCTAAAATAGTAGGCTATTCTAATTTCTAACTGCATTGAAGGTTTGGACATTGCTGTTACTGGATTCTATGCCTGCCAATTCAGTGTTTAATGTGCTTTCCGGTTTTGAAACAGAGCTGATGGATGGAATTCATATTAGATCCTCTCAAGCCACTTGTACGATACCTCTAAAAAATTTTGTTGTAAAAATGTAGGAGTACATGATAGTTTTATTCTCTTATTAATATATATATATATATATCTTTTTTTCTTCTGTAAATTTTTAGTTATAGGGATCTAAATGTCAAACGATATCTATATCAAGATGATTAGACAGTTTCCTCATCCTGTATTGTACTGCACTTGGTTCGTTCTTCTCTGTTTCCCTCTGTGAGGATCTCGTGTCCATTGCATACGTGTATATATATATATTGCCAAATGTAATCGATTTAAGATATTACGGTCTTTGAGTAATTCGGCTAATGCCTGGTGCCTCCAGTTCAACCATAGACAATCTCAAGTCTCTTGTATGAAACATAGGTCGCAAGTGCTACTCTAGAGCTACCAACGTATGAAAAGTTAATCTTTGCTGGCTTACTTTTTTAGCTGTTATGGCAATGATAACTTGGTAAGTTATCCTCTTGACTATTCTAAATTGCTCGAAGGGTGTTTGGTATGGGATAATTTATTTAAAAATTATGGTGATTTGTAATTAATAGATTTAAATTTTTAGAAGATGGTGATTTTAAATTACCGAGGTGATAAGATTATTATTTTAGGGAGTGATTTGATTTTCAATTTAAAAGAATAAAAAAAATTATTATCTTAAAAAAATAACTTTTAATATTATTTTTTGATTAATTTATTCTCACGAAAAATATAGTTAACATTATTCAAAAAAGTTGGTTATTAAAAATTTTAAAAAATTAATTTTTTAATCACTTATTTTAAAAATATTTTATGTTATAAATTTGTATTAATTAGAAAAACTATAATAAATTTATTTAATAATTTTTTTAAAAAATATTTTTATGAAAATTGATTTATATTTTATAGTTTTTATAAAATAATGTTTAATTATTTTAATGTTTATTTTTTATAAGATTATTTTGGATATATTGTATTATATGATTTATTTATTTTTTATATAATACAAAACACAATGATTTAAAAATAACAGTTATTTATAATATTGTATCAAACTAATTTGTTACCTGTGCAATATACAGATTATTTTATTTTATTAATTTATTTTTAATTATTATTTAATCAATTATTTTTCAATTGTAATTGAAACTATTTTTTTTTTCCTTTTTTTAGTAGATTTAGTTTGTGATGTGGTAAGTTAAAAACTACTTGTCATTTAATCTAGTTATTTGTTATCTATTTAATAAGGTAATCATAAATAATTTATGTGTGTAAAAAAATTTATCTTCACGATGACACATAAGATCATTTCTAATTTTATGTTATTTATCAAATAAATATATTTAAAAAATTATTAGTTATTCAAAATTTTTAAATTTAAAAGAAAGACAAAATCATATATATCTAATTATTTATGCTTGAAATTAATTTATAGTTAAAATACAATGGAAAAAATCCTATAAATTATGGTTAATTATAAGGTTTTTTTAAAAAATAACAATTTTTTTTTTTTTAATTTCCATTGTTTTTTTCTTATCAAATAATCTCATACACTTTAAGTATGATAATATTATTTATCATATGAAAAGTATATAATTTTATATCAATTAAATCTTAGAAAGTTAGTTAAATAAATTTAATTTAATTAAAATAATTAAAAAATTAAGAAAATATGCATTTTTAAATTCATATTCATGTTTGATTAATGAATGTTTTTCAAAATTTAAGCAAAGAAAAAAAATACAAATGGACTATAATTGAATATAAAATTTTAACTTTATTAGGAAGTAAATCTGTTTGTTAGTTAGATTATAGGTCAAATTTATGATTTTATACATAAGTTTTTAATTATAGATTAAAATATTATTATAATAAAAATTATTTAATTTTAAATTTAAAAAATATTTAATATTATAAAATTCTAATATTTTAATAATAAATATAAATTGAATAGGTAATTTGAGTTAGACTTGAAACATAACTAAAATTTAGAAATGTTTATAACTGGATGCTACCAATTCATAAACATTTCTTAATTTTTTAAAATTCATATTTTTTAAAAATTATGTTTAAGAAAATATCAAGTACTTATTAAATGAGATTTGATTTGAAAAATAAAAAAGAATGAAATCAAATTGGATTTCAATTTATCCTAACATTTTTATAAATAAAAAAAAGTGTTATGACTTTGAAGAGGAAGAATTATAGCATATTACAAATTTTTATACAAAATCTTAATTGATGCGCTAATTATATTACATATATAAAATATGATTTCAAAAGTCAATTAGTTATTATTATTTGTAACAATATTTTGATATAAGTAGTAGGTTCGAATCAATATAATCAAACAGACTATTAATGAAAGTGTTTTTATATATTGTAAGAAAGTTGAATTAAGAGAAAAAAATTACCTAATTGAGTGAAGAGTTTAATATAAAAAAAAGTTTATAGATAGTACTTAGAAAATAAAATTAAATATTTACTATAACTTTGCATTTTGTAATATACAAAAAAAATAAAGTTAATCGAAAGTAAAAAATTACCTAATTAAGTAAAGAGTTAAAAGTAAGGAGAAAACATTAGTAGACAACACCTATAATATGTAAGAACATATGTGTTTATGTAACTTTATATTTTGTAATATATAAAAAAAAAAGTCAAAATTAAAGCCTGTGTGCTTACTATAAGTATCTAAAAATAAATAAATAAATGCTTCTATAACTTCCACTTTTTAATATAAAAAGAAAATGAGATAATACAAAAATAGAGAACAATGACAAAAAAAAATCAAATTGATGTTAAAGAATGATATTAAACAATCATTTATAAATTATTAAGAGATTAAATTTGACCCTTTTAAATAATAAAAGATTATCATGAAATCTATTAAGATAAAATTATATTTGATATTTTTAAAATTTAAGATATATATAAAAAATTAATTTTAAAAAATAAAAATATATATTGTTGTCTTGATTGAAAATGATAGGTGAAGTTTTTTATATTCCACTGGCAATCTTTAGAATTATTAATACTATAACTTTAATCGTAAAGGCAACAAAAATATAAGCATTCCAAAATGTAACACTAATTATAGAACAAGAACAATTATGCTTTCCACTTGCTATTTGGCCATTTAAGACTAATCCCATGTCTAGACCTATGCATATAACTAATTATTAGAAAATTAAATTTTAAAAATAAAAAGATATATTTAAAGTTGTATTTGACAAATAAAGATGATTTTTTTTAGTAAAAAGAAAAACTTTGGATAATTTAAAATTTTTAAATAAATATATCTTAAAAAGATTTGGACAACCAATAATTTTTTAAATAAACTTATTTAATCCATAAATAAAAAATAAGAATTAATTTTATTTATTTAAATAAAATCTTACCAAAATAAAAAATAATAATTTTATTCATTTAGTTATTTTAAATCTAAATTGGTTTTTCATTTAAATTTTAAGAGTTTTGGATAAATAAATAAATTTTGAAATTTATTTTTTGATAGAGAGTCTAAAATTAAAAAAAAAATCTTATATATCATTATAAAGAAAAATTTTAATAATTTTCTAAAGTGTCAAAAAAAAAAAAACTGTCTACATAAGTATCTATATCAACAAACCTTATTTGATAATTATGTATATTGTAATATAATATATATTAGATTAGATATGATAATTTATTGTCATTAATAATTAAATTATTTTGATAATCTTATCACTATGATAATTAGATCACTACAATAATCTTAAAATAATACCAAATGCTACAAAAATACAAAAATTGTTTGAATCAATCACCAGTATTCATTCAAGAAATGAGAACCACAATTTGAAATGTTGTTCTTCCCTGTCGACTTTGACGATCAAATAAACATTCCTCGCCACTAAGGGTTGGGTCAATCGGGTAATTCATTTGGGTTCAAATGTCCATGGTTCTTAAATCTTCTACGATTAAAGTGAGGAAACTCCAAGTGCATCCTAGATTGGAGTAACCTATCTGCTCCAAATTTTTATTATAAAAAAAAATATTACTCGAAAATCCATTGACATAAGCAAAACCTACTTGAATTTTTGCAAAAACTTAAACCAATTTAAAGACATATTATTTAGATATATAGATGATAGTTTCTGGAACATATAAAGAGTAGGTAGCATGCTTTCTTTGATATTTGTAAATAATTTTCCTCTTTTCACACTTTTAAATTACCCCAGCTATTGGGTTGGTGGCTTAGGCTGTTCAGCGATGGAGCGAGCAACTGCAGCGGCTAAAGCTACAGTGAAGTTAGGATCCTTTGTGATGGATGCAACATAGTCTTCAATTCTCTTGCTGTTGTCATCGTCGTTGCTGGTTCTGTAATCTTGCGTAACTTTCCAAGGGTTTCTACTGTTGGACCCTGAAAGAGAGAGATCAAGAGTGATGGTCGGTCGAAAAGGATTATCCAGAACTGGATAAGCAAAGCTTGTTGTGGAGAGTATTCCAGAGCTATCTGTGAAAGATAAAGATTGTCCTGGTGTGGAATTAACATCATGGTTGTGCTGTCCTTCGTACGTAGCCAGAAGAAAGGATTTATCCTCCACGCATCGCTGGACCTAGAAATATAAAGAAAGGTCCGGATCGGAGGATCAATTTTGTTAACTGTTTGATACATCATAGTATCAATTTAGCATGAGACATAATATTGCTCTCTGGATTTTTATTTTTTGAGTCTAAAAATCACAACAAATTTCATCAAGTACTCATTCCATTAATAATATATAGTGAGCTCTTTTACTATTGCTCATCACTCCAAATCATTTTTAGTTCACCGTGATGATTTTCTCATTTCTTTCTATTTCCTTAGGTGAGATTGTTAATGAAATGAATACATTTGTATGCTGGAATGACGATCGATGTCTGAAAATATAGCAGTTTGAGCATAAAAGATTACTATATATATACCTTCTTTTTGACAGGGCATCCAGGAGCCATAGAGCACCTGAAATAAGCTCGAGGCGACGGATTATCTTTAGTAACTTTCTGGCCGTATTTCCTCCATTGAAATCCATCTTTCACTATCTAAAATCACAGTAACATTTAATAGAAGTCATATTCATATATACTTATCATCAAGAACATTAACTGTGAAATAGTAATAATTACTCATGCAAATAAACCTACTAGCTACGGTAAAGAGATGTTGATCAGTACTTACAAGGCTTTTGTCCGTAGGGTCGGTTTTCACAAAAACCTGTGATGCCTTGGATACAGTTGAAATTTCAGGTCTTAGTCTCTTGTTTGAGTATTCATCGTACATACTAATTATCTGCGTTAAGCCACGGCATGTTAGTTCCGCTTGCGATTCCCGGAGATAAGCTTGATGAAGCATGTTGTACTTGCTACTCATTGCTTCAAGCATTAATCTAAGAGCTTGATTCTCCCTCTGCAAATGTTCCAACTCCACCTGGAGAGCTTCCACCTGAGAATTTTTTTCTTAAATGCATCAAATTCTCTCTTTTTTTCGAAAACTAAAAGGAATAGAAAGGTAAAGATAAAGAGAAAAACCTATATATATATATATATGTATACATATTAACCTTTTCTTTGTTAGAGTTGGGAGCATCCATGGCAATAGGTTGAAAACCAGACTATTAGATAACGAAGACGTTAGATGGAAAAGCAAATTCTCATAACAATTTATTAATCCTCCGCCAGCAAAGATCAAAGAAGAGTACGTAGTAGAATTGAACAAGACTTAAATGGGAGTGGCTGCTCTCTTTCAAGTTTCTAACAAAACTAGAATTACCCAGTGGAAGAGTGTTTGGGTCAGCCTTTTAGTCTTCTCAGTCAGGAAATCATTGAAATCATTGAAATCAAAGCCATGTGTTAGGAAAAAAATATGAAAGTAGAGATTTTAATAGATTGTCATGACCATGGGTATTTAACACGGTACGATTTGGAATTGCGATTCATGAACTATGAGAATCGTAATATGCATGACATCATGCAAATGAAGTAAGCACTTTGGCCATATTAATTACTTTTGCTTTGCTCAAATTCATACAGCACTTACAATTTGCTTGTGATAAATGGGTCCGACATGTTTGTGGATTCCAACAATTTCGTTGACTTAAGCTTTTCCGGTGCTTGATTATTCCTTTTTTTTTTTCTTTTATATTTTTCAAAAAAGTTAAAAGAGAAAAAAAAAGAAAAAAAAGGAGGATCACTCATATATAATTTATAGCTTTATTTGAATGTATGATGAAATTAATTATGATAAAATTAAAAATAATAATAAAAATTATTATAATTATGATTGAAAAAAAATTATTATAATTACGATTAAAAAAAATTTAATAAAAAATATATACTAATTTAATTTCATTAAAATTAATATTTAAATTCATCTAATGATGTAATGAATTTAATTATATCGTATTGAACATTAGGTGAATTCAATCGGGGACTACGTCACCATGATGATCTTAGGCTTTAATCCCTACGTGAATTTCTACGTGGTTGGGGAATAAGCTAAGGTGAAGCAACTATTCAAGCTCATCAGCCGATTCAAAGGGTAACATCATCTAGAAGCGGAACAATGAATGAATTAGTGGGAAGCAACCAGGCAATTTCCATCATCAATTTGACGTTTTTCTTCTTCCTTTTGTATCAAAAAAAGTTTTCAAAACCCTCAGTTTCTTCCAATCAAAAGGCTCAAAGCGTGTAGCAAGATTGAGTGCACCTTTTTGTCACCGGTCCAATTGGAATCTTTGATTAATTTCATATTATGGATATACCTACTTCCTCTAACTTTATTACTTTTTAAAAAACTGATTGGATACGTATTATTAGATCCACAATAGAGTTTTTAATCTCTATAAACAAGGTAGAAATATTGATGTATTTAAAAAAATTAATAATTAAATTAATTATTTAAAAGATGTATAGCAATCATGATCTAATAATATGATTTATTGAGTCTAAAAACTTTAATAATCTATCTATCATTATAATTAATATATTTTTTGAGGGTTTATCTTTGGAAAAATTTAGAATATGAGAAGGGCATACTTATTGATTGAGTTTTTTGGGGATTTATCATTATAATTAATATATTTTTTGGAGATTTATAATTGATTGAGTTTTTAATGCACTTTTTTTAATAAATTAATTTCAAAGAATTTCATATGAAATAGAAATTAAACCGAATTTCTTTTAGGACTACACGAAGGGAACGATGGAGAGCTGTTAACAAGGTATAAAACGTTTCTTGTTAATACTTTCGATAAATGGTTAAAATTGTAATTAGGACTATATATATATATATATATATATATGCATGAATGTATGTATAACCTTAAAGAACGTTCTTATAGCAAGTTAGAAAAGAGGTTTGAGTGGTCATCTCAAACGTGTAATTTGTTTTAGAAAAAGAGAAAAAGGAAGAATGAAATTGACTATATATGCTGCTATTATTGAGAAGTTTAAAGGAAAAGAAAAAAGAAATCTAGAAACAAAGAAAGAAGCGAGAATTGAAAACCTCAGTTGAAAAATATCCATGGGATTTGGCAGCATATATAGAAAGAAATTTTTTTATTGAAGAGGTCGTAATCTGATTATTGAAAAATGAATTATAAGTTTTAAGATTTAAATTTTAAATGTGTTAAATATCACTTCTTAAAAATAGTTATACAAAGAAACTAAATTAATTTCTGAATTCTATATAAAAAAAGTATAGTATGTATCAATTTCATATATATATATATATATATATGTTAGAAGCCCATAACCTCCATATTTCTTTGTGTATGAACAGATAAATTGGTAAAAATGAAAGATAAGTTAAACAAAGAATGTGATAGGAAACCCTACGCTAAGGCTTTATTCGATAGTAAGGATGAAAAGAGGTGAAATGAAAATTTTATTAAATTAATAATTAAAATTTATAACTATTTTTTTACTTTTTTAATTTAATCATTAAATTAGTAAAATTTTCATTTTTACCTATTTTCATCCTTCTTCTCAAACAAAATTTAAAAGATAAAGGATACGAACGAGTCAAATGAAAAATATTAACCACTAGTATGTTATTTATTTATTTTTGTGGAAATTTTGGGAGATATGAAATATAGTCTAACACGTGTGTTGGATGCAGACAATTATGAATTATATATATAGTTCAAGCTTGACCAAGATATCAGGTTGTAAAACTTCTTTTAAAGGCGAAATCAAATTGTAAAGTTGCATTTAAGGGGCAAAATCAAGGTAAATTAAGTACAAATAAATAAGTTTCGTCTTAGACCAGCTGCTAATATTACAGTCAATTTCAATATTGATGACTTAGTTCTTTTGATCGAACTGAATATTGGAATAAATCGATCGGTCTCCAAATTCCGATCTTCCTATTTACATTAACCTTATGTCTTTCTCCAATTAATCTCTTTCAAACATGACCTCTTGAAGAAGACTCTGAATCTTGCAAATCTCCTTCAAGTAAAAATTGCTAAGAAACTTAACCATGGGAATTTTTCAAAGAATATGTCCTAGATGTCCATATGACAATTTAAAAGTAATTACTAACATCACTTTTCATCACCAATAATTATTTTTTTAATGTAAAACAAGTTTTACAAATGAAAGTCTTAATGTAATTAATGCAAATCAAAACCGATAAATTATACATATAAATATATATCTAAATACATAAATACATATATGTAATATTTAAATATTTGGAATACTTAAATATTCAAGGAAAATAATTCTGAAAAATAAGTTAAATTAGGGTTGACAATAACAGGTGACCAACATCAAACGAACCGTTTTTAAATAAGGAGAGAAGTTACGGATATAAAAGATTGAAAAGGACTAAATTTATGTTGTGAAAAGAACATTTGAAAAGTCTATGTTCATATATTAATATTTAAATAGTCAGTCAATGGTAGCATGAAGTCAAGCACTAATAAAGCTAGTTGTACAATCCAATTCGTACACGAAATCGGCTGTTTCGGCTTGGACCCAATGCCCTTTTAGTCGTTGTATTTTGTTTCTGTGGGGGTAGGGAGACTCATTTTTTCATTTGTTTCTTAATTGGGTGATTGTAATGGTTGGCCCCTAAAAACAATGACCCATGTCCCCATTTTATGGATGGCTCAATTTTGGACCAAGCAAGGAAAGAGTTTCTACATGAGAAAAAGAATCCTACAAATTAAACGTTCAATCATGCTTTTTTTTTTTTTCTTGCTGTAGTTCACAAAATTTATTAAAATTTCATGAAAGACGTTTTTCTTTTATTTGTATAAGTAACCTTAAATCAATACATAGTGTTCATATTAATTGTCATAAGATTGGTAGAGATAATTCAGTTTCAGACAAGAACACATTTCGTTTGAAAAATCTTGGGGACGACATATAGACAAGAAATGATGAGCTGAAAAGTTTGAATTTGAAGGGAATGGCTTTAGAAATTTATAGGTAATGAGAAGACAAATTGTACCTACAATAAAGCGGACGTCCATAATTCATTTGAATAGTTTGAAAATAGCATGATAAGTGTTCTTTTTGTGTAACCAAAGAAAAAAAACCTATTTTTTCAGATATTTAGAGTTAGAGAATTATATTATTTTTGTTGAAAATATCAAAGGATATAGATATATATTCCAATTCCCAGGAATCAAATACCCTTTAACTAAATGTGAGAAGTTGAATACCTAATAATAACATTTTGAAAAAAACTCATTTTCTTCCAATCAAATCCCCCTATGATATTTCTCTCATTAATTATTTCTTATGCAAGAGGATTATGATATATGATATAGCAATTTTACTTTGAATAGCCAAACTCTTTTTCCACGTCATTAAAATTGAGTTTTTCTATGCTTTGGCAGGCCCAAGAATTTCCAGTTAATGATTACCAGACCATGAAGATTAAACGGCCGAAAAAAAGAAAAAGACCACAAAGATTGAAGACATAGGTTCTAATTATGCATTTCTTTCGGTATAATTCCAACCACGCATATGAATTTTTTGACACTATAGACTTGTATTTGAAACCAGGAGTTGCCAGTATTGCAAATTTGCCGAAAATTGCTGACCCTTCTATTGTGTGATCTGAGGTGAAAATTTTTCGGATGACATTGTGAAGTTTAGTGCAATTTAGTCTCAGTTTGCACATGAATTTCCGTGTTGTAACTTCACTGGCTTAATTGGCATAGTTTCCCTATAATTTCCATGAAAATATCTAATAATATCCATGTAACTTGGAATGAGAATTCCTTTCCTGAATTTGCATGAATTGGATAATGAATTTTAATTCTTGTCCTGCTGAATTACTTGGGCAAATATTACCTTTTTTTTTTCTTTTCATTTTTCTCTTTTTTGACACTAGATTCAAGATTCCATGTACATCACTTACACACTCTCTCCCATTTTCAGCCGAACCAAGAAAAATACAGAACTATGAAATTCACCCCTAAGTATGTTGAATTTCACCACTTTTCTTTTCTATTCTGGTTTACAACTCTTCCTGAAATGGCTGCAGCTAGGGCTGCTGTGAAATTCGGGTCTCTAGTCAAAGAAGATGCCATTTGTGTCACTAAAATCTGTTGCATAGCTGATGCATCAATTTGTTGGGCTGGCTTTTTGGTATCATCGCCCAATCCAGCTGGTTGCATCAACTCAAGAGTTACAGTGGGAGCTGAAGATTTGGTAGGGGAAGAAACAGGAGCTGAACGAGGGTTGGAACTAGAGTTGGGGCTTAATGATAATTCAGCTGGGCAGTGGTGTGCGTGGTTGTGCTCTCCTTCATAAGTAGCCACCAAGATTGAAGGATCTTCAGCACTTTTTTGCACCTAAAAAATTATCATTTAATATGAAAAACAACAATCAGAGACAAAATTTTCTTGAAATTAATGTGTATATGTTATCATAATCTTATAAATTCAGCCAGAAGGACAAATTAAGGGGAGAAGCATCGACTCACCTTTTTCTTGACTGGACAACTTGGGGCAAAGGAGCACTTGAAGTATGCTCTGGGAGAGGGGTTATCTCTTGTAACCTTTTGACCATATTTTCTCCATTGATATCCATCCTTCACAATCTGCAACACAGACCAAATAAAATAATATTCAAAATTCTTAGCACTTGGAGGGTAATTAAATTTGTTAAAAGACAGTTAGCATATACTAATAAATTTTATCGGGTAAGAAAATTAAACTGTAGGTAGGAACCTACGTACCAGGCTGTTATCAGAAGGATTTGTGCGCATATAAACACTTGAAATCTTTGCCTTGAGGCATTCCTTACGCTTTTTACATGTCTCTTCATCACTACAACTGCTTTCAGTGTTTCCACTACGGAATCCAATCATGTTTGTATAATCCTCACAATCGGCTTTTCTCTTTTTTGATGTTGCAGCTTCATTTTCAGAGTTCTTGCTCGCCAATTCCATGAATTTGTTCTGCAAAGCGTTGTATTGCTCGCACAAAACTGTTAGCATTTCAGTTAGTTTCTTGTTCTCAGCGCTAATCCGATTCAATTCAGCCACCAAAACTCCAGTCTGTTTAGAATAAAATCATTTCAGTATTTTTTTTTTTTCAATTTAAAGAAGTAGCAATCCAAAACAGTCTGACCAGAAACTGACCTCTTGTTTAACTGGTGCCTTCACATCAGAGTCAGTCACTTCTCCCTCGGATTCTGGCTTCTGTTTCAAAAGGTTCAAAAGTTTTCGTAAGTCCAACACTCTAAAACAAGAAAATTAGCTTACTACTATGATTACCCTCCTCAATTGATAATCCAAACTCACCAGAGCTTTGTGATGGAAAGGATTGATGTTGAGGTCCAGAGTAGTATCCACCCAAGCTGATTCCATCACTGAAATTGTACAATAGAAACAAGCAAACAAGAAAGAGCAAGTGAGCTGAAGCAAAAGAAATGATGAGGATCAGTCTCAAGGTTGTCAAGCGAATGAGAGAATAATACCCAGGAATAGAGAAATATATAGAGGATAAAATCCAGAAGATGTTTCAACGTTTTGGTTTATTCAGGTAAGTTACCGGAAGATGAGGTTGAAAGAGCCTTCTCTTAAACGCACATGCCACTTGGAATCCTAACTTGATAAGCCGTCTGCATTCAACTAAACTAAATAAATTAATTTGTAAAGAGATTTGGTTTTTAGTGAAGAAAATGAAGAAGGGGGGGGTGGGGGTGGGGATGAAAAATAAGAAAGTCATGCACGTCAAATAATGAATTGTAAGGGGATTTGATGTGAAGGTCAAGCCCCACACCAATGAGATTTATTCATTTGCTACAGACATTTTGAAGTCATGACTAAAAGAAGGTTCGTCTAGTTGACTTTAATTTTATCTGGTCGACTTTCTCGCCCTTTCACCCAGCTCTCCCTGCCCCCCCCCCTCCTTCCAAACTCTTTCATTTTTATAACTGTTAATAATAATAATAATAATAATAATAATAATAATAATAATAATAATAGTACGGTACGTACATCATGTCATGTATTTTTTTAATTTAAAAGTTTTAAATTTATATTTTAAAACTTTTTTGTATATTTATCATTGAATTTAATCTAAAAATATGTATATATGTTACATTTTTTTATCTCTTGATAAATAAAAATAAAATAAGAAGATAAAAATTTACATATATATTAGTAATTTCCCGTTTTTATAATTTGAGAAAACATATGGATAAAGCCAATGTGAAGAAAAAAGAGCACATGCCTTCCTAAAAGCGCAACAACTATTAAACAAGATAAGCACAGTTGGTAAGATATACTATTAATTTGATATGAAAATATATTAATTCACATAAATGTAAACACGCTATGTACACGTTCTTCACTACTAAAATAAGTGTGAAATAATACTAATAATAAATCAATATTACGACTAGCCTATTTTCTTCCCTTTTCCACAAGTTATCACAATTATTTTAGAAATTAATTACCCATGGAGAAATTTGATATTATTTTTTGTGTACATATATATTTTTGGAGAGGAATTCCATATATTATTAGTACAACATTTTTGGTTCCATTATCTAGAAAAAGGGAGATTATTGGAATGGATAATTGTATTGTATCCATACATTGAGACTGGACATTGGAAGAAAGAAAAGGTTGAGTTAAATTAGCTTTCAATTTCCTGGTCTTTGTCTCGTTGACTCTTCAAAAGCCAAAAAGCTGAACCCCCAAAGCGCCCACACGGTTTGAAACATTGTGCCACTGCCCTTTTTCTTTTCAACTATTCCGCACTTTCTGTCGCTGTCTATCCCCTTTCCTCGTTACAGGATGGATTGGATTATTCCAACATACATCTTAACAGTCTAAAAGTATTAATAATCATATCATCTATTTATCATAAGATGTTTTATTCTTTTTTCGAGCGATTATGATTCAATATTTTATAGTTTCGAAAATAAAAAATTATCTATTTTAAAATTTATTTTTGACAATTAAACAAACGATGAAATTAATTGGAATTTACTAAGCACCTAGTAAGCAAAGTTGAAGTCAAGTCAAGCCAGAATTTATATAACGAAAACCTTGAATAAATGGACCTCAAGGAGATTACATATAATTTACCATTCATCATCAATTTAGTCATATCGTGAAGACATTAATTAAGATATTTAAAGATAAATTTGAACACGGAATATCCAAAAAAAATATTGATTCTTATGGCTTTGCTGGAGATTGTCCCTCCAGGCTCCGGACCATGACTAGTTGACCAAAACTGATGGGTGTTATAATATCCCAGCAGCCGATAATTCTATCACAACTGTGATCTGCTTTCATACTTCAAAACCCCATTCGTTTTAGCTATATATAATCATTTTTTACAGAATTCCCACTAAGTTTCACACTCGACAGCACTCTTTCTCTGGTAATTTCATCATAGTCAATCCACAGTCTTCAACAATAACGTAGAAAGCAAAAGAAGAGCAACCTCGACTTGAAGTAACCCATATTTAAAACAGGAATACCATGTGAAGTGGTTTGGCAATCTTTAACCTTTTAATTTCTTTCATCAAAAGAAAATTGAATGACAAAAAGTTTGGTTCATATAAAGAATTGAGTCTGGCTGGGGAAGTCGGCAACGCAAACATCAAATTCGCACAAGTTGAAAAGGAGGAAAAAAATGGTATAATTGGTTGGGAAAAAGAAAATTTGACCTGACTCAGTCTTAACTTCTAAAAAAAAAAATATCCTTGAGGCACAATATGTGAACAATTTGGTTGATTGGGCGGCTAGAAAATGAAAGATTCAAGCAGTCTAACTCCTAAATGCGGCCAAAGAAGTCATCTGATTGATACAATTATACAAAGTGGCGTGCAAGATTAGAATTTTCATAGTCATCACATAAAATTAAAGCCTGTTATTGTCAGTCACCTACTATGGTTTGATTTGTTTCTACGCTGCAGCGCAGTTCAGTTTATATACATGCCATGGAAAATCAGGTCATCCAATAGAAATTAATATTGGTTACATTGGTAAGGAAAATAATTAAAATGACACAATCTGGGTTCTATTTAGAATATGAAAATCGTTGGTAGAATATATACCCTGTTTTGCACGCATTTAACTATACCATATTTGTTTCCTTCCCTACATCTGTAGTCCAAAATGCTTTACAGTTTCTGATGCTTTTTGGGGTTGAAAAATCAAGAAATAGTTACAATTTAGTATGTCTAACGTCTTCAATCGTGTTGAAAATTTAAAAAGAGACAGCAAATGGCTGTGAGATAAGCAGGATGAGGTCATTGATTGCGCAAATTCCTTGAACGAACTGGGTTCTGTCTGCTTCTGCCGAAGATGAATAAAAATCTTGACTTGTTTCTCAACTACAAATGAAATCTCCAGCACATGTGTCCATTGTCGACCGCCAACTAGCTGAGTGGTGATAAAATTTTTGTAGTAACTTTTTTATGGCTATCCCATTTCCATCCACGTCTGTGTCTTTTCCTTGACTCCATCTTTTGGGTGTTAGCTAAAGTGTTAAACACGAAGCCATGCTTTGAATTCGACGTGTCAAGATTGGAAAACAACACGCTCCTGTCATTTTCTCTTTTTTTTCCCACGTAATATACTAATAGTTCTAACAAACTTATCGAAAACAAACTATAGTAGCCCGAATTGTTGTGGAAAATTTGTTGCCTGTACCTTGTTCACATGTGTTAACAAGGCAAACAATAAGAATTTTCTCATGTACATCCATTTTTAAGTCTAAGTCATCGCAAATAGCAATGGAAATATATTACATATAATAACTATAGTATAACTAATTAATTATAATTTAAAATTATATAAAAACCATTAAAATTTTATATAAATTTTATTTAATTATAATAAAAAATTATAAATGAAACGTTTCTCAATATCAACTTTGTTATTATTTGTTTTCCATAACCCAACCTCCCCATGAAATCAGCAACATGACGAGTGTTGGCTGACGGCTACGTCTAAAATCTTACGTGATTATCATTCCACTGGAATTAATTTATAGAGTCGGTTAGTGGGAGTCGTTTTTAATTTTGGTTTTTCTTTGTTTTGCATACGACTTGATCACGGTGATGTGATTTACAACTTTCCCGTCCCACCTTTTTTGATTTTTTTTTTATATGTTTCACGTTTGTTTTTGGGTGGGGTGCACCAAATTTCTAATGGGAAAGCATCAAGTGTTGGCCGTGGTCCAGGCAGACCAAACTGGTTTCTTTATCTTTAGCATTGTTTTGTTCCTTTCTGTTGGAATGTGATTAAGCATCTAATGATAAAAGTTACAAGTTTGAGATTTTTGGGATTCCCCAACTTTTCCACTGGTAGAAAAAAAGGAAGTAAAAACTAAAGAAAAAGAAGGGAATTTGAGGGAAAAAAAAATCAATGAATATTTGTCTGGATTTAGATTTCTTGAATATAAACACCCATTTTGCTACTATTATTATTATTTTTATTTTTTTTTAATACTTTTTTTATCAGTAGTCAGCCACACTGCTAATCGTCGACAGTCACCCTAACAGTTATCAACAATTACTCTGACAGCCGATCAAATTTAAGTAGCTAAAATTCAATAAAATTTTAGATTTTTTGAGATTTTAATATTCATTTAGCTTTATAAATAGAGTCACAAAAAACAGAAAAAAGTTATCCAAGAAACACCTCACAAAAACGAAAGAAACTAGATCAAAAGAAAAAAAAAGTTCGACCAAACAAAAAGAAATTTTCTATCAAAAAATTTGAAACCCAAAAAAGGTCAAACAAACACAACCAAAAAATAAATCACAATCCCTGGAACAGAAACCAACACTACGAGAAGCACAAAGCAAGCAAACAATAGAAAAATTAAACAAAAAAAAATTATTTTGATCGAATCTTTGAGGTAAAATTTATGCTATTTAGAGCCATATTTTACAAAATTAAGTCCAAATATGTGTTTAGGATTAAAGGAAAGACTTTTTTGGTTTTTCGGCAATTGACAGTAAACGGATGGAGATGGCAACCAACGGATGGCACAGGTCACCATCGTCAGATTTTAAAGACAACGATGATCGGTTGGGACTAGAGAGAGGTAGAGAGAGAAAAAATAAAATAAATTTTTTATTAAATTTTTATAATGTTAGGAAAAAAAGCAAAACGACGTAGTTTAGAGGAAAAAAAAAAGCAAAAAACAAAATGATACCATTTAGGGGAGGAAGAGATTCGTGTGAACTCACAACATGAATCCGAAACCCGTGCGACCCAACCCGTTACCCATTTCAGCTCTAACCTTTAATTGGTCCGGCTGGATCGATTGATTGAACTGTTTGATAGCTTTTTTGACCAATGTTGACCAGGAACATTTTATGTTTTTTTTTTTCATTTTTTTGCTCAAAATTTTTTAATTGTTTCTATTATTTAATTTTTGATTTTTTTATTTTTGTATAAACTTTTGATATAAAAATAAAATAAATGGTAGAATGTATAAAATAGTTTTAATTTAATTAATTTAAAATAATTGCTAAAAAATAAAATTAGGAAAATTTGAAAATTTAATTTTCTCTTAAATAATTTTAAAATAATAAAACGAAATAATGATAATTAAAATTTTAATGAAAAAGATTAAAGAAAATATAAAAAAATAATGAAGAATAAATAGAATATGATAA